TTTTTTTTTTTTTTTTTTTTTTTTTTTTTTTTTTTTTCCTCTGTATTTTTCTCCTTTTCTCCCGTGATATCGGGATGGGTATAGTGATTGTGAGGAACAACTGGTAGGAAAGGGGGAAAGGATGGATTCACTGACTGCGGGGAGCGAATTGGGGTGTTGTTGATAGGGATGGGATTGATTGTGTCATGTCGAGGAGAATGTGAAACCAGAGACAGAGAGAGTGATAGTTTGGTGTGTAGTAACAGCGGAATCCATTCCGTTTGTGATTGTGCAGATTGCCCCTGTATGTTAGCCACAACAGAGAATTTCTTCAATCACGAATAACTCTCAATAAATTGTCAATTCCTTGAACTTGTTCTTGCTGCCCCCCTTCCGTGAATACATTTGATCCATTAAAGTCATCAGGACTTCTCTTTCTCCCGCTTTGAATGACGGATTGGCACATCTTTTCCTCAAGAGAAGTCAGTAGGATTCCAGATCCAGCTCTGACTTAATTGCAGAGTATTGAAATTATTTTGGCCGTGACTCGCAGGTTCGGCCATCGAGGCCATCGGACTTAGATGATTGCCCAAGGAGTCGGACAAGGTTGATCCTGGTGGGACAGATGGCGGCGGTTGTGCGGACGCCTCGAGCTGCATGCCGGTGGTGGCCAGTATGTCATTGCTCGGAGGTATGCTTGGGTCAGAGTTCTCCCACAGTACTATGAATCGCTTGATTAGACGGACTGAACATTTGAACAGGGATAGTGCAAGGGTCATTCCAATATTGAGAAAAAGGAAAAAAGAAAAGTACACACCTCGCTGTACAAACTCGAGCGCCTCATCAATTCCGCAGACCAAGGGAAACGCATTGGCGACTTCGTCACCCGGCGCCGCCGCGCTCATCCCCTCATGCTGCATTTCGGCTGGACCCTGCGCATCCCTCCGCGCCTCTGAGGCCCCCGGGACCTTGGGTGAAAGCTGCTCCGTGCTTGCTCGGTCGTTGAAAATTATGGCCGACACGGACGGGTCGAGGCCCCCTTCATCTGCAAATCCACCACGGTGTGCCGCCGGGCGCTCGCGCCCGTTGGGTTCATGCGTCATCCTGTCACTGCGACTCGGAGGGCATGGCTCCGCGGCGGGCTGGCCAAGTAAACTCTGCAATTCTCGACGGAAGATCAGCTCCAGCAGCTCTTTGAGGACCTTGACCGTCTGCGACGATACGACGGAGCAGGCGGCGAGCATTTTCTGCAGCGCAATGGAATTCGCCACCCCGCGCTTGGCATTTAAGGACTGCACAGACCCCAGGTTGCAGAGGGCTACCATCCCTAGTGTCACGCCTGCGGTGAAGTTCTGGATGGCGATATATGCGGCGGCTTGAGTAGTCTGGGCGGCGCGCAGGACCCTCTGGTACCGTGGCATGATGCTGCAGGTGCGCCGAGCGCAGTGCTCGCACTGTTCGAAGCTGGTGGGCTGCGCATCGGAGTACAAGCTGCGAGAGCTCTGAGTCATCAGGCGCCGTGTGTATCGGAGAAAAGGTCGATGGAGGATAATCTGGATATTGTCGTACGCTAGCTGCAGGACCAAGGCCTGAAGCTCGAATACCCGACACACCTCCGCTTCCTGCCTGGTTAGATGCGAGGTATCCAGGTCGAGATGGTGCTCCAGTCGCAGCTCCAAGGGCAGCGTGTCAAACCATGCGACTAGCTTCGTGTTAATCTCCACAGCCTGGTTTATGACCGCTTCCCACTTCCCTTCGTTAAGATCGTAAATATCGCCTATGATCGGAGCGGCAATGGAATAGAGCTCAAACTTGTGCCTCTGATACGCGCCCAAGGTAGCGGGTGGCCGGTCTGCATTCGATTCACGATGGTGGTTCAAGCTAAATACCGGATGCACCGTCATCAGATCGTCCAAATCTCGGGGCATGGTCACGGCACAATGCGAGTCGCTGATCGAAGGCGGCCGACCATAGGTGATGGAAGCAAACCTGATTTTTGCGGACATCAGCATCCACGGTCAATCCTACTGTTCTCCATTCGGAAGGCAACTGCACCTGTCAAAAACATAGAGAGCCCACCAAGTCCTCCGGCGGACTTCGACCACAATCTCATTCGCAGGGCCCCACAGCGCCTCCTTGTGCAGCCCCTGCGCCTGGGCACTGCGGATGCCCGCGCCAAGTATGGGCATTGCCAGGTTCGGTTTACCAGTGTAGAGGTGAAATGTACTGAGCAGGATGCATAACTGCACACACTCTACCCCTCCTGTGTCTAACATGTCAAAAAAGTGGGATCGGATCTGGTTCAGCATACTCTCCTGCAGGACACATAATTCTGACCGAGAGATCCCCATTTGCATGCTTTGCTCGTCCGGGGCATATGTGGCCCCCAGTGTGAGCGCCATTAGTATCAGGACTGCAGTGCCTTTCTGCCGGGCAGTTACACATTGATCATCGAGAATCTGGCGGTAGCTGTGCTCGAATGAAGGAATGTGGAAGAGCAGTGTAAACCAGTGAACCGAGTCCCAGTACGATTGCAGCAAGAAGTCCGAGATCGCCCGAGATGGAAGTATAAGGCCCGGGAAGTGTTCAGCGAGGCTAGTACTTTCTTCCCTGCTGGCGTGTCCCAGGTTTCGGGTGCTCAGAAATGCCCCTCCAGGAAGCGCAGAAGTGTTCCCAGGAGCCGCAGGTGACGCTTGCGACCCTTGATCGTGCTTCTGAAAAAGCTACCCGAACATCAGTGGTCAGGGCGAAGAGAAATGACGGGTATCGGCGGTTACCTGATCAGTAAGCTCTACTGCAGATGCTTGGTGATATTGATCGGGTTCGGCAAGGGATTCCAAATGCTTGTTGAGGCCGTGATGGAAGCCGCGACGGGCTTGATCAACTCCTAAGGGAGTCCCCATACCAGAGCGCAAATGATAGCTGCTTCTATCCCGCAAGCCGGAAGACCTAGAGGATCGGATCGACTTGCTAGAACTTACTTAACCTAGGAGTTCAACGTAGCCAGTGGACAACGATCGACCTACCGCAAAGGTGCCGAGGTTGTCTCGCAGACAAAGCCAGAGCGCATGCATAGAGAACATGGCTTCTCAACATCGCACTGATGGAGCGCATACCGGTCAGCGCGGAGGTTCGAAGGACGTGTCGATCTTGTCTCCTTACTTTTAGCTTCTGCCTTCGACAACGATCGCAGGCATGCCGTCGTGACGAAGCGGACGGTTTGCCCGGAGGGAATCTCGAGCGAGCCCCATCTGACATGGTTCGACGAGAGGTTTATACTTCAAGCAGAATTCTGCTTAAAGAAGACAGAACTTAGACTAGATCTAGCAAGATATGATAGCTTTCCCGTGATTTTAAACAGGTAAGGTGCGCTGGAATTATCTGTGTAGTTAAGGTTGGTTACAGTCACAGTGCTTAGTAATCCACTGGAGTTTTTTCCAACTCTGTCCACCACCTTTCCTGCCATTGGTCGCATAATTGACCCCATAACTGAGTACTACAGTAAGTACTTACTAGTAGTAGTTCATGTTATAAGGGTTGCTGGATACTTGACTACCTACTTGCCGTTACTCGCAGTAACACTCCGATTTAGCTGTCTATAGGCCTACGTCTTTGCACGTGTCTGTTCTCAATTACTGCAATTCTCTATCTTCTGCTTGTTCTTCCGATTTGCCTGGATGTATCAATACTAGGTAAGGAGTTGAGACATTTTGAGTCACCCCTGCTGCTTGGTGGCCATCGATATATTGTTTTGGTCTACTTGGCAGAAATCTGTTCCAACATAAGGTAATAATCATGTTACAGTTGCAGAAATCCATCCAAATCTATGCGAATATCATACAAATATCATGTTCCCACAAGCCATTTCCTCAATCGTACAGTCAAGACTGGGACACGGTAGTCTCAAAGTCCTCCGGCTCGCGTCCCAGGAGCTCGCCTAGCAAAGGGGACACGAAAGCGCCTTCTCCTCGGCGAAAGGCCTCAAAGGTGGAGGTCCACAACTTCGAATGATCCACGCCATGGTAAGTGAAGTTGGAAGAAACCTGAGGTTGTCTGGCGAATTCATCCACGGAGACCTGGCGAATGCGCACCGTATGATTGGCAAGCTTGGCCAGAATGGCAACCGTTTCCCCGAGGGTCAGGGTTCGCGGGCCGGACAAGAGCACTTTGCGATTGCGATATGGAAATCCGTCCGGGTCCTGCACGAATCTCTTGATGAGCTCTGCGGTCCCTTCCCCAAGCTCCTCACGCTTCACCCACGCGATCCCGGGGCCTGCACCATCGTGGGGGATCTTGATCTCGTCGACGGGCTGCTTCGGATCAAAGAAAGCGGTATAGAGCGGGTACGACTCGGAGTAGAGACCTTCGCGGATGACCGTGTAGGAGAAACCCACATGCTGCCGCGTGCATTCCTCGAGGTATCTCTCGGTGTCCAAGTGTGCCTGCATGACGTGTGCCACCGACTTATCGCCTTCGGGGTTCCCGCCGTAGCCTAGCGACCCGTAGAAGATATGTGTCACACCCATGCGAATCGCATGGTCGATGGCAGTGCGGTGTCGCTATCCCCCAAGCATATCGCGGTCAGCTTGCATTTTGGACTGGATGCTTCCACTTAAGGGGTAAGGTTTACCTCAGTTCGATATTCATGCTCCACGGACGCGTAGGAGATCAGGAAGAGTATGTTCAGCCCCTCGAAGGCAACCTTCAAGCTCTCGTCGTCGTCGTAGTCAGCCTGCCGAAGAACAGCTTGGTCCACGGGCAAATTCCTGAGTTTTTCAGGACTCCGAGCGATAAACACAAGCTTCTCAGATGGGAGACGTGGCAAGAGATGCTTGACGGTGCTCCCGCCAATACCTCCTGCAGCCGGGAAGACTCCGATGGTGGGGGTATTCATCTTGGATTTACGAGCAAAGACACAAAGTATGACTGACTTGGTCGAGGTTTCTTGCTACATCTCTCAGCTTTTATACTATTTTTTTGGAATAAATCGAACATATACCAGAATATCCTGGTGAATTTGTCAGAACCTAATGTATTTGTCATCCTGAGGTGGTAAGTAGAATGGAGGTTTGTCTTTGCCCCCCTCCGGTCCAAGAAAAGCAACGATCGTAGCGTGGAGATGGATGAGGGATTCAACATTCTATTCTCTGTTTCTTTTTTTTTTTTTCATTTCGTCTATTGTTCTGTTTTGGGTGTCAGATGCCAACTTCTATAAAAAATGACGGTCCGCCGGACCATCCGTTGAATGCCAAGTCCGAGTCCACCGGACTCGGAGCGTGTCCGGTTGTTGCATCATAGCCAATAGTGGATGTGCAGGTGGGAACACCCGGAGACAAGCTCATGTAACTACAACAGCGCCATTAGTAAGAAGGTCGTTTGTAACCCTGGATAGTGCGCGGTGTGGCGTTCGATGAGAACTAAGTTGTTAGACCCTCACATTACTCTTACTCTATTTACTCAGGCTGCGCTTAGAAATCTACATCCGCTTTATTGACCTCTCTGTATAAGTAGAAACGACTCCAATCGCCCAGAGTAATATCAAGTTCGATAAAGGTCTGGCACAACGCAATTCGAGGACATTCGACTCGACATTACGAAAGCCAACAAAGATGCCTTCCCGTTACCTCAACGCCGATGAAAGTGAGATTGTGGAGATTGCTAACGAACCGGCGAGCGGTGTAAGTTAGAACTTCCGGTACATTGGACGCTTCATTGCTGACGATCCCCTGCAGATTCCCTACTTCACCCCCAAGCAGACTCCGACGGCGGGCACCGCTCTCGTGCCCGCGCCCCAAGACCCTCATACGCCCAAGCTGTTTACGCCGCTGCGTATTCGAGGAATTGAGCTCCAGAACAGAATTCTGGTGAGTTGCCTTCGTGTCACTTTTCCTTTCTGTTGTTGTTCAAATCTTGGCAATTCGAGACTAACCTGGAATTTTCAAGCTCTCTCCTCTCTGCCAATATTCAGCCGAAGATGGACATCACACGGACTGGCACTTTGCTCACCTGGGTGGTATCATCTCGCGTGGACCCGGCCTCTCCTTTGTGGAAGCCACTGCGGTCACAGCTAACGGCCGGATCACCCCGGAGGATTCAGGCCTCTGGAAAGACTCGCAGATCGGCCCGTTGAAGAGGATCGTGGACTTTGCTCATAGCCAGGGCCAGTTGATCGGAATCCAACTCTCGCATGCGGGCCGGAAAGCGAGCACTGTTGCCCCGTGGTTGAGCATGAACCGAGGGCCCGGAGCTCCCGTTAAATCGGTCAATGGCATTGACCACGATGGCTTTGCACCGGTAAGAACCCCCCTTCACTCTTCACTCTAGCCAAGCTTCTGGACTAACCTCTACCTTGCGTTTTGAACAGCGTCATGGCTGGCCAGACGATGTGGTTGCCCCGAGTGCGATCGCCTTCAAGGATAAGAACATCATTCCTCGGGAGTTGTCTCACAACGAGATACAATCCTTGGTCGAGGCTTGGGGTGAAGCGGTAAAGAGAGCGGTCCGTGCCGGGTTCGATGTAAGTCTTCCATCCGCTTCCCGTAGAGAATGTTCCGTCATCTGACTCCGCTTGATTTCCGTCGCAAGGCAATCGAGATCCACGGTGCGCATGGGTACCTTATTCATGAATTCCTCTCCCCCGCATCCAACAAACGGACAGACGAATACGGGGGAAGCTTCGAAAACCGAATTCGCTTGGCCCTCGAGCTAGTTGACATCTCTCGGCAGCATATGACTCCGAACATGCCTCTCTTCTTCCGCGTGAGTGGTACTGAGTGGCTGGAGCACCTGGAGAGCGAACCCAGCTGGGACGCGAGCCAGACAGTCCGGTTGGCGGAGGTTCTGGTGGAGCACGGGGTGGATGTCCTCGATGTATCCAGCGGAGGGAATGATCCCCGGCAGCAGATCAAGGGGGGCCCCGCCTACCAGTCCCCCTATGCATTCCAGGTGAAAGAGGCTCTGGGTGATCGTCTTCTGGTGGCATCCGTTGGGGCCATCACCTCCGGTCCGCAGGCTAATGACCTCTTGAACGCGGGTCTCGATATGGTCCTCATCGGCCGCATGTTTCAGAAGAATCCAGGTCTGGTGTGGACGTTCGCTGAAGAGCTCGATGTTGATGTGAAGGCAGCCCATCAGATTCACTGGGGGTTCGCTGGAAAGCGCCGTCACCGGTGACTGCTGCTGGCTTAGAGTTGAAGAAATTAGCATTCCTTGTTACTATTCATGGTTCGTACTTGATTAGATAGACCTAATGCTGCTTGCCAAGGACAAAGAGGTTAGTCGCAAAGTGGCTATCAAGATGCTTGCAGTATTCAACCACAGTTTAACTGTTGCAGAGAGTATGGCTAGGAAGCGCTCAAGAGGTTCAAAGGAACAACACTGCCGTATTGTCCTAATAATGGACATTCAAAAGCCTGTCATGGAGGGCTTTGAGTCAACCTCAAGCATTAACGACCGATTTTCGTCGTTCTTCAAATCCATACAGGCCCTTCGACGTCAACTTTTGTATCTAGCTTGCTCAGTCGGCCTATTACATGTAGCGAATAGTTTTGAGGATCATGAGAAATCAAGGGTCGCCCTAGTTCGCCGGCCTCTAAGTGAATTACGCACGAATTGGTCTTATGTTAGTCCATATCTTATCAAGGCATGGCATGATGAAAGAAATAGATGAGCACCCCCTCCTTACTGGGCATACTACTCCAGAGGTCTTACCGGTATTGCTGCGGTAACTCTGCGCCAATGGGGGTCCTAACTCTTCTCCTGTCTAGGTGGTGGAAAGTCAGGTTCAGCTATTTGCTCTCTTTCCCTTATTCTCTGTGGGGGGCTGGAAGCGATGAAAGCAACAAGGCTTAACAAGCATACGGATGCCATATATCTCGCTACCATTGGTTTAGAAAACGACCTTCTAAACCGCATCCGAGGTTCAGTCAAAGAAAGGAACCAACCAGGTGCAACGGCGGCCTTACCAAATGTCATGCAATCGGACATTGTGTCGGACTTTTCAAACCTTACGCTGGAAGAGTGGCACCAAAGACAGAAGTATGTGGATACAGCTAAAGCCGAGCAGACCAAAAACTGGACAAAGCTGCAACTTAAGTGAGACCGCCCTGTTGCTTTTCTAAAGGATAGGTGACTGTGGATAACTGACAATAACATGACACAGCGAGGGCAAGACCCAAGATTTACACACGAGGACTGGCCCACGCCCAAACTTTGAGCCTGAAGACTGTTGCGTGATGTGTAATAAAACGCCAGCCCGGCGATGTGGGTGCTGTCGCAGCATATATTATTGTTCAAAAAATTGCCAAGAAAGCGAGTTTCCTTCCCACAAGTTGCTTTGCAAGAAGTTTGCGACCCAGCCTGGCCGTCCATCCCCAGAGCACAGGCGAGCCATTTTCTTCCAAGTGACAAAATAGAGCCTATTCTGATATGGATTTTTACTAAGCGCCGATACGACGAAGATTCAAGGGAGTGGTGGACAGATGCACTGGTGCATTCATACCTTGGTCCTGGTTCACCGAATACAGGAAGGTTGCATGTGGAACACAACGAGGTACGAGATCGAAACTTAGGGTCTGGTTTCGCTTCATCTACCCTGCGGAATGAAGGATACTGTGTTACTCTGCTGCATCGCGACGCATATCTAATCGACAATTCGCCCCCAAATCAAAGCATACTGGCTTCTGTAAGAGCCTCATCCACCACGAGCCCTCCCCACGCATACAATGGCCCCATGGTTGCGATGCGGCAGATCCACCCAGAAGACTATGCCGACATAAAACCGGCCAATTTTCGGCATCTGATGGACTACCTAGTAAGGTATGCAAACACGGATGTCAGAGAATCTGTTCCAGATCTGCAGTATCGGGCTCATAAGGTTGTTCGGGGCGTGAAGGTTTGCTGCGACGGGGAGATAAAGCTCCATGGATCGGAGCCGTTCGTTACAGTCGACATAAATCGCTCAACCCGGATTTCTCTTTCTGCTAGGCAGCGCGATTCCATTTCGCCGATTTCCGCTCATCTCGGCATACCGCTCCTCTTTTGGAAAGACCCCAACCCTGAGTTCCACCATGACCCTCCCGGATGGGACGGAATATGGTCCGCAAGCAGCAATCAGAATGTGGCATTCATGATGATGGAAACCAACCCTTTAGACTCTTCATGGGGCTGGGCTCCTCTGTATTGGAACCATGATATTGGAAATGTGTGGGTTGCACGTCAAGACGAGCAGGATCTGGATGTGCGCGAAGTAGCGATGATGTGCCGCTTTGCGAGACATGAACTCCAACGAATATTCAATAATGTGATGATATCAGAAGGCTCCACCCTGCTGGATAAGAAGCGCGTTTTGAGTTTTATTACACGCGAAAACATGCGAGCGTTTTGGGAGGAGACCGGTGGTGATGAGGCTGCCAGTAGCTATGAACCGTTTGCCTCCTAGTTAGCTTCGATGCGAGTGGTCCATCGCACTTAGGATTATGCATGTAAGTCAGCGCCATATTAGATTATCTGAACTATGGGATATATCGTCTAATTCAGAGCAAATCAACTTGATAGTGCGTTGTTATAACCGGCCACTGAGGAGTTCCAAGTCTACTCATTCGAGCTCAAAACAAGTAAATACCCTAATACATATTACATCAACTTACCTTCACGGGCATTTTGGTGTATCAAACCACTTCGAGCTTACTGGGATTCATAAGATGCCGATAGCTTTAGCGTTGAGGCCGATAGTAGGTGCAAATTTGTGAGCTGCACGGGCTATTTGAGGAAGCTCCAACGACATTCGTAGAGCTGATACGCGGAGATAGTGTCCGGCAACTTTTGGCGGATCCTCAATTGCCGAGCCGGTACTTGAATACCATGGCATTTTGCTGACAATCATGACGTATCTGCTGTCCGCCATCAGCAAAGAAATTCTCATATTTTATGAGGTCGAAGTTGACTTGTTTTTCCCATATCTTGTCAACGATTATATGCCAACTCGTGGGGGGTTTGCTCTGTCGGAGGTCGAAGCTGGCCAATTCGTAGTGAAGGGTGTTGGCTTGCAAATGTGCTGCGATGACACTCCCAAATTGGGCAGCGATAACGGCGTGGAAAGGCTCATAGGAAGGCTCCAATAAACACGGCATATCATGTAAACTACGAGCCGGGCGTGGGGTGAGAGGGGTAAATGCAATGCGACTGACTCGGTAAGACGCCTTAAGTCGATGCGGCATTCTCACCTCCCGAACGCCTTGACTCTTCATCTTGCAAAAACCGTCTTACCACCAGTACTGCTGCCAGACTGGCGACATTGCTTCCAATCGTTGAGTCTGTTGATTAACAAAACTTCTCCAGCAACTGTCAATCATGGCTCGGCGTGTCCAATTCGAAGGTACGTCCAGTCATAAAGGCTTCAGCTACCATTCAAAACCAATTCTTCTGGGCTCAAGCCTCACACGGCAGGCTAGCCTTGTGTCCAGGATCCTAAATGGTCATGGCGGCTCCACATGCCGGCCGTCATAACCATTTTTTCTCCACAGCAGACGAAGCAGGAATGCTGTTGATAGGTGAGACTTTCGAGCCGTTAGACCAGTTTCTAGCCGAGAGACACCAGGAATTAGCTGCAGACCTCTATCCAAGCCCACTGGCTGCTCAGTCTCCAGTCGTAAAACTTGCAACCTGACCTTGAGAGTTGAGGGTAATAAGAAACTTAAATATGGGGTCCTCTGTCATCTTGGGTCTTTTCTCGCTCTTCACAATTCCGACCGTGGGCAGACGCAGTAGACTCGAACATGTCGCGCCAAGTTGACAGGCTGGCTGAGCCAGCCGACAAAAAGAAGATGCGGCTCATTGTAGCCAGCTGCAGCAGGTAAGGAATTCCGTTGTCGGCTTAGATGCAGCCAGGCCTATCCTGGTAGCAAGACGAACGTCTTTCGGACTGACGGATGTCGATAACAGAACAGGTACTCTAGGTCTCCATGAAGCCCTGGAAATGATTGGATATACACCATATCATATGATCGACCTGATGCTCAAGGGTAGAAAGCCTCACATTAAAGCCTTCACAGAGGGCATCCTAGCTTATAATAATCGATTCTCTGGTATCAAGAGATACGAGACGCCAGACCTTGATCGATGGATAGGGAATTGTGACGTTCGTTAACCTTGATATCCGCTGTAACCTTAACAGCCGTGCGCTGACTGCCAGTGGTACTAGTGCTTGATGGAGATACCAAGCTATATTGGGCTCCGAGCCCTGGCTGGTTATATTGAAGACCCCGACGTCAAATTTATAGTGACTGAGCGTTCGCCTGACAAATGGGTCAAATCGTTCAACAACACGGTTGGTGAAGCGATCATGGCGGGCCACAGATTTCCACTCAACATTCTGAGGCGCTTCAACTCGGAAGTGGGGCAGTTCTTTAATCTGGCCGAAGTGATGTACTGGGCTTATTCTGACGGAACAAACCCCGGCCATCCGAACAACGAAGCGGCTCTTCGTAAGAACTATGTTGAATAGTAAGTGTCGCTGTTGGCTTTGACGGTGAAATCCGGGCTGATTATAGGCAATAGCATCCAAGAAGTGAAGAAGACACTGCCAAAAGATAGACTTCTTGTCGTCAGACTTGAGGATGGACTGGGCTGGGAGGAGATCTGTCCATTCTTAGACGTGCCTATTCCTGAAGAGAAGTACCCCCGAGGCAATGAGCCAGACAGATTCCACAAAATTATTGAAGAGTATCTGGAGCCAAAATTGAAGAATTCCATGATTAACTTAGGCACATTTGTGGCCACAATCGCTGGGATAGGTGGCTATGTGGGCTGGAGGTTATATCGCGGGCTTTAGGCTCATCAGCGCTCCCTTCTAGGGTGTCGTAGGAATAGAATAATGACATTGACCGTGAAATTAAGATTCTCACTTGGCTGTGGGGAATAGCTAGTCTTTATAAATGGGATCTTAGCGCGATGGCGTGATTTTGCTGCGATTTGGCTCATCGAGCCCGACCGCAGGATGGGTAAGTCCACAAATAACTGTCTCGCGGGTAGGCGATATAGCGTCGTATTCGCCAGGAATGAATTATGATCCGGGCTTCTCTAGTTCTTATCACTGTGCATACACATTAGCTTTTGAACAAGACCCGTAGTTGGGTAACCACTTGGAGGCAGATACAGGTTCAATCCGGTCGCAACACTGTTGCAGTGTCTTATCACATAAGCTATAGAACAAAGTGCCTCGGAGGAATAAAGTGCAATGCGCAAGTCTTTGGATAACACAAAGACTTATTATCTCGGTTCCAGTAGAGCTTGACAAACACTGGGCTCGAAGGTTGGGATACTTGGAGTTTCACAATCAAAGTGTGGAACAACTCGGTCCAGTGATCAAGTCAGCGATGGCTGTATACCTCAGGCCTCCACTGTTCCAACACCCCACATTCTTGTTCTATACTACTCCAACCAACAATCATCACTTCAGTTCAGTCATGTCGATCCAACGAGCCGTGCTTGTAGGGGCATATGAGATGACCCAAATGGCATACCATGAAAACAAAGAACGGCTAGACAGCATCTGAAGCAGTCATCTTGTCGTTTCCATTGTAAGTATGCGAAATAAGTTATCAGAAGTCATATGCACCCTGACCAAGATTGGCAATTGACACAATCTCGGAAGTGAACATGACAGATGGAATACAAGTATCGCCAATTTCAGGCAACAGTGAATCAGTGGCCGTTCACAAATCACACCGTTGAGGCTGGTAGAGAGGCTACTAGGTGGAGAGATAAAAGCTCCATGGTAATGGTCCACTTCCTTCAGACCCTTAGTATAGATATGATCTTCCACGATCTTATTCGATCTCTTTTACTAATTCAAGCAGAGATTCATTATAATTTTAGGATTGACTATCCAACTGGAAGAGCGCTTATCCGTACGCATACCACTGACATCATCCCGAGGGTTCCTAGCCGATCCGCAGTTGCGATCTACTGAATAGCGTATCCGCGGGAAGCCGATCGGGCAATAGGCTATATATTCTCTTAATCACAGAGATACCCCTCCTAACCCCTCAATAGAAGCCCATATTGGCACCATATCCTGTATAGGCGGCTTTTGTTTCGATGCTATAGCACTGGGAGGAAGATAGCATCCAAGAGGACACAATGCCGTCACCATCATTCACCCTCGCCAACCACACTCCCCACCTGATAATACAACCTTCCGACGCTGCTCTCTCCCCACCTGAGAGCTACCTGTTCGTTCAGGATGGTCTTATAATTAGCTGTGGGATCCTCTACGCCTTCTGTTACATTTTTTGCATGATTCGCACATACAGTGACCGGACATACCCGTCTGCGTCAGTCAAGGGGATCCAATTCATGAGCCTAACACTTGCCTACGAACTTTTCTACGCGGTGATGACTACAACTACCACCTTTGAGCTTCTTGCATTTCTGGCATGGTTTCTCCTTGACGTTGGTTTCGTCGCAGTGGCAATATGGCGAGCGCATGAAAAGCGCGATCGGGCGTGGCTCGTACGGAGAATAGTGGGCTTCGTACTAGCGGGCGTAGGCGTGCTGAAGGGATTGACGATGCTGTGGCCAGATGAGAGGGAGCAGGTCACAGCGTACTGGACAGGGATTCTGCTGCAGCTGCCGATCGGATGGATCTGTTTAGCGACCCTGTGGAAGGAGTGGGATACCAGAGGTCATTCGTTGGAGATCTGGTATGTGATTTGTAATGGCCTGCTTGCGTTTTACACCGCTGTAGAAGATGCTGACGGGGATACCAGGCTCATGCGATACTTGGGCTGCTATACAGCCTACGGGGTTTTCTTCTGGAGGTATTGGAATGTGCCACAAAACTGGGAATATGTGGCGTCGGTGTGGAGTACAGGGATTATTTTGTGGACACTGCTGCCTGAATCGGTCTATCCATTTGTATATGTCTGGGTGCATCGCACATCCAAAGTTAAGGGCGAGTAGACATCGCATCAGAGAGTTCTAAGCAGATCAGCAGAATAGCTTTGGGGACATGGTCTATACAATCTAGATAAATGGAAAGAAGCGATTAGATGCATCAGCGCAAGAGCCATAAAGTCGTTTGCAATGATGAATAAGACGTTTCCACTGTTAAAAGTAAAAAAGAAACACAAATAACCAGGCGTTTATCTTACAAAGTCGTGGCGGTGTTGGTAAGAACGAAACTCAAGCAGATGCGCCCGTGCGCCAACCGACTCTCGACGTTGCTGTCATGTGGATCGAGTCTCCACTGCGGGCGCCCGTCACACCGATGCCTGAATCTCTAGCATGATCTCCCTCGAACTCCTCTGTTTCATACTAACTCACATCCTGTCCATGCAACATTCTGCGCAATTGACTTTGCTTCAACCACTGGACTCGCAATGCTCTTCATGCAGCTAGGTCACCGAGTACCATGGCGCCGAGACATTGGGCGGCCCGGCGAAGACGAGGCTTGGTCTTCGTAAGGCACAATTCTATCTGTGAGAGACAATGGGCGAATCGGGTTCGCAAATCTGACGAGGCTACTAGAAGCCCATTATAGATCATAATCTTCTCTCAGGGCACTCAGAATAGCATCGCAATTTGTTGATCGCCAGTCCAGCACAGCACTCCGATGTGTTTCTGTTTCCCCGATTGCGGTCTGAATTCTTGCCAGCTCATACCCACTTCAACCCGGAACACCGCATCCCAATCAAATGCACACAACTTTCGTGCATCCCAAAACACGTTAAGAAGACAACCTTGCATTTACATATGCAACTGACGTGGTTTCTGGGCGCTAGTTCAGGCGGCTCTGAGTTGGCTTCGAGAGACTTCAGAGATCCACTCATCCGCCCATCCCTTCATCCCTTTCTTAAAGACAATCCGTGCCGCAGCAGCACAAAAATTTCTCATCTTCACATACTCCCCCACCTCAACCAGCTTATCTACTCATCTCATCAGCCATTGGGCTAATTGATGAACAAAATGGGCCAAAAGAACTACAAGCGGCTCTACTACAACCTCCTGCGCTCTCAGGAAAGTGAGGCACAACTTCAGGAGATCCCGATAACAGAATACCCTCAGCCAGAGATAAGGTCAGTCAAGTCATTGTACATTGCTTGCGGATGGATCCACTAACTTTGGCGTTCATCTAGCTGTTACACGACACCAATCGCCACCGTTGTCATCGGTCAAACCCACTTCAAGATAGCTGAATACCACCTGCGCCCTTATTCAAGCTTATCACACAACTCATCGGAACTCCGTATCAGCGACATTAACGAAGACATCGGACATACGTTCATCCACTTTCTCAGCACTGGCTGCTATGAAACCCTAAAACCAACGGATCTTGGCCCGGAGAAATGCCCCTGGGCTCGCGAATTCGAGCGCAGTGTTTATGCCTATCATGCTGCGAGGCGGTACAGCATCTTCGGACTTGAAGAGCACGCCAAACGGTATATGCTGACTTTCAGTGAAGAAGTGTCAACGCGCCAACTTCTGAAGACGGTCAGCAAGGTGTACTCTGAACTTCCAGGCCACGATTCATGGTTTGAGAGTTTCATCCGGGATAAGCTCGCTGCTGCTTTCGAGAAAGATGAATTCAGCTTCAGGTACCGAGTTGTGCGCGACGGCCTGGGCTCTGATGACGATTTCAACCGTTTCTTGATGTACACGACTTTGGAGATCTACGCGGATAAACTGACTTCGCTGCGGGAAACTGCACCGAACGGACACCACCAGACCAACGGCCATACGGAAATCCCTTCTGAGGAGAAAGTTCCTGCGGAAGAAAAGCAGTCGACCACCGAATCTCCTGATGATAAAGAGGAGAGCTCACCACGGTATCCCGATGAGCCGCTTTCCGCAGATGACACGCCAACTGTCGTCAATGCTGTGCATTCACGGCCCCACTCGCCGATCCCACCCTCAACGGCTTTCTTAGCCTCTCCAGCCCAAAATGGATACAATTGGGCTTCATCTTGCAGCGATTCTCCACCCAGGGAGTTTCCGACATTTGCTCCTTCACCTCCTTTGATTAGGCGAGAGACTGTGGACTGGGCAGATCCGGATCCAGAGCCAGAGCGAGAACCAAGCTTTCGGCCAGAGACGGAGCCACCTACAGATCAAAAGCCAGATCAGGAGCTTGAGCCGGAGCAGACGTCAAAGCAAGAGCCCGAGCAGAAGCCAGAGCTGGAGATAGAGCAAAGGCCCGAGTCGGTGCTAGAACAAGAGCCAGAACCCGAGCCCGAGCCCAAGCCCGAGCTAAAGTTCGAGCCGCAGCCGCAGCCGCAGCTACAACCACAACTGCAATCCCTCCCTCCACCGGACCTCAAACGAAAGACAGAACCCGAGCCCGTGATTAAAACGGAGCCAGAGTTAAAGTCAGTACCACTCCCGAAGCCGGCGCCTGGAAACCAGGCACCACCGGCAGAGCAGCCCGCTCAGCCTAAAAAAAAGAACAAGCCCAACTCACACAGAAGGAAGAAGAAGAACGCCCAAATGCATGCAGCGGCTGCTCAGCAAGCTGGGCCACAAGCCAACGGGTCGGCCGCGAAGCCGTCATCCTGATGGTAAAAGTCCTAAGATGCGGTCTGAGACTCTGCCGCTGTTCACCAAACCCAAGTCCCACGCTCTTTTGGAATATTCTCAAGTCACCCGTCGGTCATATATCCTCGGCTTATAAGGATATAATGGGTATCATTCACTCGTTTACTACATTTCTTATGTCGATGTACTATACACTCTTTGCTATTTATGATGGAATTGCTCGCTCATGAGCGAAATTCCGTCCCTGAGCTGGTGTTGTAGAGGGATGTGGGCAGGAAATTCCTTAACCTGGACTTCTCTCTCGCACATACCGCATCAATCATACAGAACAGTTCCGCTGTAAAATGTGGGACATATACCATTCTCTCTCAATCATTATTCCTGATTCATGGAAAGAAAGCCGATAAAATCCTTGTAGAATAATATCCCTGTAGCTGGAATGAGAAGAATTCCGAATGAATAAACACTTCATCGGCTTTCATGATCCTTTTAAAATAGCGACAAACGTCAGCTTCCCTACTTATTCCCAACAGGGTTACTTGGGCGGACATCCCAATATGCAATGTTCCGAGTATATATATATTTTACTGCATCAGAAAGCAGAAAGAGAACAAGTCCACCGGGTAAGGCTGACACGGGTGTCGTTGCCTTAGGCCCATAGCGAGGATGATGGAGACGATCCCCTCGGAATGACATCACATCTTCGATTCCCGCATTCACCACATCATTAACATTGCATATGTATTCTAGACGTTCTAGAATGGTTTACCCCTGACACACCTGCTTTTGCAAAATGAGGCACAATTTCTGGTAGTCTGGATGAGCTCCAGGCCGAGATTTAGGATTGTCATTCTGGCGTCATGGGCGTCGCAGCAACCAGCGCCGTGAGAATTGCTCGCTACCATCATATCCACGTCATGGACTCAGACCACCATCATATCAGGTCCACAAGATGCAATTATCCCTGCATCGTCAAATCCCCAGTTAAATATGTCCATTCCACGACGATCAACCATTTTCCTGGCGTATATAGCTCCCTCCCGGCTTCTCTCACGACAGATCCCATATCACATCCGCCAACTCCACCGCAAGAATTTCTCCAGCCTCAATCCCACCGCTAATATGAAGATCGCCATTACCGGAGCCCGCGGCACCGTAGGACGCGCCGTTGTCAGAGAGGCCTCTCAGGCCGGCCACTCCACAGTCCAGGTTGATCGGACCGATACTGAGTACGATGGGACGCCCAATTCCGAGATGAAGACCGCAGACACGGCCAATAACTACGAAGCCACGCTTGAAGCCTTCAAAGGTTGTGATGCCGTTATTCATCTTGCTGCCATACCAGACCCCATAGGGAAGGATGACCAAGTGGTACACAACAACAATGTTACATCGGCATTCAACGGCTTCTATGCTGCTGCACAACTGGGGATCAAACGCTTCTGCTATGCGTCGTCAGTAAACGCGATCGGTCTCGAATATGCCACGCGACCGCTTAAATTTGAATACTTTCCCGTTGACGAAGAAGCACCGCCCAACCCGACAGATTCTTACGCACTGGCTAAGCAAGAAGCTGAGACCCAAGCAAGAACATTTGCTCGATGGTTTCCCGGAATGAACATCGCGTGTATGCGTATCCATGCTGTGGCGTCCCGTGAGGAGGCACAGAAAGGACACAATGAGAATTGGGAGGACTCAGCCGTTAAGAGCTTGTGGGGATGGGTGAGCCCGGATGCGACGGCAAGAGCCTGCTTGTTGTCTGTGGAGAAGGCTGAGAAACTCAATGGATGTGAGATATTCAATGTTGTTGCTCCGACCACGACGCAGGACACGCCGTCGATCGAGCTTGCGAAGAAGTATTATCCCGATACCGAGATTCGGCACGAACTCAAAGGAAACCAGTCTTTCTTTACAGCTGAAAAGGCGAATAGGATCCTCGGATGGGTACATGAGGAGTGACTGGCCGGTAAGACATGTCGCCTTTAGAAGCGTTTTCTTCCGATATCGAATTGAATGAACCAAATCAGTCTGTACTGCCAAGCAAATAGCAATGCCGACTTGTGAAAGTATAACAATCCGTACTATTCTCGCTATTATAGTGAATTTAGTTTCTTCCCACGAGTCATGGTCGAATGGGGTCTTTAAGCTGCTTATCTTCCCGATCTCGCCAACTGGCAGGCTCATCACGCAACTGCACCCCTCCAAATGACGCCATCTCCGCCAATGCACCATCTCCCGCTTGGCTTAGGAGCATTGATCAACTGCAAAAATGTAGACCGTATTGCATGAAGAATACTATCCAGACATAAACTCATTATGGCTCATCATCATTACCTCCATCACTGCATGGCTCTTGCATGGCTATTGCATGGCTCTTACACGTTCAAAGACTATCCAACTCACTTACGATGAAGCAATTGAAGTCCTAAATCACGACTTGGGACACGGCTGACTAGCCAAGAATTCGCACTCGATCTAATCATGCATGAAGGACCCTCGCTTAGAATGGTTAGTATCTGATCACACGCGGTATAGAGTGCAGAACATGAGTGGTCTGCCATGAGGAGGTCCTTGCATTGATGCTCCGTTATCTCTCGTCGCGAGATATCTTGGAAATGGCGTGCCTTGGGTTGGTGGCTGCGAGCTCGCAGCTTGCAGCCTTTAAAGCTTCCGATCGCGGCCTACTACGAGGAAGTATGGGAGTCCGCAGTTTTTCTACCTACTACTGGCAACATGGCACCTCAAAAGGATGTCAGTCAAGAGACTGCCGATCAATTCGATCAGCGGCAGTACTCAGACTCTTCGCAAGGCCTTGCCTCTCCGAAGGATAAAGCTCAGGTCCATACACGCCCGTACGAAGATGCGACGGATGAGACCCTTGACAATCCCTTCGCCGACCCTGATGTTGCGGAGCGCTATGCTCTCATCTACGAGAAAGCGCAGTACGAGTGTCGGCATGTCTTTGACCCAACACTTACATGGACAGCGGAAGAGGAGAAAGCACTCGTCCGGAAATTGGACTGGAGAGTGTGTCTATGGGCTGTAGGTTAATGCGATCCTTGCTTTACTTGGAAGTATGCTCACTACGGGTGATAGTGCGTGATGTTCTTTGGCCTTCAGGTTGACCGAGGAAATCTTGTCCAAGCTGTGTCGGACAATTTGCTGGATGATCTTGGTCTCACCACGAATGGTGAGCGCATCGCTTCATCTACCTACTAGGTCTCTAACGTGTGCAGACTACAATACCGGAAACACAATCTTCCTTGTCGCCTTCCTTCTAGCCGAGTTGCCTTCTCAATTGGTGTCAAAGCAGATGGGTCCCGATCGCTGGATTCCCACGCAGATGACTATTTGGTCGATCGTTGCTGCAGCACAGGCTGCTTTAAGTGGGAAGAAATCTTTCTATGCAACAAGGGCATTGTTGGGGATTCTTGAGGTGAGTGAAATGCTCTTGATTGAGAGGTCTTTCTAACCTGTATAGGGTGGTTTCATTCCTGACATTGTGTTGTGGTTATCTTATTTTTACACTAGTCGAGAATTACCAACTCGCTTGAGGTGAGATTCTACCTCTTCTATCTCACTCAGCCATTTACTGACAGTCATAGTATTTTTTGGACTGCTCTATCTTTAACTACTATCATTACCTCGTTCCTCGCATTCGGTATTCTCCACATGCGTGGTGTTCAGGGCATGGCTGGCTGGAGGTATGCATCGTGCTTTCCCTTGCTCTACAAGTCTAATAGAACCTACAGGTGGCTTTTCCTAATCGAAGGCCTCATCACTCTTATTATTGGCCTGGCATCCTACTTCCGTATGCCTGCCTCCGCTGTCGACACCAAGAAATGGTTTCGTCCAAAGGGGTGGTTCACAGACCGTGAAGTAAGTATCGTGGTCAACCGGGTTTTGCGCGACGATCCCTCGAAGGGTACGTTTCTGTTACATCCTCTTACTTTTGATTTCCATGCTCACATGCACCAGGCGACATGCACAACCGGCAAGCCATAACCCCGCGTCGTCTCTGGAACTCCCTCCGAGACTATGACATCTGGCCGATTTATCTTCTCGGACTAGTGGTTTACATCCCTATGACACCAATGACGTCCTATATCACTCTGATCCTCAAGGGTGTGGGGTTCGGCACCGTAAGCCTGCTGATCTCTACAAATTCAATATTGCATGCTAATTCAAGATCAAATAGTTCACTACGAACCTTCTTACCATCCCCTATAGTGTCGGGCACATCATCTGTCTGCTAGCCCTCACTCGTCTCAGTGACTGGCTGAAAGAGCGCTCCCTGGTGGCAATGATCCAATCCATATGGACATTACCCTGCGTTATAGCCCTCCGGTTCTGGCCTGGTACAATGACCAACGCATGGGGGACATATGCCATCGTGACCGTGCTACTCTGCTATCCCTACTGCCACGCTATCCTGGTGGGATGGTGTTCGAAGAACTCTAACAACGTGGGAACCCGAACCATTTCAGCAGCATTATATAACAGTGAGTCAGCCTCTTCCACCTTAGTACATTACAAAGAACTATCTCTGATAGACTTTGATAACAGTGTGCGTCCAACTCGGCGCCATTATCGGGAATAACATCTACCGGGCGGACGATAAACCCAAATACCATCGCGGAAATTCCGCTCTCATAGGAATCAATATCCTCGCTATATTGCTCTTTATTGCCACAAAGATATACTATATCTATAGAAACAAACACAGGGAGCGCGTCTGGAATGCAATGACCGAAGAGGTTAGTGTTGTGTCGTGTTGGTGTAATAGTCAGCTAACTCGCCACATAGGAACGACAGGATTACTTGCAGAACACGACAGACACGGGAAGCAAGAGGTTGGATTTCCGCTTTGCACACTAGTATTTGCTATATATCTATTCCATACCGTGGCAATGTAAACACCAGCCAAACGTTGTACTGTTACATAGATCTACGGAGCAGACATGAGCCTAATCGGGTTAATCCCGAATAGTAGGCAGATGACTTGTGGGTGCCTTCATGTCCAAGTCCACAAAAGTTTAATGTGGACAAAGCGAACAACGGAACTATCATGCCCAAGTCTGTGTTACCATTATCATAATGAATTCAATGTTCTCTTTTATGTTACACAACCATCTATCTAGGACTCATACCAAGTCATTTACGATTGTAGCTTATGAATTGTAACACTGACGTGTTCCACAACCTGGATCGGTAGCTCAGTGGTAGAGCGTAGGATTGCAGATCCCGAGGTCACGCGTTCGAACCGCGTTCGGTCCTTTTTTTTGCACTGTTTGCCTCGGTCCATCCATCCGCTGGAATATGAGGCAGAGGTGTATTTATGCTTTTATTCAATCTTTACCTTTTACCTTCTTATTTTTAATATTGCATATTGTTTTATTCAATGGAGAGAACAATAGGGGAAGGGTGAGGTGGAATAAAGTACCATTCACTGCTAGGCATCAAATTGGGGTGATTCTTTGTGCCATGTGGGAATTACGATGAGCGCATGATATAGTCATGTTAATTGTTGAAACAATGCGTCAGGTCAAACTTGAAGTAGTGAAATGCTTTACTTAGCCTAGTACTGGAATTGCAAGATCCTAGTTAAGGCCGTCAAAGTACCGGGGTTAGGAACATCACTATGATAGGTGTCTGCCGTAGTATCGACGTGTCCCTGGAACATTAGGCCCGTCTCGTTTCTGAGAGGATCCGGCCTCATATTCACCTAAGCTTATAAGGAATGCGCATTCTGGGTCTCTTAACTCTGAATCTTAGTCTTTCACCGGATAGCCTAGCGGTATTGAATTCCAGTGGTTTCACTTCTGAAGCGTACTAGGAGCGAGTTCTGACGGTTTCTATCCCCTCTTGACTCCTTTACTTCGAAACATCTTCATCGAGACCTCTTCTATCAACGAAGTAATTCCACTGCCTTCGACAATGTCTCGAATCACGTACTTCCCCAATAGGCTCTGGCACGGGATAACCCTAAATTTCCCGGAGAATGACCTACATTCTCTGCCCCCCTCATCGTGGACAACAACACTGAGGATTAGCGCGGGGCTCGATACATCTGCTCAGCAAGAAGCAGAGAAAACGAGGCAGATCTCTATCGGTGACAGAGCCCTGAATATCCCGCAGAATGGCCTCATTCTCTGCCTCCTTCATCGTGGACAGTGACACATAAGATTAGCGAAAAGTCCGGTGCGTACACTCAGGAAGAAGCAGAGGAATGGTGTCAATTCCCTCTCGCCCACGCAAGATTCGAGTGTGAAAATGTCGAGGACTCAAACGAGAAGGCTATTCTTAGGGTGTTCATGGAAATCCCTTGTGTGGACACTAATTGTCCTGCCGCCCCCCGGGGGACTTATGGGATTCCCAATTGCGTGAGAATAGCTGTTGGTGCCCACAAGCTCCTGACCCTCCACAATGCTAAGTACTCCCCAAAACTATTCAATACATGGAAGTGCCGCAGACCGAGAATCGCCGCTTCTTCTTGCCAGGTGGTAAGATATATTACATGGTTTACAATAAGCTCTCTGGGGTTCCTCTTGGTAATGGGCTCATCAGCTACACTGAAGACGGGAGAGCCTTCGAGGAAGGGCTCTTCTGGAGACTTCCTAGGGTTGAAAGAGATCGAATTCGCACCGCGTTCCAGGTCGCGTATCTGTATGTGCTTACATTGATATATATGTAGTAAAATCAGCCTGTTCTAACTATCAAACAGTGAGCATATCAGAAGCAAAGCGACTGCTGTTCCTTCATCTCTAAGCAGGATGCTCTGGGATAGAGTATCAGGAAATATGTAAGATCTGCAGTAGCAAGGATCTGTTTGGATCATACTAATCTATATTTAAATAGTTATATTCAAGGCACCTTCGAACCGCTTGATCTGCGGGATATAGCGCCAACGCTCTATCATAAGTTGGATGATTACGGACCAAAGGTGCTGGATATTTGGGGCCTGGCCATAGCTCCGAAAGGAGAGGTTGATTACAACGTTCCTATAGCCGGACTCGAACAAAAGGGTTGGCTTCTTTGAACTTCAATCTACCTATCCAGCTACAGGGGCGGGAAGCCGCATCTGGTTTTTATTTTTAGGGATGTTGCTTGTCACGTTTGTGAAGGGACTTTATTTAGCAAAGACTCCCCTCAGCGATGAGCTCGCACCTTAACGTGGTGCTGTGGCTTAATAGCCTGAGTGGAATTCGGGTGAAGCCAAGAAGAACTTACGTATTTCAGCAGCCTATTTTTATCAGTGGAGATAGTTTAGTTTGGGTCTATAAACCAACTGAGAAGTTAGGTATAGCCTTCATTATATTAGTGTTTTCGAAAGAAAGAAAGAAAACAAATCGAGGAGTAATAATACAAAGATATCCCCTTTTACAGTAGATATTGATAAGTCCTGGCCTTATCGCCTTATGTAGCACATTAGAGATAGTATCTATACTGTAAATGTTGGTTTGAAAATGGCGCTCGGCTGAAAAAATGTAGCAGCTAATCTTGAGAAGAATGTTAGGGAATAATTATAAGATACTATCCGGGTCCGTAGTGTGTTTCGCACTGGCTAGCTACCGATGGTCAGAGATATCTGGTAGCGAAAATGCAAAGGAAAGACACCGTAAGTGAAGAAAAAGGGGATAGAAGCTTCTTGGCTATGAATTGTAAGTGGTCTAAAGACATCACCGAGAACCCTTGCGTGTGGTTCTGGGGAACTGAGACTGAATTTAAGGCTGCAGCCTGGAGTCTCCAGCCTCCACTCGAAGGCAATTTCATGCTCGATCTTCATTCGTACTCGTTCCTACATCCTAATGCAGAAGAGTGAGAGTTTCTGGACCCTTAAACCGGGGAATCTAGTGCCGCCCCACATGTTTCCGATCGCTCGTTTTCGTTAATTTCTTACCCGATTAAGTTAACTGAACGAGTGAAGAGTATGTAGTAATGCTCTGCGACCTAGTCGTAGGGCTGAAGTACTTCTATATAAACCGTCATGCGGCCTCCAGAAAAAGCCCCCGAAAAAAGTACTACCATCGGCCCAAAGACAGGGAATATCACACCATGTATAGTGGTAGCAGCCTTTTCGCGACGCTTATTCTAGCAGCCAGCGGCGTGGCCAGCGCCCTCGACTGCAAATGCGTAAGTTCTCTGACGAGTTATACATTCTTATTCTACTATATATGGTACACTAACCATCGCCATTATTATAATTACCCTGCAGTCCCCCTCCGACCCATGCTGGCCATCTACAGATCAATGGACCTCTCTCAACCAAACCGTATCCGGAAGACTTATCCGAGCGGTACCAGCAGCATCCGTCTGCTATCCCAACGAGCCCAACTATAACCCAGCAGCTTGCACGTCTGTCCTGGGCAACTGGACCACATCAAAATTCCATGCCTCAGACCCAGTCAGCGTCGATGACCCGGTCTGGTCCAACAACAGCTGCAATCCGATTTACCCTGATGGAACTAGCATCACAGGAAATGTGCATGCGGAGCAGGAAGGCTGCGGTATTGGTAACTACCCGGTCTATGTGATCAATGCCACCGACGCTAGTCACATCCAGGCTGGGCTGCAGTTTGCGAAGAAGTGGAATCTGCGACTGAATATCAAGAATACCGGCCATGGGTCTGAGCGCAGTATTAATCATGGAAGTTTGTCGTATGTTTCTCATTTCAGTCTTCGATACATACTATGATCGTTGCTAACGGGTACATAGTATCTGGACCCATCACTTGAAGGAGATTCAATTCTACGAGCACTTCCAGCCTCACCAGTGCAGCAAGATCAATTCCACCGCGGAAACTGCGAACCAGACGAGGACGATGGCTGCTACTCTCGGGGCTGGTGTGCAGGACGGTGAACTTTTTGCCGCACTCGCTAAACACAATGCCACGGCTGTCGGCGGAACAAATATGGTAAGGAAGGAAATTTCTGGAAGAATTGAGGCAGAAACCCTGACAGAAAATCTAGGACGTCGGAGTCGTGGGCTGGGCGACCGGTGGTGGCCATGGCCTGGCCACTGGCACATACGGCATGGGCGCAGACAACATCATCGAAGCGGAGATAGTCACCCCAGCAGGCGACCTCGTGACCGTGAACGCTTGCCAGCACGAGGACCTCTTCTGGGCTATTCGCGGAGGCGGAGGCGGCACCTACGGTGTGATTGTCTCGGTCACTGTCAAGGCGTATCCCATGCCTCTGGTAACCATGGTCAACCTTTCCCTTACCGCCAAGAACACAACCAGCGAGCATGAATGGTACCGACTCGTTGCGAAATCTCACAGTTACCTTGCTGAGCTTCAGGTGAATGGTGCTCATGGATACTACACCATGAGCAGCTCCCCGCAGCTAAACCTGAACGGTGCTCTGCTGTTGTACAATGCGAAGAACGGCACTGCTGAGAGGCTCGTCCGTCCTTTCCAGAACTTCTTGAAGACCCAGGAGACTATTGCGACCGGCATGGTTGCGCCAATGATGACGCTGCCTTTTTATGATGTCGTGCAGATGATGCCTGCCATTGAAACGGTCGGCAAGACGCAAGGTGTGCGGGCATCACGGTTCATCCCACGCCGGGCTGTCAAGGAAGATGTTGAACTTCTAGCCGATACATTGGAGGCCATCATGTCTCGCAAGGATTCTGTCGATGTAAGTAACCCTCCTAAGACCCTGTCCCGTGCCCATCATAGAAATTGTTTTCTAATGAGAAATATTGGATGCAGGGCGTATCCGCTCCTTCAATCTCCGGCACCATGACTGGCAGTTCCACCCCAGTCGACAACGCTCTGAACACGGCTTGGAGAGATTCAGTCGTACACCTAATCGTCCAACAAAGCTGGAATGAATCCCTTCCGTTAGCCTTGGCCGAACAGACCATCTACAACATGACGTACGGCAGGGGGTATGCCCTTCGGCAATTGGCCCCTGATACCGGATGCTACTTCAACGAGGTAAGTAGTTTTCCTCATGATTAAGTTGGATAATTGAAGACAAACTATGTTCGAGATATGGGGCTAACGAATCATCGTTGTTATAGGCAAACCCATTCGAGCCAGAGTGGCAGACTTCGTTCTTCGGATCGCATTATCCTCGACTCCATGCGATCAAGAGCACATATGATCCCGAGGGTTTGCTTTGGTGTCGTCATTGTGTTGGTAGTGAGGCATGGAAGGAGCAGGTGGATGGAAGGTTGTGTCGGGCGTTCTAAGGTTTATATAGTCACCGGTGTACTAGTAGTGTAAGAATAGTAGTATGAATATATAGGGAGACATCAACGTTGAGAAAGGGGTTTATCACAGGAAGTTACACATTGGCAAATGAAGGAATAAGGCTCTATCCTTACTTACTACGCTAGAAGAGTCAATATAATATTCTATGCATAATTTAATTATGGCGCTGGGTGACTACAAAACAATATTGCTGTTAATTTATTGGATATCCGAGGTTGTCATCAAAAGATGATCTGAAGCCTGGCCGTAAAAGGGTGATATACTATTATAATGCTTCATTGTTTCAACGATTAGTCAGTGTGGCCGAGTGGTTAAGGCGATAGACTAGAAATCTATTGGGTTCGCCCGCACAGGTTCGAGTCCTGTCGCTGACGTTTCTTTTTTTCTTTTACTTTTTGTTTTGCTCATCAACAAAAGGACATTGAACGCTTCACCAGAAATTTCATCATATTTTCCTATTTTGCAATCAGATTTTCATTTTAGGCGTACTAATCATGACCTCAATAGTACATCTACTTCAGTCTTCATTCCCACCTTGATGGTGGTGAGAGATTAGTTTTCTAAGTGATTGCAATTGGTAACATAAAACACGGATACCCAGTCACTTCATAAATATATATTGTGTGCGCTAACAACTGCGAGGAATATACCACCACTACTGATGTTAATTATTGTTGATGGTTTTACTTCAATCAAGGCTTCTCCTTCTCTTCACTATTACGTGTCAGATAGCACTACAGCACGCCAGAATTATCATGCATTTACTTACCTTTTGAGTGACATTTGAACTGAGTAATTGTGTTGATGATCCCGCAGCTGCAGTATCTCAGCCCGACCCATAAACCACCCTTTGAAAACATAGAACAGCAAACAAAGCAACAGACATGGATCTAGTCCATCATCAACCAGAAATAATAGCACAAGATATTGTACAAGGGCCTCCTGGCAGAATTAGTCTAGCCTTTGCCGCAGACATTTCACAACGAGAGGCCAGACATCCAATCAAGCGCTCCGATGGCGTCAGCAACGAGCTCTCTCTCGCAACCCTTTAGCGCAGGTACACCACGCGTCGCCATCCATGGCCCCTCACTATCATCCCATTGACCAATAATTGAATCTACAACGTATACGGACCCCGTAGTATACCTCCGCTCCTACAGAGCACTCATGTCTATTGCCCCTCATCGTCGCATTCACATAACAGTAGCACTCCCCGGACCGGAAGTTCCATCTCCCCTCGAAACTTATATCCCACAACCCCTTCTCCTCCCCATGAACAAACAAACAGACACACTCCATCATAAACCTCAACCAGAAATGACGATTAGATTCCTCCAATCCACAACTCCCACACCATCACCCACCATGCCTCCCGCACCGCGTCCCAACATCCTCTTCATAATGGCCGATGACCACGCCTCCAAAGCCATAAGCGCCTACAACACCAACATCAACCACACCCCCAACATCGACCGGCTCTACCATGACGGCATGAAATTCAACCACTGCTACGTGACCAACTCTATCTGTACGCCCAGCCGCGCCACAATCCTCACAGGCACCCACAACCACGTGAACGGGGTCATGACATTGGACAGCAAGATCAACAAGCACCTGCCCAATGTCGCAAAGCATCTACGCACCGGCGGCTACCAGACCGCCATGATTGGCAAGTGGCATCTAGGCGAGGGAGAGGACCACGAACCCTCTGGGTTTGATTATTGGAGCGTGGTGCCGGGACAGGGGAGGTATTTTGATCCGGAGTTTATTGAGATGGGTGGGAAGAAGATAGTCGAGCCGGGGTATGCGACGGACGTTATTACGGATAAGTGTTTGGGGTGGTTGAAGGAGAGGGACAATGGGGTTGGGGAGAAGAAGCCGTTCTTCCTCATGTGTCATCACAAGGCACCGCATCGGTCGTGGGAGTGTCATCCTGCTCATCGGGGATTGTACCAGGAGGATGTGGTGTTGCCGGATACGTTTGACGATGATTATAAGAACCGGGCGAAGGCCGCAGAAGTTGCTAAGATGCGGATTGAGAGTGATATCACGTACTTTGATTTGGGGCTGGTACAGCCCGAGGGAGGCGCAGAAGTTGGGGAGTTGTTTGGGAGCCGGTCGACTGATAGGAAGATTCCGAATGTTTCTGATGCGGAGATTGAGGGGTTTCGATTGATTGATAAGGACACGGCGGAGGTGTTTACGTTCAAGAGTAATGAGGAGCTGCGCCGGTTCAAGTATCAGCGGTATTTGAAAAGGTACTTGCGGACGATTCACTCGATTGATGAGAATGTGGGGAGACTGTTGGATTATCTGGATGAGGAGGGGTTAGCGGAAAATACTGTGGTTATTTATACCTCCGATCAGGGATTCTTCCTGGGTGAGCATGGCTGGTTCGATAAGCGATTCATGTATGAGGAGTCATTCCAGATGCCGTTCCTTATCCGGTACCCCAAGCTAATCAAGCCGGGATCGGTTTGCGATGATATTATCTCCAATGTGGACTTTGCGGCGACTTGGTTGGATCTGGCTGGCTTGCGGATCCCCTCGTACATGCAGGGGGTGTCGTTTGCTCCGCTGCTCGAGGGGAAGACGCCTGCGGATTGGAAGCAGGTCGCGTACCATCGGTATTGGATGCATCGGGATCCTATTCATAATGCGTATGCTCATTATGGGGTCCGCAATCAGAGGTATAAGCTGATTTATTGGTATGCCGAGGGTTTTGACCTACCGGGAACGCAGGAGGGTGGGCAGCCGAAGGAGTGGGAGCTGTTTGATTGTGAGAAGGATCCTCTCGAGTTGTTTAATGTGTATAATGACGCGAAGTATGCGGATGTGGTGGTTGAGTTGACGAAACTGTTGGATGAAACGATGCTGGAGATTGGAGACACTCCGGTGCATTGATGGATGTATGTATAGTATGGTTAAGGGGTTAGAATATACTTAGATAGAGCAAGAAAGGCGCCTATTCTAGGACTACTAAGACGGTGGCTAGTTAGACTGCAGTAGAAAGTAAGCAGGATGTGAGAATAGTGTGAGCTTAAGATTGAGCCATGTATACAACTTTATAGTACTAACTGTATAGTGGAAAGATAATGACTATAGATTTCCATAGTAGAGGGGCGTCTAGTCCGAAGAACCAATTAGTATGGTGGCATCCCTTTCTAAGAACATCCTCGAACTTCTCAACCAGTATCGTTAGAAAGAAGACGAATTGAGATGGGTAAGTGGCAAAATATGTGGAAGAACTAACCGCTAGACCAAAATCGATAAACGGCTCTTGGCTAGCTAGGCGACGGAGAGATATGTGTCCCAACAAAATACATTCAGCTACTCCAATCTATCCTTTACACATATTGCGGTGTCCATTAGTGTGTTATCCCGACTCCTCGTTACGTCGTGGCCCCCATCAGAGCTGCTCCTATTGCCAAAAGTTGATAGTAGCCCTCGTGGTTGCCGCCTTCCATTGAGTCGTACACTTTCGATTAGACGACAATATATTGGCAGGGTGTGAGCGATTCATTTGTTCAAGGCAAGGAAAAACACTGCTGTCGCCTTCAAGCCAAGCACATAGTTGTGAAAAGCGGGATATTTCGTCCTAGTCCCATTCGTAAATACATTGGAATAAGGCACCGTTAAGCTAGGGTACATCTTCTGCATTTTGTCTAAGGGCCCCAGGATCATACCACCATCAGATAACCAGACCAGTCCCACCGTAGCCAAGACTTTGACAGCTTAGGCAGATACGAGTACGCGCCAGCTAAGTCTTGGTATGTAGCTAACAAGTTGCACAATTCACCGCCATTTGCCCTGTGCTGAAGTTGACTATGTTAAGGGTCAGAGTTGAGGTTTTGGTACGCATGCAGGCGTCTCAGTGATTTAGTTCCGAGCGAGCAACCTAGGCAAATCACTAAAGGCAGAAAGGCTGTTCGAGGTTGAATATGAAGTAATTTCGGGTTCAACTGTACCACGGACATTTTCAGATCTCATATTTTCGAACACGAAATACGAGAAAATATGCATATTACCCCCTCCAACGCGGATGCACCGGACCAGCCCAAGCCCGAGACCGAGTTGAGTGCCTCCGTAGCCGACAATATTGACCGGGGCATGGTACACACCCCCTAGAAAATCCCGGAAGCAGATGGCTTGCGAATCCCGCTTTGCCAAGAAAGACAGATAAGTTAAGCTCATTTATGGGTGGATAATTGTGCTTGACTCTGAGAATAGTCTTGGAATCCCGCGAATACCACCAGCCTTGAATCTCTTAGCCATCTTGGATATACTCCACTCTAGCGTTCCTCAACACCCATGAGAACTATGAATGATGTCCTCTGTTTCGTGGAAAATTATTCGTTGATAAACTCCGTGTCTAAAGCAGTTTGTCCTTGCAGGGCCAGGGCCCTACAGGATGATCGACATGGCTGCTTCGCTTGGGCGAAAAGGCGCGAACCAGTGATGCAGCATGTATTAGCTACGGTCGTATAATGATGCTCGACAGAGTGCAGTGATTAGCTCCAACAAAACGAATCATATCAATTAACCGGCGGTTGAAGCCGCTCGGAGTTCAACAACACTTAATATCAGCGAGTTTCTTGGCAGACAGAAGTCCAGTCTAGAGCTGACCTCGACACGGGTGACATTTATGTGACAAATGAACTGATATTATGGAGCAGGTATTGATTAGAATGCCATGGACAGCATCACTTTCTCAACCAGTGTGATCCCCTGGAAGTACAATGGGGTTGAAGTTTCACACTTTCTTGGATTCAGGTTAGGGTTGGTGCCGACCCACTGCGGGCCCGGAAGATGAAGAAATTGAAGGCGAGAATAGAACGATTCCTGCGACACCACCATATCATCCAATCGCATTACCCCATGGGCATCTAAGACAAAAGGTGGTCGGCTATCGAAGAAGCTGGCATGATCGCATAACTATCGGAATTCGGAAGAATGTCTGCGTTCGTGCGCACAACGACGTTCCTAAAATTTATCCGATGATCAACCGAGGAACCAGGGTCGAACCCCTGAAAGGAATCTCGCCGAAAGGATCAATCATATTGGTTCGCGGACCCTGTAAAGTGCCCTAAAGGGTCTTTGCCAGAGTCTCGATAGTGGGATCGGCACTGGCAGTTTCTAGTCTCGTCAGTGCGGCCATTTCCGACCGATCCGTAGTGCTGGTGGGTCCCAGAGCAGTCTATATCGATATCATCACCAAATTCCAAGGACCATGGGATGACGAGTATGCATTGGCACTGAGAATTGCCGAGATCATGCCCCCGTCCTGGGAGTGCATCCATCAAGCATGTTGCGACAGAGTGAAACAGCGTGGATAAGCCGGATGGGGCAGATGGGGGAAGAGAGCGAGACACGGCATCAGCAGTGGAGATGCCGAGAAGTGCCGAGAGCCGCCGATGCTTCGACCTTCAGCCCAAGCGTCAATCCATGCCTTCTTGGGACGGGGTTGGCCGGACTGTAAGCCCGTTAGCGTCTGAGATACGCCGGATGACACGAACCTTGGTGCTTACCAATGCTGTGATGCATGCAGTGCCGGCGGTATCCCTGGCTGAAGCGCCCATCGCCGTTAGAGATTGATACCCGGGTGGATCGGAGGGTCCCCTTGGTCTTTCCACCAATAAAGGAGGTATCTCACTGCTTTGTTCAGGAACAGAAGCTTAGCATGGACCAGTATTTCACGTATAAAACTCTCCAGGACTTCCGTCGTTGAGATGCTCTATCCAACAACACCTCACTCTTCCACTCCTTGTTCTTTCTTTCTGTTGACCAGACCCCGTCCATTCTTTTGACCGAAACTTGTTCTGTTGACCAGAACCTATTCCAACAATCACCATGCACTCTTACCAGCTTCTTGGCCTGGCCGCTGTCGGCTCCCTCGTCTCTGCCGCCCCCGCTCCTTCTCGCGTCTCCGAGTTCGCTAAGAAGGCCTCTACCTGCACCTTCACCTCTGCCTCTGAGGCCAGCGAGAGCATCTCCAGCTGCTCCAATGTTGTCCTGAGCAGCATCGAGGTCCCCGCTGGCGAGACCCTCGACCTGTCCGATGCTGCTGATGGCTCCACCGTATGTGTTCTCAACCGTCTTCCACCCTGGCTATCACGCTAACACCATCTAGATCACCTTCGAGGGCACCACTTCCTTCGGATACAAGGAATGGAAGGGTCCCCTGATCCGCTTCGGTGGTAAGGATCTGACCGTCACCATGGCCGACGGCGCTGTCATCGACGGTGACGGTTCCCGCTGGTGGGACAGCAAGGGTACCAACGGTGGCAAGACCAAGCCCAAGTTCATGTACATCCACGATGTTGAGGACTCGACCTTCAAGGGCATCAACATCAAGAACACTCCCGTCCAGGCCATCAGTGTCCAGGCTACCAACGTCCACCTGAACGACTTCACCATCGACAACTCCGACGGTGATGACAACGGTGGCCACAACACCGACGGTTTCGACATCAGCGAGTCCACCGGTGTCTACATCAGCGGTGCTACCGTCAAGAACCAGGACGACTGCATTGCCATCAACTCTGGCGAGGTACGATATCCCTATCCCACCATCATTCCTTCCATTCATATCGCTAACAATCAAACCCACAGAGCATCTCTTTCACCGGCGGTACCTGCTCCGGTGGCCACGGTCTCTCCATCGGCTCTGTCGGTGGCCGTGATGACAACACCGTCAAGAACGTGACCATCTCCGACTCCACTGTCAGCAACTCCGCCAACGGTGTCCGCATCAAGACCATCTACAAGGAGACCGGTGATGTCAGCGAGATCACCTACTCTAACATCCAGCTCTCCGGAATCACCGACTACGGCATCGTCATCGAGCAGGACTACGAGAACGGCTCTCCCACCGGCACCCCCTCCACCGGTATCCCCATCACTGATGTCACCGTTGACGGTGTCACCGGTACTCTTGAGGATGACGCCACCCAGGTCTACATTCTCTGCGGTGACGGCTCTTGCTCTGACTGGACCTGGTCCGGTGTTGACCTCTCTGGTGGCAAGACCAGCGATAAATGCGAGAACGTTCCTTCCGGTGCTTCTTGCTAAATCATTCCTCCGGAGGCGAGGCAACGTCTGTAGGACGTCTGGTTGTATATATCGATCCACACTTGACATGTACTAGTTAGGTGGTTTTACTGCCATAGTGTTAGTGAATAATAGGAGCTTTGCTCAACATGTGAATTTTTGCAGAAGTAAATGAGTAGTGTGATAGAGGTAATGATAAAAGATAGAATTTAATACCAGGTGATGAAGTTAATAACGGGGTGAATTAGGGCGCGTAGGCTTAGGTATATAAGTTGTCATCCCTCACACTCGAAATCTCTTCCTCTTTCTTATATCTTCCAACCTCTGAACCACCAGTTGCCTCCACAAACTAACAAGATTCTTCTATATCGATGCTTGATCTCAAGAGCATAATTTACTATATCTTGATATTCATATGTAAGCTTAAGAGCATGTGGAGCAGTGGTCACACAAGGAATCCTTGAAGCAAAAATTAATAGCATACTTCCATATTCCCGGAACATTCCTACATGATTGTTAATGGGAATGACGTTCTCAGTCCACCTTCATCCTAAACATAGAGACCGAACTCGGAGCGCGGCGAACCATTTACGGTCGCAGACGACAAAGAGAATCCAGTGGAAGCAAGTCATTACACAGATAAAGACTTTACGAACTTGAAATATATACAAGAGCGACTCCTCCAAACCGAGGCTCTGTTCAGAGCGGAACAAGGCAACCTTCCACTTGAGATTCAACGACTGATAGACCATGACGATATGCTTATCTCAACGGATAGCTCCTGTCGAAGGGCCCACGGAGAGCGGCGAGTCCCACGATTCGAGGCCAAATGCATGGTTGGCGTTACTCTGCCACAAGCTACCATATTATGAAATATAAATGCTATATACCATAGCCCTGAAAGGAGTTCGAACTATCCCCTCGTCTTCTTATAGGAATCACGGGAAAAAACTCAATATGTGTTTTCTCAATATAGCTTTGATATCTACCATGCATGCATGCTCTGCGAGATACCCGGAGCGTCATCCTAGTTGAAGACAGGATCAAACGGCCATACCCCTCATATATAACCCGCCGCGGAAGAGACATGTCCTGCTACTGGGGTAATATTAACATCCAGCTAACTGGAATGGACAGAAAGAAGGCTGTATAACACCGGAACGAAATACTGCAATGCTTACTGGACCTACTCAGTATTTTCTTGCGGTTTCTGGGTCGAAGATGAATAAGCTCAAGTGGTCACACGTTGGTGATGCCATACGTTACCTGGAGGCGCAGGCTGATACACAATATATCGTTGCCAAATCGCACCAACATGGAGCCGTAGATCAGAGGTCTACGGGTGTTTTGGAAGTCAAGGTTGAGCTTCATTGATGGAACATGGAGCAATTTTGGAGAAAGTGGGCGATTACGGCATCGCTCTGCGGAAAATCTTGTTCTGGAATGGAGTTCTTTCACAGCGGAGACACGGATTACTATCCAGATTCTGTATGATTATCGAATATATACGACCATTATCTATATGCGGGCCTTGAACACGGCACAGTGGACGCCCATTTAGATTAGGCCGAGCGCGCAGAGTTTATGGAATATCCTGCGCCTTCGATAATGATAGCGATACTACGGAAGCTCTCGGAGTTAGAAGAGAAAGGTATCCAGCGCAGGGCTCTTCTGGGAACTTTCTTGAGTTAAAAGAGAGCAAATCCGTGCCGCATTCTAGGTCGCGTATCTGTATGTGCTCATCCTGACTACCCTCCCTGTGCTTACGTACTAACACCTGCCTGTTCTAACAAACAGTGAGCACATCAGAAGCAAAGCTACTGTTATTCCTAAAATTCTGAGCAGTTTATTTTGGGACAAAGAATCAGAGAATATGTAAGTTCTCCCGTATCAAAGATATGTTTAGTTCATACTAACCTATGTTGTATAGTTACATTCAAGGAGACTTTGAATCTCTAGATTAGCGGGATATAGCGCCAAATCTTTATAATAAACTGGATGATTATGGGCCAAAGATACTGTCTATTTGGGGCCTGGCCATAACCCCGAAAGGAAAAATTGATTATGATCTTCCTATGGACAAACTCGAAAAGAATGGCTGGCTTCTTTGAACGTCAATTTTGAGCATCCACTTTTGGCCATTACCAACCTAGTTACAGGGGCGGTGATTCGTGTCTGGTCTCCTCTAGGTCCAGATGTGGCTTGTTCAGTAGTGAAGATGAATGAAGGCGGCGCTAGGCTGAAAAGAGTGATAGTTGTTATAAGAAGGTTATCAGAATATATTTGAAGGTATTATGCATGGCCGCCAAGGATCTCAATGATAACTGGCAACTTCGCCGTTTTGCACCCTGGAACAAAATCCCAACACACAGATATGGGTGTGCTGATGGTCCGAGCCGGCTGTGAGGAGCGAACAAAATAGTATATAAACGTGTCAATGGCTAAAAGACGTGAGTATAATCCTGTACTGAAAGCTGAGACTACGTAGTCAATGAAGAAATCAACGAAGAGAACAGGCAAATACAATGATGGTAGGTATGGCAAGAAACGCGTGCCTTGGTAATATTTCCTCGAACTAAAACTCGATTATATCACTCGTGAACCTAAACCTAGTATCCGTCCAAGAATTGCTCCAAACTTCTTCATCTTATCTGCTTTTGTCTCGGGTCTGCTTGCTTCGGTAAAACAAGCCAAAAATTTATGGGAGAATCGGCAGCACACCAGCATTCTCGTAAGCACGCATGGTGTTAAGCCACGACTGGTAGGTATCATCGCCGTGGTTCCAGCCGAACTGACGTGCTTTGACAACCGTACTGATAAAGGGAACCATATTCGGCGCGGGTGTGATATACCAGTTCATCAGCCTGAAGGCGTCCAGCTGGAACGCCTCTGGATCGCCGCCATACTTGGTGACAATGCGCTCCCAGACAGGCTTCTTGTCTTGAGCCCACTCGGCCAGATCAAATGGTTGTGTTGTCTCGGTAGGGGCCTCGAACTTGTCCATCGGGACCTGGAAGTACCTGGCTAGCAAATGCCAAAGGAACTTCCAGACGATCACATCCCCGTCATCATGGTTAAAGACCTCGTTCTTGCAGTGGGGCTGGGTGGCAGCCCAGACAGTAAGGTTGGCAATTCCCGGGGCGGACGACTGCTTCTCGACGCGGTGGTAGCTCTGTAAATTACCGGGCCAGCGCGGGGCGTCACCAAGCTCTCGGCAGATCAGAAAGTATTGGGCTAGTGGGAGAGTTTCGTTGATTCCGAGGTCTGCCGAGATGAGGGAGAGATTAGGATGCTAGCAATGAAAATTCAAGGAGATAGAAAAGGGGCTAGGCGTACATTGACAACTGTAGCCGATGATGGCCATAGGGCGGATGATGTTGTAGCTCCAGGTGTTGCGGCGTCTTTGAACAGCAAAAAGGTCATCTTCCTGCTCGTAGTAGAAGATGTTTTCTGGGCCTCCGTAGCGAGGAATATCCTCCAACATGGGGGTTGTAATGTCCCTGAATTGGAACCCATAATGCTGCCAGCAGTTAGACTTATCATATGTCCTGAGACCGGAGAGATCCGGCATGTCCTGCTCACCTTGCCTCCAGTTTGTAGCACTACACGCTGCATTTTGGGACATGCAAAATCCACCGCTTCGATAAAGGTACGGAAAAGGGGGCCATTCTTCTTGTACAGTTGCGAAAAGTCATTGTTGTGGATGTACGAGGTATAAAAAGCATGGGTCACGTCCTTGCAGAGCTCCTTGAGCTTCTCGACGATAGCTTCGGCCGGCCCAAGGAAGTCGATGGCAACAAATCGCACCCTTGGGTCGGTGTAGACGGTTTTGATAGGGCTTCTCGACGTGATGATGATCTCCATCCTAAGATAGTGGTGAGTAGGCGTAGTCTGCTGAAAGAATGGGTAGAGTAATAAATGACATACCACTCATTGGCTGGCTGCTTAACCAGATAGTCGACAATGGCGCTGCCACTGATGCCGTTTGCACCGGTAACGAAGGCGACTTTGCCGGTCAAGGGCCGAATGCCGTAGATGTTGCTCATGGCGACCGAGAATTCGTTGGATGTGAAAAACAACAGAACCTTCGGAGGGTGTACTTTGAGCTTTATAGCCCCCTCGCCCCTTATCCTGACTTTTGCGTATGTCAACAATATACAGACATTTTCTTGTATAACATTGAGTCCAGTACAAGTCCCACAAAGCCTTGGCAATCTGTTGCTAAACTCCAACATGCAGGTGCCAAGCACCAGGGATCCGCTAATGTTATGGAAGCGGGTGGATCGTGGAGGGGAACAGAAACATCCGGCAGCCGATCATGTAGCATTTCAATTCCCTTAACCACTCAACGCCTCCCACCTTTTTCGAGCCCTCAACTCGACTTACTTTCCCACCCTCTTCACCCAGGAAGCCCGCAAGTCACATGACTAGAAACCTACATTCCTACTACATCTGGCAAGATGGAAGGAGAAACACAAAAGTTATGAAACAAAAGAATGAGACATGTATTCATCGAGATGTTTCACGTTGTTTGGCGAAGCAAGTGCATTGATAAATGATGTTGGATGGTACCTTGAAAAGGTAGCTACCCCCGTGGATGGCCATTCAAGACGCTCTATACTCAATCATGCGTGTTTAGATGTGTTAGGATGTAGTTGTTCCCATACATCTTTTCCCCTCTCACAGACGGATACAATTGACAATCTAGAATCTACCAGACAAAGCAGATTGACGCGTAAGAATGTTGATAGATGGTAAGATACCCCCAATGGCACATTATTACTGTATAACGTAGACATATGATTAGACTTGGGTCCAAGGGATGATACTGGGCAGAGTCAATGTCCATTACTCTATCGCTGAAAGGTAGTGAAAGCTGGCTTGGACTGGAAGTTGTTTGGGTAATGTAGGCCTGTTTTATCTTCGAGTGCCCCTCAAGTGCAAGAAGTGCTACGAGCTATCAACAACGCCCCAAGGGATGGGTCATCCTGCCTGTAAGAAAAGAAATTGAATTGCAGGTAAGATGGGGCTCGAATTAAAGGGCTCATGGCCGCGTTTTGCTGAGAAACTGGCTTTAACAAGACTAACTCTGCAAATTTGGCCATGAAGGCTCGCTGCTCCATCCCTGGCGTGACAGCTGCCCTCGAGGCCTTCGGAACTGCGTAAGCTAAGACCCACCATTGCGGTGTACAACGCCTTGTATAAAGCCTTTTATTTACTTGATGCCACGGTTTCGGCTACACGGAGACCGGTACTGCCTCTTTCTCTATCGCGGTGAGCACCTGGGCTCCAATTCCCTGGGTGGGCGCTCTGGCGATTAATCACTAGCGTGACTAGCATGTCGGATATATCGGCATTGGCTTATGAATCATGACAACTTGTTAGTTTATCCATTGGAAAATGCTCACAGACTGCTGCATTTAAGTATACAGCGACAGGAGATGTGTTCCATGGGGGAGCAGAGGCCAGCGGCGTGCAGTACATCGACAGCAATCGCTAGTCCCTGACCTTTGACAACAATATTTCGACAATTCGCCTGCATTTCATCTTAGCTTCATAACAAAAATCAACCCGAATCAAGTCATACAACGTATGCAGCGGCACCCCGCATAAAATGGAACACGGACTGCCCACTGATGCAGCAACTTATGTCCTTTCTTTTGGGCGAGGTAGACCACATCCCCCGCTGCTACCGAATCGCGAGGACTATGTTGTCGACTTTGACGGACCAGATGACCCAGCCTTTCCTCAGAACTGGCCGATGCGCATAAGGTAGGACAGCCCCTTGTCCAACCTCTCCGCGCTGCAACTGACAGACCGTATTCCCTGACTATTAAGGCTCTACATCAGTGTTATCCTTGCATTCACCTGCATCAGCTCGACCTTTGACTCCGCCGTTTTTAGCCCGTCTATGAGCGCGGTGGCCAAGGAATTCGATGTCAGTGTCGTCGAAGTGGCGGCTTTAGCGAGCTCAGTCTACATTGCGGGTTATGCGTTTGGCCCTCTAATTTGGGCTCCTCTGTCTGAGCGCCACGGCCGCCGACTCCCTATCATCGTGGCTATGCTGGGCTTCGGTATCTTTAATACGGCTGTTGCTGTGTCCAAAGACCTTCAGACTTTGATAATTTGTCGCTTCTTCTGTGGTGTATTTGGTAGCAGCCCGCTCATCAATGTTGCGGCTATCTTCGCTGACATGTATGACAATCGGACACGTGGGATCGCTATTGCCCTATTTGCTAATACTGTCTTCCTGGGCCCTCTGGTTGCATCCTGTGTTGGCGGGTTCATTAACAAGTCATATCTTGGCTGGAGATGGACTGCTTATATACCCTCATTCATGGGATACACAACGTGTTTGCTCAATCTGCTCTTCCTCAGGGAAACTTATGCGCCGGCAATTCTAACTTCAAAGGCAACCAGAATGCGTCAAATCACTGGAAATTGGGGTATCCATTCCAGACAGGAGCAGATCGAACTTAACCTACATGATCTGGTCATTAACAATCTGGGCCGGCCCCTGCAAATGCTTTTCAAAGAGCCGCTGATTATGGCTGTCACAGTCTACCTCAGCTTTGTTTATGGCTTACTCTACTGCTTTCTATCCGCTTACAGTAGCATCTTCCAAGGCGTCTATGCCATGTCTGCCGGTGTCAGCGGGCTTCCGATGCTGTCCAACGTCGTGGGTCTGCTCGGCGCAACAGCTTACATGATTTACGTGAATAAGAACTACAACACCAAGCTAAAGGCCAACAACAATATCCCCATTCCGGAGTGGCGACTGCCGCCAGCGATTGTGGGCGGCGTCCTCTTTTCCGCGGGGCTTTTCTGGCTCGGCTGGACTGGATTCACGCGCACCATTCATTGGATTGTCCCAACACTGAGCGGCCTCTTCACAGGAGCCGGTTTGCTCATGATCTTCATTCAGCTGTTTAACTACCTCATTGATACATATCTCGCTTAGTGAGTACCATCCAAATCCTCCATGATTTGGATAGCTTTCTCCCTTTCTCTTTTGTCGGTGACCCTCTGACCCGCTACAGCGCTGCCTCTGCGTTAGCAGCAAACACCTTCTGCCGCTCGCTCGTGGCAGCAGGGTTTCCGCTCTTTTCACGGCAGATGTTTGACAATATGGGTATCCAGTGGGCTGGCACGCTGTTAGGCTGTTTGGCTGTGGCCTTGGTACCAATACCTCTGGCATTTCTGCGTTATGGCAAGCGTCTGCGGTTAAGAAGTCAGTTTGCCCCAGTACTGGACAAGGAGTAGTAAGCTAAGGCCATGTGTATGAGGTTGTGGTCTGAGGCATCAAGCAGGATTCACTTTGAAGCCCCGGAAGGAGGAGAACCAACCTTAAAACCGTGGAAGAATCTGGGGGCATGCTCCATCCATGGTTTGGTACCAAGCAGGTTGTGCAAAAGCTGGCTTGCCTCTACCCACTATAAATGTCATCCATTATCCGTGTAATTGTATTTATAGTTATCAGAACATAGCTTTACAGCCTATTAACAAGAGAATTCTACCATTATCATCAAATACATTTGCTTTCTCTTTCGCAAACCAAAGGGCTGTGCATACATGCAAACTATCAAATCCAATTCTAGCAGCAGTAGCAAGGGCATACCCATGGGAATGAAAAGGCACCGGGTGTTACAAAAGGACATCCTTGCAAGTCAGGAATAGGTTAGATGTTCGAATAATCCCACCTCCTATCATTGCCACCAGGTTCCCAAGCGGCTTGTACGGCTTTAATGCAGAAGGTGAAGTGGATAAGCCGGAAATCGGCAAGTTATTGAAGCCGCGCCGATGTGACTGGGCCGCATCTTTTACCTTCACCCGAAATAGATTAAGTCAGTCCGACTCTCCCCAATCATGGGAGCTTATCGGGGAGCAAGCGAAGGAAACACACCGCATCTCATTTCTGGTAAATGCCCCCTCTGTGGCCGGCATCGTGACAGCTGGATCAAATAAGCGCATTGCCACCTGTGGGTCTTTCCGAAGCAGAGAGACCCAGTGGTACTCCAGAGATCAGTTGAACAGAAGGACCCGTGTGTAGTGACTGTGGAAGTCCCAAGATCTGCAGTTCCGTGATGCCCGTTTCGAGTCCGAGGATATGTACTCTGTACTTGTTAAGACATGTGGGCAGGTATATTGATGGTCTTGTCTTTGAATAAGTCGTTCTCTTTAGATAATGGTTATTTGAAAGCCCGAGCTAAAGCTTGAAGGGAACAGAGCACACTTTCAGGTGTAGCAAGTGACCCGGTGTTAGCTCCACTCATGATTTTCCCTTCCTGGTAGGATAGTATCCAGCAGATACATGCATATCCGCTCTAGTTGCGGGTAAAGAACAAGAGGACAGACAGTTACACACACACACACGCCCAAAGTGAGAGAGAGAAGGAAAAGACAATCCAAGTGGAGCTATATTGAGACTGGGCGCAGGCGGGAGACGATGATCTTCGAACTGTTGGTTGATTCTTGCAGTGAAAGATCCCAAAGAAGTGCACCAATAATCAGCTACTACTGTATCCTTCTCGTCAAGCTTGCTTGGACACAGGAATTGCCCGGCCAGACAGACCAATTCAACCACTAAAAATGCTGCACTTCGGATTGTATTGTGTGATGTAACGCTCAACGCCGAAACAGCGCTTGTCCATCCCTTTTACCCATTTGTTTCCCGCTTCGCCATCACCTTTGCCCTAGCCAATCTTACCTATGAGCTGGTCCTAGGATAAGGAGTGGAATGGTGAGTTATCTTTATCTTGGGCCTTCAATAACACAAGACGTGTGAGTAACGCCTTGTTCAAACACAGATTCATCCCGGAACGGTGGTTGGAGAAGAGACAACACCCCAAGGCGATTTTTGCGTTATATGATACTGAATCCGGACCTATCTCCGCTTATATCTCCTCCCATGACTCACAAGCAAATACATGGCGAAGAACTCCTCTGCGAAATCATCAAAAGGCTCATACGTAGCCCCAAGTCGATACGCAGCCGCAATGCCTGATATACAAGCTATCTCATGCATATTCTGCATGCCATCAGTAGCTGAAACACTCCCAAATGTATGAAACTAGTAACCACTTACCACCATGGTCCAACTCCCCGCATACAATGTCCGATTCTTCCCATTAATGAACATCATCCCGGGCACAACACGTATATAATGCTGCCAATTATGCCCGAATTGATGCCACCATTTCTTCGCAATGATCTTTTCCTTGTCGATACTTCCCCACGTCCATAGATCCGATTCCTTTTTGTTCAGGAATATCGTCTGATACACATGGCGATTGGGCTCCAGAGACAGAGCCCCCTCCCCCAATGCCTCCCGGAACTGATGCTGATAGTTCGAACAATCGAACCCCATCTCGATCTTCTGCGGATCCTGCTCATAGGAATGGGTATAGTACATAGGCGCGAATCCATCCCACCCGTCTTTCCGACAGCGCGGTGTCTGCTTTGCAAACGAGATCTGCTCGTTGCGCGCTTCGCTAGACGCCTTCCCACACAAATCACTCTTATACCTCGTTTCGAAGATACTATTGAAATAGTCCGCATCGCTATGCGTGACCGTAACATCGTCGTAGAACCTCACACCCCCGAGAACATACTTCTCCCGCCAGGTAGCATGCCTACTGAGCAATTTCTTCGCCTCATCAGCCGGCACACACAGCACAAGCTCATCAAAATGTTCATCATGCATCACTCCCTCCCACCTACGTTCCTCCCCTTCCCCCCTACCATCACTCCTATCCCAAACCCTCAAATCCACTCCCCTCTTACTATCCCTCCCCAAAATCTCCACCTCCGTCCCCAACCTCACTCTCACCCCCTTATTCTCCCCCAAATTCCCCACCCAATCCCTATAAAACGCGCCCAACTCCGGAAACGTATACATCTCCGGCCGATTGGGCAACAACATATCCGGATCAAAATCCCACAACCGCATCTGCGGATCATCAAACAACCGTTCGAGCAACACACTAGACACATTCGGCGTCTGGTTCCCCGTGCCCAAGAACAGCGCAATGAGTGGAAGAACCATCTTACTCCCAAACTCCTGACTAAATCTGAACAGCCGTAGAACAACCTTGATAGGTAATATACCCAGGAATGGCAACAGCCGCTTAATCCACTTCAATACGCGGCCGAGTTTCTCGATCTCGGCGGAGTATCGGTCGACGAGGGGGCTGGGGAACATGTTGGTGAAGAAGCTGTCGGGGCCCTTCCCGAAGGATACTTGGAGTTGCACCGGCTGGGGCTCGTATCCGTATCGGCGGAAGAAGTTGAATGTATGGCGGAATATGGATGAGCCGCCTTGCACGCCGTCGTTGAGCCAGGTCGCGCCGTAGTTGGCGGGGAGGGGAATGGAGGTCGCTTGGCCGCCGGCGTGAGGGGCGGTGTCGAAGATGTGAATCTCGAATTTGTCGGGGTGTTGGGATAGGGTGGAGGCGCAGGACTAAGTGGTGGATTGGTAGTTAGTTGGGGGTTGGGTTTGTGATAGGTTGGGGATGGGAGGGGAGGCATTTACCATGCCTGCTGCTCCGGCGCCTATGATGGCCACCGTCTTTCGAGGAGAGTCTGATGCCATGGTTGACTCGGGTTGTTACAATTCATGTGGAAGAGAGATTGCAGTTCGAGGAGTTGTGTTGTTGTCTATTGAGGAAACTGAAATACTAATCATGACGTCAGGTGGATTTCCGCTTTGGGTAATTTGTATACTTGGCATGTGGAGGAAGCAGCACAGAACTATTCTGTGTTCTATTGTATCACAATAACATGCCATGAAGTATCCGTACAAGGTGTCCGAGAAGCCAAATAGGAAAAATACTGAAGCTAGTCCGAAATGAAGCAGTGTAAGGTAAAAGTAATACTGAGACTAAACTAAATCAGCGCTGTAGTAATGCCAGTGTATGCTGAATCACCTACTGACAGACAAATGATGAGGCAACTGAAGGATCACCTTCTACATACTGCGCAATAGCAGGATAGGGACAGAGAATCCTTGACGTCCGACCATTCTTAGATACAGCTCGCAGATACTCAGGAGCTACACCACCTTCAACCCATTCCATCAATGACTCCATCAAATCAGTTGGAGCAAGCCCTTTCCCATGGCCGCAGTTTTCAACTCCTGGCGCCTCAAAGTACAGATAAAAGTCTTGGACTGATGGATCACGCAATTGGACCCTTCTGTAGTAGTCCACCGAACCATTTGGGGGAACCTGCCAATCAGCTAAGCCATGCCAATGAATAATCTTCCCCCCTCTAACCTTGAAGTCATAGAGATCGGGATCATTAGCATCAGTAATTGCTTTGTATCCAGCGACGGATTGGTGGAAGAGGGACTCTAGATCGGCTTGATCCATATCAACCAAGTCTAAATCAGGATCTTGAGCAACAAAAAGTTGCAGCCAGTCCACGCTCAAGTAATCGGGCAAAGAATGACATCGGTGATTCCCAATATCATCGGTGGAGGTGCAGATCGTATAGTTCCATGGCGTACCCTGGTTGAAACCGTACCACAAAGGGGTCCCATCCTCAGCAGTTAGACCTGCCCAGTATGACTCTGCAAGTAATGCCACTTCCGCAGTAATTATACTAGGGATACATTCACACCAGACCTCCATCCCTATAAGACTAAGAGGATTGAAGTTGCAAAGCGACGGCACAGCAATGATCCCATCTATGACACCGTCCTGACCGTCGCAGGAAGCGACTGCTGCATCTGTTATCTTTTCCATGACGCAAGGGGAGGGATAGACCCCTAGCTGATTCATGACGAACGTTGGCCAGTAGTTTGCAGGAACGAATTGCGCCCAATTTATAGTTGGCGCCCCCGCTAATATGCCGTCGAATGCATCAGGCCATCTTTGGGCGATCTCCAGTCCCTGCCGCCCACCAGTCGAGCAGCCATTCCAGTAGGAGTAGGCGGGTGGTGAACCATAGATCTTCTGTATGACATACTTAGCGAGGAGCGACAGCTCGTTAAGGCATGTTGAGAAGAAATCAACCAGTTGAGCGAAATTCACGTGGCCCGAGGCATCTTCAAGAGCCCATGATTCTGCTGACCAAGGGTTCCTGTCGTGCCCCATGTCGGACCCGGCAGCTGCAAATCCTTGATATACAGGCAGAGCTAGCGTGCCATAGTCCAAAAGCCCTGCCCATCCTCCTCCCCCAACTGCCTGGAGCCGGTTGTTCCATCCAGACAATGGGACCCAAACATGCACATGAATCAAGTCATCCCAGCCCGGATGCGTATAGGTAACGGTGACATTCCAGAAGCTGATATTCACGGTGTGGGACTGTATAGGATTCACTTGCACGCCCGTAATTGTGTAGTCCCGAAGTGGAAATGCGGTAATAGAAAGTATTTTGAGCCCAGGAATAACCGGCTTAGGTATATGGTAGCCATTCGCAAAATGAGCGTAGAAGGTTGAGAGGATAGTGGCCAAAAGCGCCAATGCTTGAATTGCTTTGAGCAGCATTTAGTGTTAACAGAATGTTACAAATAACTTAGAAAGTAGATGAGTGCAGAAAATTCGTAGAATCAGTTGAGTCTTTCGCAATGCTTGTGGCATTTTGAGATCCGGAACGGCATCTGGTGGCGAAGAAGCTGGCTGCAGTTGCGAAGACGATAGTGCAGGAAAGAGCGAGGCGTGAGCGCAGCACTGCTTGCACCGGGTTGCCAGTGGCTGCTGGGAAGCAGCTGCGCTATACTTACATTGTTTAATGGTTTGTTACTTTACCTTTCAATTACGAATCGGATATGTAGCTGGGATGCTTAAGGCTCTGACAAGGTTTGGGGGGCGATATACTAGTAGCACAAAGGAAGTAATTCCATTCTGTCAATTAGAATCTAGCTAGCGGTTTGTAAGATTTTCGATCTTCCGGCGAATCATTCCACGATTATTGCGAAATTTTCTTGCAGCCTTGCATGATTCCAGGGCTGCACTTTCATGTGTCTGCTTAAATGCAAGGCTCTCATATGCAGTGGGATATTAATGGGTGGTAGGATATTAGCTTACAGCCATCAAGTCTAACTCTCCCTAGAGTCATATCCTCAACTCAGTGCCACTAGTGGTGTCCTTCTGCCATTCCATTACCACCCCAACCCTGGGATTAACAGCTAAGAGCTCGTCAATGTTTCTATGTTACGCCGCATTTTATCCTTATGACTCCGAAGTCTTTTCGCAGTACTGAACCCTTCCCGTGCTGCAGATTCATGTCTCTTTTTACTTGCGAGATCATCATACGCAGTGGGATATTTGTGATCAAACCCGCTGCGGGCAGCCACGACACTAGGTAGACTGTTAGCAAGTATAAAGCTCTTAATGTAAGTTTGGTTCTGGCTTACTTATTGGCAGCGACTATCATTTCGCTGGCCAGATGCTCCCCTTTCCTCAGATGCTGCATTCTAGAACCATTTTTGGGAAGCAGAGGCTTGGCTTTGACGTAGCCTCGCTTAACTGCTTCCAGACGAGGAATGATGGGCTCGTACTGTGCCAATATGTACCTTCGTGAAAATAATTCCAAAGCTTCCTTCCCTCCATAGCAATTGCCGGATTGTGATTTAATGACCAACTCAAACCCGCCGAATTGCTGCGAAAATGCAGATAGAAGGTATACCCAGCCAGATACTCATACATGGATGTTGCAAGGCTGTGTCTCCGTGGTAGATACTGGGGCTGATGAATAATATTGAGGCCACCAACAAAGAGCAGGTCCTGTGGGACTGCTTGTAGTGCTCGAGGGGATGGATCGCCTTTCCAAGATTGTACATGTCTCGCATGAGCCACGCAGGCTATGTCTGGTCACTTGCTGTATGTTGATAATGATGTACAGAAGTCACCTAAAGTTAGATCAAGTCCTGGATCATGACGGATGGAGGACATCACTTGTAGATAGCTATTGCCATCTGCTCTGGACTCCCGTCTCCTTTCCTATGACAACTGACGGCTGCGCTGGCTTGAAAGAGAGAGGAACCCGTGGGAGTTGTAGTCAAGGACTCGGTGAGCTACCATTCAATCGAGGCGGGTTTATTGTTCTCCGCATTCAGCAAATTGGTACTAGGCGGTTTGGAGTCACGGACAGAACATTGACCGCTGTGGAGCTCTGTACGTCGATGATCTCTCTTCAGTTAAAGCTATAGCTGGCGCGGAAGAATCACCCCTTTTCCAATCACTTACTTATAATCATGTTATCCGATTCTTCGGTTCAGGAATCTCATTTGGTATATTGTTTTGCTCTTGCAAACATAGCTAGCCTGGCAGTTAGCTTTAAAGCGATGACATGGTATTATATAATTTAAATACTTACTGGTTCTTGGAATGTCGTGACAGGCAGAGTATACTGATACAATGGTCCGTATAAGGCGGTATATAACTGAGGCACTGGGGTGGAGAGGAAAGAACAGTGCGCAGGGAGACAGCAGGACTATTTATATGTTATGTTTCCTCCGCTGAAATATTCAATATTAGTGAAAGGGGAATAAGATGATGTAACTTCACGACTTCATCACTAATTGTCTTGATGAATGACCAAAATCCCCACAATCATCCCAGGTAAATACAGGAAGGTCAATGTGTAGTGTAATAGGAGCGAAATGGGAATGGGAGAGGCAGTTTCACCTACCTAGAGTTAATCATCCTGGATGGTTGAGCTGCACTAACAGAAAATGCGTCCGGCTAAATGTAATAATTGCAAGAAGACACTCTATAGCTGGGTGAAGTGCAACATTGGCCGGTCATTGAATAGAGAAGGGAAAAAATTCAGTGGTGTTCAGCAGTGCTAATGCTGTGCACACAAGGCATAGAGAAGATGGAGGGCAGAAATTGAACTGTAGGGGGTAATGTATGCAAATAATAGGAAGTACATGGAAGACAATAGACCTGTAGTATGGATGAGTATGATGTTCCCTAGAAAGGAATTTTTGGAATGATGATAGTTTCAGCTCAACGACCGGAAGACGAGCCATTCTTTTTTAATGTTTGACCGCGTTCTAGACCAACCAATCCTTGTGGGAAGCTTCCGATCAAGCGTAGGGAAGATCCGTGGGAGTATCTAACAGATCGGGATCTTCCACGGTTACATGAATGATAGCTCACAATATGGTCAAATCACGGATCCTACGCGGTAGCTTCTATTTATTGTATCCCTTCCGGACGCTAGAATATTATGGGGTTCCAGTCTTTTGCAAACTACATGTTCAATCTATCTGATCACAATAGTGATCTGCTTAGCGGCCACGCGATGTAGTATCATACAAACGATGTCTTTTTTAGATCATAATATCTCCATTACTTGACATCTTTGAAGTCCAATATAAGGTATAGAGATTATATAGATGATAAGTAGTACTTTCAGGATTTTTACCCATTTTTTAAACGCGTTAGTCATGGTAAGATTAGTATACAAATGTTCTAAAAACTGTCACAGTGTCAAGCAATGAACAAAGAATTCTATAAAAACTTTGATGAATGTATCAGCATCTAATGTATCCAGATATAAGTTGATAAGCTAACAGATATCACACTGGTCGAGATATATTAAATTAGAAATAATGTTTTCTGTATAGTACTACATGGGTGGCCGCTCAGAGCGGGAACTACGTTATCATTCCTGTGCGTATTTTTTTGTACAAAAACATGTTGTAGGGACAGACACAATGTATAGACATACGTAGGAGCCACCAGACCAAGAAGAGACAGGGCCTGATGAGCTCCAAATTGGTCATCTCGGTATACAAAGGTGGTTCTAGAGGAAAACAAAGCTATAAGATAAGAAGTCAGGCCATTGCATGTCTAGAGGCTCTACTAGAAGTGGCAGGCGTTATGGTTCAGTCTGTGCGAAACCAAGCATAATTTACACCAAACAAGGACGCGAGAAAGCTCAAAAATTTGGCGAAGCAAGAAAACTTAAGAAGAGTTCAAAACACAGCTGAGCATGCAGGGAAAAAGGAGTAACTCAAAGATCTCAGAACATTAACAACCGTAGCTTCAACAACCCAGGCAGGACTCAACATAGCTGCCGCATTAATTTCCGTTTCTTTCCCCCGGCTTTATAGGTTCTTTGCTGAATCACTTCGAACAGACGCCTTCAAGCTAACAGTTAGGGATGTGGTGGGGGATTCATCTTATTGCGGATCACGTCTCTCTGACTGCGGTAGTTTCTCGCAGTCTTGAGCTGCTTTACGGCCTCACCATGATGCGAGCCTTTCTTTTTCAGGCTGTCATAAGCAGTTGGATACTTGTGGTCAAAGCCACTGCGAGAAGCTGCCACTCTACAGAAACTGTTGTTAGCAGGTTCCAGATAATCTCACAATAAGCATTGTTCTAACTCACGTATTGGAAGCGGCTATCATGTCAGTGGCCAGTCGCTCACCCTCCCTCAGAATCTGCATGGCGGGACCCTGGTTACCAGAAGTAGCCAACGGAGCCAGTTTGATGAACTCTCGTCTGACTGCCGCCAGATGTTTTCCGGCATCCTTGTAGGCAGTGTACTCTTTTTCCACGTGCTCTGGGTATGGCTGTGGTGCCTTGACCCATGGATCTGGCAATTTTGGCTCCTTGATATCGCCATAGGCGAAGCTTGATGAGCGGCCCTGTGCGGAATTTTGAAAATTGTGACCGTAATAGCTTGGACTCGGCCGGATATTGACATGGGAGCTTGCCGGAGTGCGGATATCGTAGTTGGCGTCCGAGCCTCTTCTCCCGGAGATGACTGTCTTCTTGGGATCCCAGCCGCGTTGACTCATTTTCGTTTGTTGAAGATGATATCAGCCAGATGAATTGGGGAAGAGAAGTGGCAGCGGGTGGATTGTATCAAGGCAAATGCAGATTCAGTGGGAATATCGGGTAGTGTATAGAATACTGCTATATGTATATGAATATATAAAATTATATAAGTAACAAGAGAGATTGAAGAAGAAAGCGCAACTTTATAAGGATAGTAGAAGAGAAGGAAATACTGTATATAAATCTGGAATCACTGAGGAAATTGCTTTGATCGAGTTGAATGATGTCTTGTAGAAGATGGTGAGAGGCAGAAGGCGAAGCTGGTTTATATCTCTTTTGTAAAGCCATATTCAGAGGACCCTTTCAAAAATAGAATATCGTTCATAACCTCTATTTCCTTATCCTACACATTGAATGCGCGCGCTTGACCAAGGGCAAGATACGATAGTTGTTTCACGGAGCCTCAAGACATAAGTTGATTGGCATCGGTGACAGCTTTGCCTATGTGGTGGCTTGGGGTGAATTATGACAGGAAGTGAGTGCATACAGCAGCGGCATAGGTCTCAGGTAAGGCACTCACCACAAGGCTATCCTCGAAGGTGAGAAGTCCAGAGCCAGTGATGCTCGCATGGTTGTGTTCCTGGCGGCAACGAAAATGAAAGAGCCTGGTTCATTCCCGTCACGCATTGGTGGGGAGCCGTTCACTCTGGAAGCGCCGATGCATCCTGACGCCGGCTATGTACGTCAGCTGCTGCAGGAGGCGAAGCCTTCAAGTTTAATGAAGCATAGGTTTTCCATTGGCACAGCTCTTGGACTATCGTTATAAAAATGGAGACAATTGTATTACATAAGGCGCTTAATTCCAGTCGGCGACTAATTGGCGATGGATAATCGCATCAGCTCAAGATGCGGGATCATCTTCGTTTTCTCTTCCCCTCACCTCATCACCTTTGCCTCCCCTTACATTCTTTTTATCACCTTCCACACCATCCTCACCACTCCCTTACCATCAGTTTTACCATCAGTTATTGCATAAAGAAACAAGATTCCAAAGGATATAGATTCCGAAAATGGTTAGTGTATTTCACCAGAATCCACAGTACATGTGCTAACTTTACATTAGGCTGTGCCCACCCTGGAAGGCATCCCGGTGGAACTGCGTATTTCCATCCTATTCACCATACCTGACCCCGGTTCACTGTGGTCGCTTCTACGCGCATCTTCTACATACTATGAAGCCTTTGAGCTAGTGAAGAAAGACCTTCTTCGGAGCCTTCTACAGAAGCGTCATGCTGGCTTGGTTGACATGACCGATGCAATAGCCGCCATCCGTTCCAGAGGCTTGTACGCTTCCGAGCAATCCAACAAAGAAAAAATCATCGCACTTCTTGATGCCCGAAACTACAACCACAAGTCTCCTCGGCCAGATACTTCACCTGTGCAGCTTCTAGATGAACCAGCAAATACCCAGGAGACAGTGCAGTTACTGCATTTACATAACCAGGCTATATTTTTCCTAGAGGATTTCTGCAGGACCATTAGGCGACCAGTATGGGTGGATGAGACCAGGTGGGAGAGGGAAATCATACCTCTAGCCTTAACAGAGACGGAGCAACGACGCATTATCCGTGCTTTCTATCGATTGCAAATCTACGGAAATATCTTCGGTTCGATCGAACGTACCGTGGATGCGGAGCACACCTCCGAGGACAATGATTGGCAAGAGAAGCAAGATGTATTCAGCGGCGGAGAGATGTGGCGCCTGTTCTTTGGCCATATGGCTCCCTGGGAAGTTGAAGAATTCAGCTGTCTATGGGAGCACTGCTGTTACCGATACGAATCGATACTCCGCGAAGTATCCGACAGCCTGGTGCAGACAGGCTGCATGTTCTTTGACGAGCTTCCGGAAGATCAACGACCTCCTCCTGGTTGCTGGTATACCGACTGTGATGATTTCGAAGACCCAATGGATAAAAGGGAGAGCCTGGCTTCTAAAGGGCCCGCACTCCTTTGTAAAGTCCTGCGGGAAGAAGAATTCCTAGCCCGTCGGGACCTGGTCCTCGTCAACGTGCGATCATTCAGGTTATACTTCTATGACTTTGGAATCTGGCCCAGACCGACCGACACTGATGAAATGGAGCTGTTCTACCCCGCGGACAAATTCAACTTCGGGACGGATAGGAATGGACTCCGAGAATTTCTGAAAACATTGCCTCCATTTGAGCGGCCAAACCTAGCATGGGAGAGGATATGGCTTCGAGATGATCTCAATTTTGCGCAACTTTTCTATGACATGTATGAGTTCGGGGCCACTAATAAGCATCGGCCGTGGCAATACGCTTTGTGGGATGACGAGAGACTCATTGAATGGAAAGTACCTATTCTCTCTGATGACTATCCGTTTTGGAACCCGACGCACGACAATTGATACCTTTCTTACTGAGCAGGCCGTTGAATTCTTTATTTTTTTGCTGATAGACAAACAACTTACATTGAACACTATGTGCCCTGCAATTCTAGATATGAATCAAATGACCCATGACAGCCACCCTCTTTCTAGCACATGTCCCACTTAATGTGCATTTCCATTGTACTTTTACAGTTCAACTCTCCTTTCATCTTACTCCCTCAGACGCCCAGGACACCTACATATTATCATCAAAAGGATTACTGAAATCTTAAATCGTAGTATTCACTATAAAACCTACAAAACATATCTAAAATCTTCAATTTCCAAATCTGTCTTACTCGACAACCCCAACGCCAACTCCTGACTCTCCGTCATCTGCTCCGGAACTCCATACAGTCGGTCCCTCCGCTTATTCTCCCAAATATAATACCCCAGCAAACACACCAGGAAGAATGCCCCCAACGCCAGTCCCGACGTAGCCGCTTTCATGCCCGTCTGCATATCGCCATCATTAGCATACCACCCCCCAATAAGATGGATGGAAAATGAACATACCGGATAATAAGGCTCCTCCGAGCTATAAAAGAACTGCGGTCCGACAATATTCCCCACACAATACGCAACAAACAACAACGCGCTGGTGGTACTTCGTTTCGTGAACCCCGCGACATTCGAACTGATAATGCTCAGCGAGAGGGGAATATTAACAGCGAAGACAGCGCCCAGTGCCAGACCCGTCAGTCTGCCTCGACGATTATCTTCATCCAGTTTCCAGACGAGAACCATGCCGATCAGAGAGGTTAGGGTGTTGAAGATCATCATTAGGATTCGCGTGCGCGGGATGAAGGTCGCGATGCCGGCGGTGAGGATGAGGAAGACGATTTGGGCGCCGCCCAGGGGCATTTGCATGAGGAGGGAGCGGATTTGGGAGAAGCCGAAGCCGTTGATGATTATTGAGGAGAACTGTTCAATTGTTTATCGTTAGTTCGATTGGGGGATTGGTATGTATGTTAACGGGAGGGGAGGATTACGCTGGTGATTCCGCCGTTGCAGAGGTTCACGGAGAAAGTGTATAGAACCAAGAACCAGGTTTGAGGGTCGCGGATTGCTTGCCAGGCTTGGTCCCATCTGAAGGATCCCTCGTCCGCGACGCCGGTTTTGTTGGCGAGGGTGCGGTGCATGGCGATGGCGCGCTCGGGTTTGGTGAGGAAGATGGCTTTCTTGGGGGAGTCGGGGAGGAGGACGATGAGGAAGAAGGATATGAATGCCGTTATGGCGCCGAGGATGAGGAAGAGGAGTTGCCAGCTAGTTACGGCGTCGGCTTTGATGTTGCCAATGCCGTAGGCCACGACACCGCCGATGACAGAGGCGATGCAGTTTCCGAGGAACCAGGCAGATTGCCTGATTTGCTGTTAGTTGGTATACCTATGATACATGCTTTGGTTATGAATGAGGCCTACCGTGCTGGCTGCTCCTCACGCTTATAGAACATGCCTGTGATGAGGGAGAATCCCGGGGCTATGGCGGCTTCGCCCACTCCTAGGAAGAATCGGGCGGCCATCAAGCCTCCGAAGTTCGTTGCTGCAGCGTGGCACATCAGGATGCCTCCCCATATTAATCTATTTGACATTAGTGGTATTTTGGAGTAGTATTGGGGGGAGGAACCAACACTGAGGCACTAATGTATTTGCCGAGGGGCAAACGGACGATGAGATATGAGCTGGGCCAGCTCCAGGCAAAGTACCCGAAATAGAAGACGGCAGATGTCCAGGTATACTCCTGTCCCTTGAGGTTCTGTTCAATGTCAGTATAGGTATGGTTTTAATTGAGATTGGCAACATACCAGATCCTGCCGAAGATTGAACAGGGTAGCTTGACTCAGAGCCAGCTTGTCCATATATTGCATCATGTAACAGACTCCCATCAGAGGAATCAATCTTGTTCGAGCAGTGAGAAAAGAGCATTCAATGCCATACAGATTACACATACATTATGTCCAGCTTCCGCAAGACCTTGCGTTCCTGCTCTGGCGTGGCTTCCACCTCCAATACTTGTCCCAGTCCGACATCCCGGGCCAGGGTTGCTTCTTCCTTCAACTTTAGATCGTCTAATTCGGGTGTCACCCCGGGAGGAGGGTGGTTATGCTGCTTCTCCATGGTGGTTTGATTGCGTGAGGAAAGCCACGGCATGATGGCACGGAACTGTTTTACTGTTTATACTGCTACAGGTAAGTACAGATGAGGTCCATCGGTTATAAGATAACCAGCTAACTTTAACCAAGAGCACCCACGGAATCAAGCGCAAAACTTCCGCGATCAGCGACTGATACACAGTACCTTCACCGGGTAATTTGACGAGCCGATACCGCTATGATGCCCTGTCTGTACTCATCGCGATGAAGGCGAGGTCGGGGGCTTGGGCGTGAGTCAAATGCCGGGGATTGACTTTTCCTATCTAGAAGGCAACTATACCCGTGGGAAGGACGACCCAATGAGATTCGTGAAGCCATGTTGGTCTCGAAACAGGAATACGAGATCTGTGCGGTCATTCGGGCAGGTTCAGAATCCGGGGTCGCGATATGGCAGCAGATCAAGGGAAGCCGTCGGCAGATGCGCCAATACGAAGCGTCGGTCGGCAAGATGACAACCAGGTTATCGTTCATCGCAATGCCGGCAGCTGAACCGGCAACTCTCCACCACGCTTATCCTTGGGTTTCCACTGGTTCGAGAAGTCAATGCTGGGTCCATCTTCCGGGAAACTCTCAACTGCGCCTCCCCCACAGATTCGATCGTGCGGAGAAACGCCTCGTGTTGGTCAGGGACGAGGGACTCATTTAATACTTGATCCACTGTTATCTGCCGAGCTAGTCACCCTGATAATACCTGATAGCGTTTGATAGCTTGATAGCGGAGGTATTATTAATGGCTTATGCGCTGGATTTCCCGCGGCTGTCCTGTCGGGGCGGATTTGATAACGACAATCTTCCGCGATGCGGGGTGCAGATGGAGTCACCGTTGTAACTGACACTGGTTCGTAATGATGGTTACCCGAGTGATCCTATCATGGCTTTCATCTGAATGTCCGGGATTTGCCCCATTGCGTCGGCCGAGGTTCTCCACGCTTATCCCTTGCAGCGATAGCAGGGCGATGATGGGGAGGGGAGGGCATATATGACGCCCCGGTAGACAACATCGGGAGCTCTTACTTGATTTCCAGCCAGCAGAGAACAAGATTGGCAGAACATCGCCACAATGACCGCAACGCAGACCATTACCCAATCCGTGCCAACGATCGACGAGGTCAAGGTAGCAGTTGATGCAGCGTTGGAGTCTGCGCAAACATCGCTACGGGAGCTCAACCGAGAGGTAGGCACCTAACTCTCCTTTCGCTTCATATGATACTGATCATCGATTTTACCACAGATCTGGTGCAATCCAGAAACAGCCTACCAAGAGCATCGAGCCCATGACACCATCTGCGACTTCCTCGAGAAGCAAGGCTTCACCGTAACCCGTCACGCATACGGACTGGATACCTCTTTTGAGGCAATCAGCGGATCTGGTGGACGACTTATCAACTTCAATGCCGAATACGATGCGCTACCTGACATCGGCCACGCCTGTGGCCATAATCTCATCACTACCAGCAGTGTGGCTGCCTTCCTAGCGCTGTCCACGGTCCTGAAACAATACGGTATTCCCGGTCGCACTCAACTTCTGGGCACCCCGGCAGAGGAGAATGGCGGTGGCAAGGCCAAACTGATTGACTTGGGTGCATACAAGGGTGTAGATGTGTCATTAATGGCGTACGTATTGCCTAGCCCTTTATGTGGCTTATCATCTTTGAGGGTTGACTTTTCCTATTCGCATACTGACCTTCCTCAGTCACGCAGGACCTAAAGAACTATTCCCTGGCGTTGTAACAGACAGCGTTGGTGGTGTGCGAATGAACGCCCGAAAAGAGTTACACTGCGAGTTCACAGGCCGGAGTGCCCATGCTGGCGGCAACCCTTGGGAAGGAATCAATGCCCTCGACGCCCTAGTAACATCATACAACAACGTGGCCGTACTGCGCCAGCAACTCCGCCCAGATGAGCGCATACACTGTGCTTTCCTGGATACACCCACGGTGGCCAACATTATTCCCTCGTATACCAAAGCGTACTGGCAGGTTCGCAGCCCGACATTGAAGGGGCTGAACCAACTTATGGTCAAAGTGCGGAACTGCATTGAGGCAGGTGCATTGGCTACAGGTTGTGAGGTGAAGATTATCGAGTAAGTCTGTTAATTCCTGGACCAACAGAAGGTGAGCTAACCGGACCAGGAACGAGCTGTATACCGACATCAAGATCAATGACACACTGTGCGACCGTTATAAAGAACACATGTCCAAGTACGACCGAAATGTTATTGCGCGTCTTGAGCAGGTCATGACAGGATCATCCGATATCGGTAGGTGCCCATGCTTGTGCAATCACAGTACTTTGCTGATTTCTCCAGGCAACGTCAGCTACATTGTCCCCACACTACACACCATGTTCGGTATCACGGATGAACCAGGCTCCTTCCCTCATCACCCCAAATTTGCTGCAGCTGCTGGAACGGATTACGCGCATCAAGAAGCGGTGATTGTAGGCAAGTCGCTGGCGCTAATTGGGTGGGAGATGGTGACGAGCGATGAGTTGTTTGGTATTGCGCAGAAGCAGTTGAAGGAATGTCTTGAGGAGTAGGGCAGCACATTCTGCCTTGAGGACCTTCCCACCATTCAAGCACCTTTTCGTCTTCTGAGTTTGAGCTTGGAACCATTCTCATGCTCAGTGTCTTGCAGATAGCCGTCAGGATGTTCCTCGGTATATCCTCGGCGATATTGCTCGGAGAAGGTGAAACATGGCGTCTGTCACATTGTTTGTATACCCGATAGAAGTATAACCTTCTTAGCGCAGATCTTGAATGCATGATTGATGACTCTGTGCCTGGCGATGCGCCAGCGACTAGTAGCCAGGCTCAAACCACGGCGACTCCCTAGTGGGCGTCACTAAGACCAGGATGGTGGACGTTAGCCCTGCAACGGGGCAAAACTACCCCAAACCGAGATCAGACCCCTCTCCAACTATGTAGAAATTCACCTTTCAGACAATGACACTCTCTATAACCTTGCCATTGATCTCAAACTCCCTCTGCCTTCCTACCAGCCCTGTACGAGTCAGTCCCCAGCTGTCTTGCCGCTGACTAAGCGCCTGGACTGCCATTTCGCTTCCAGGCTTTTTGTGTCCCTCCGAATTTCTTTTTTCCCGATGAACTTTCCCGCCTGCATCGCCTACTGCCCCTCCCTTAAAATTGTGATATCGGCTGTCTCCTTCTGCTTTTTACTAATGCCTGCCGGCTGATCCGACTCCTTCACGAGTGGGCCATTCATTCCATGTCGGGTCGGAACGCGCCTCGCTCGAAGAATGGTATGCCAACCCTTGCCCGAGTTCCCCGGAGTTTGGCGGAAAGCTCGGGAAAAAGATTCCAGCTGACATGTGTCGACGGGCTGACTGACTGACTGACTGACTCGCTTCTTGCAGGCTGCAGCACCTGCCGCCGTCGTAAAGTAAAATGCGGGGAGGAGCGTCCAGTCTGCAAACGCTGCTTCAATCTACGACTGAACTGTGAATGGGGGATTCCCGTTAAGCGCGGCAAGGCCAATGCCCCGGTTCGGCATCTGCAGCCCGCGCAACCTCGCTGGCCGACCAGTGATGGCATCACCACTTGTTCCTCCCCATCCGCGACCGCTTCCTCGCCTGTTCGCGCCGCCGTGACCAACGGCATTCTTCATCCTCACTATGCCAACACCCTAGCTGCCCTCTGGCATCGGCAGTCCCCCGGACCAGCCCCAGATTTCACCCCGGTTTCCCCAGATGTCACTTTCCCCACGGGATGGCCGTTTCCGCCCTACGCGCACCCATCGCCCCTCTACCGGCCCCTGCCCGGAACAGGTGGCCTGCCCTGCACTAATTCGCTTGTCTTGTCGGAGCATGATCAGAAATACTTCCAGTACTTCCCCTCCTCGTCCGTCGTGTTCTACTACATGAAGAACTGGCAATGGAGCAGCTTCCGCTATCTGTATGAGGGGCCAGCGGCGACCAGCAAGGTCATCATGCGCATGATTTTGGCTCTGTCGGCAAGTGATATGCATCGGAATGGCTTGGTTGTCCGGTCACCAGGTCGTCCGACCGCCGAGGATCATGGCCGGTACCACTACGGCATGGCTGTTAAGGAGTTCCGGCAATTACTGGAAACCCCCAAACCTCAGGTATCGTTTGCGGAGCTTGAGATGATCTTTGCAACGATGTTTCTCATGGTCGCGTACGAATGGCAATTTGGTCATTGCGTGCGTCATCTCCACCTCCATCTGCAGGGAGTGCGGTCTTTGCTGGAGACACATCCGGAATTGTTTCATGTGCGCGATGTCAACGAGGTGTTGTTGGCAATGGAGGCGGACCAGCCCAGTGATACGGTCTCTCGAGCTTCGTTCATCTCGGACCAGTTCTTGCTGTGGATATTGTAAGTATGCCCCCTTTCTCACATTAAGCGTCGCTAACAGCTCAGATATATCGACGTCAACCGTCGCTCGATCGGGACTACAGAGTCACTCTACGACTACGTGCTCAACTCCGGCAATGAATCTCTTCACCCGGACCATCTGTATCGCTGCGCACGGCTCTGGAGCCGATGCTTCTGGGGAAAGCAATACCCGGACCAGGAGGTATCGGACGACATGGAGAACTACCGGGCGCTGGAGTTTGTACACGTCGGATACACTTTATGGCATAAGCTCTGGAAATGCTTGGATGAAAAACACGCCGAGTCTGGCGACGCACTGTTCGCCGAAATGATGACGGTTCGGGATGTATGTCGACATCTTGACACATTAATGTGGAACCCATGCTAACCATTACAGAAATATTCCGACCTCCTATTAACCGCCAAGCTCGCCAGTCCAGGCTCCACCCGCCGGACGCTCAACACCATCTACATGGCCGTGAACAACTTCTACGCCCTGATTCTATTTCACCGTCGTCTCTTCGATACAGCCCGCCCACCAGCAGCACTTCACCGCCAAGCCCTCACCAACATCATCGACAACGCCCACAAACAACACTCCGCAGACCCGCGTCTATTACGGCGACTACACTGGCCACTACTAATGGCCATTGTCGAAACCGATGACCCAGTGCAACGCGAGTGGCTACGCGAGCGGCTCTACGAGCTGCGATCCTTCCACTCAGAACACCTATGGGCATTTCAACTCGCAGAAGAGGTACTTGCTCGCCAGGACGCGAGCGCAGGGGAGTACGCGAATTTGGCGGAATTGCTGCGCAACCACCAGATCCGTTTGCAGTAATACCATATATATGATACCTTGTATACCAGATACTTTAATATGTAACAACTATATACATCCATTCCACAAATGCTCCTAATCCTATGCCAAATTCTCCAAGAAATACGCATCATACGCAACCTCCCCCTTTGCCCTCGTCGCCCGTCCCACAATCACCCGATTCGTCATCCACCGGTACTTCTCATGTCCAGTCTCCAGCTTAATATGCAAATGGAACCAGTAACTCGCCGGATCAACACCATCGCCTTCCATCAATGCCTTGAGGACTTCGGGGGTCCGGACCGGGTGCCTTCCGTTCTAAACACATTCCATCAACATCAGCATATACCATCTCCAAATCTCCACCCTAATCGTCACATAGAGAGAAATAAGAAATTACCCACCTAACATAGATATACGCCCCATCCTCACTCTTAATCACATAGTTCGTATTCACATGCGTCGTCTGGTTCTCTTCAACGAGCCTACACCATCACCTTCTAGTTAGCCGCCATTTTCCAACTCTAGTATGCAATACTCCAACAAGTATGGGTAGTGGGGGTTATACATGAAATCCGCTCCTCCCGGAACAACCTCCCCCACGAGATACTTCCCCCTCACGGTCCCGGACTTGATGGGCACGCAGCGTCGACGGCCGTACGGTCCCTTGCCGATCTCGAGCGGTGGGTCGACGGCGCAGCGGAGCGTGAAGAGGTGGGTTAGGGCTGGGGGTGGGGAGAGGGGTTCCATTGTCTTTTCTTCTCTCTTTTTGGGGTGAGGTCAGTTGGTTTGCGAGAGGGAATGAGGGGTGATTATGTAGTAGTAAGTAAGTATAGAAGCGATGAAGAGAGGACGGTGGTGCTTAGGAGTTATATGTGTATGTGGTTACTATGCGTGGAGTACACCGGTGGAGAAGGAGGGGGATGATGGGAACGGATATCGGCAGTCGGGTGTGGGGACCTCGGTGGGAGGTTTCGCGTCAGATTGGTGATGGGGTATCTTCAGTATAGTAATGTAGATACTAGTAGTTGTCTACTACTAGGAGGATTGGAATTGGATCATGGAGGTTGTTTGTGGGTAAGTATAGAGAGTGATGTCTGGAGTGGTGACATCATGTTTGCTTTGAGTGCTGATCATTGGATATATATATATTTTGGGACTGGTTATTGGGATTAGGTTAAAAATGCCATATCTGAGTATTATTTATGTGATCAATGCTTTATCAACACGATTATATGTCGATGGTAGTGAGTACACAGATACTGGGTATATATAGTTCACTATAGGCTTTAATTGTTGCCCAACAGCGCGTTGATTTAATAGCTTGCCATGAGTTCAATGGATATATTAACAGCACACCCTAACGCCTGCCCAGACTAATTATGCACATATGCCAATTCCAACGACTGGCCTCCGCGTTGAGCGAGACTACAATGCCGTCATCGCAGTCTGCTCATCCATCAGGCGGGTATAATGTTACACGCTTGTTTTGAAGATCGCATCCGCATGCGCACCCTAGCTCGCGATTGGCCAAAATAAGGACATGGCCTTATTATTCTTTCTTCGCTTGACACCGGATAGAAAGGATGATGGATTGTTCGTTTACGCGCCACCAACAAGGACGTTGTTAACGGGGATGTGGACTAAGACCAGTCAGTCAGTTTACCGATTCAGCAGACCTGGACCCAATGGCAAGAACAACATACTCAGCTTGACAATGTAACCGATGAATCCCATGATCAGGAAACCAGTACCGACAGCCTGGCTGATCTTGATGAACTCGCGCTTGTCGGCTGTTTTGACAGAAACATATTAGCTTGAATCCAGGAGTGCTGCACAAGCAACGGGAAACTCACGCTTCTGGCTGCGGTTGACGAACTGCACGCCTTCCCTGAGGAACTCCCGAGGGACGTTAAGGAGCTCTTGCACCTGGTCGGACATTTTGACGGAAGCGAAGGAATGGATGCTGAGGTGTCAATGGAGGCGAGGTGAGATGGGGATGGATGGACGCGAATGGGCCAGCTGTGCTCTTTTGGTGGTCGGCGAATAATGGCGTCGCCCGGTCGGACTCGAAAGGGGCGGATTATCTACCTTCCGGGGTCCTGGCCACGTATCAGTTGGTTGGTCACGGGTGTGGCTGATGGGTTTGTGGCACGGGTTACAAGTGTGGCTGGGGAGGGTCCCGGTTTACCCCGGATCGTGTCCCGAGTTGCTCCATTGGGATAGATACTCTTTTCCGATTGTGGGGGGATCTCGTTTGCACTCTGCTTTTTGTCTTGTTTTCTTCCTGGACTTCCCCTGAACCACCCTGCTGTTCAGTTGTGGCTTTCAGCTACTTCATGGACGTGAAGAGCCAGACAGCACCCATCGAATAATGATACTAAGCCCGGCATACTAATCCTGACTGCTGCTACTTCGGAGGGTCAATGACGGCCAACGAAGCAGTGTGTTGCACCAGAAAAGACTGCCATCGCTCCATGTAAACTGCTGGCCAAGATACACTTAAAGGGGCGGCGCTTGCTGCGCGCTCTGTATGATCCGTCATAATGAGCTCCAGACACACATGTTTTCACAGGCTAATAAGCAATGAGTATCACTGCCTGACGCCAACACCCACTAAATACAGATACAGCTCTGCGTGTTTCGTCTCCTGAGACCCTGCAAATTGTTATTCACAAAATTGCATAAGGGCAATATCTATCCTACCAACGGTTTTTCTGCTAATAAACATAAACACATCGCTGTGATCAAATCCCTCAGGTCAGCCTGCATCTGCGCCGGACTAACTACTAGTCTCACCCCGCCGTGCTGCATCGAAATTGCAGCTGGTTGCACTTCCCTATCCGAGCATCGTCTTGCAGGAGCTGAGCTCGGCGATCGACATGATAGTGCATCTCAACCAATTACATCCGCCATCACAACTGAGCTGATAAGCTCTGCAGGCTTGATTCGTTCTCATTGTGTCAGCATCAGACCCCGATACCAACTACTAGTACCTACTAGCAGCCATGTACTGTTGCGATATTTAAGATACCCCTCTCGTTTACATCAACAGCAAGCATCCAGAGACAGCCGGATCAACAGGCACCATGTCTGTTCAAACAGCTTGGGAATCCTGCGACAAAATCGATACGCTTTTCATTCTTGTGTGCTCCGTCTTCTGCTGGCTTATTATCCCGGCTGTCGGGCTCGCCTACTCTGGCTACTCCACTCGTTTCAATAGCATTGCTTCGTTCTATCCCGGCCTCTTGGCTGTTGCCGTCTGTTCGATTCAATGGTGGATGCTGGGGTATTCGCTCGCCTACGGCGAAGGCAACGGCTTCTTTGGGGGCTTCAGCAAGGTGTTTCATATCGGTGTCCTCGCTGACCCGGTTGGCACAATTCCTGAGATCCTGTTCTCGGAGTTCCAGCTCATATTCTGCGCGACCGTGTGTGCTATTGCAATCGGAGGAGCCTGTGAGCGCGGCAGGCTTCTTCCATTGATTCCCTTCATTTTTGTAAGAGCAGCCCCTCGTCCCCTCGACATTTGCTCATTTCTCTAGCTCTGGTGTACATTCATATATGCTCCTCTAGCCCACATGGTGTGGTCGGAGAACGGCTTTCTCGCGAACCTTGGTGCCCTTGACTTCGCTGGAGGCACTCCCGTGCATATTTGCAGCGGTGCCACCGCCACGGCAATGAGCGTCTACCTTTCCTACCCACTATTTCGGTCGCGACGCTCTCAGATCCGAACTCCACAGCACCTGTTATTGCACCGGCCACACAACACTTTGTGTCAACTGCTAGCACTGATCATTATTTGGAATGCCTGGCTTGCCTTTGACGCGGGAACCACTCTCGCTCTCAATTTCAAGAGTGTCATGACCGCATGCGTGACCAACCTCTGCGCCTCTTCAGGCGCTCTCACCTGGGCGAGTCTGACTTATTGGGAGACCGGAAAGTGGAGCTTGGACAGCACATTCTTGGGCGCGATCGCAGGACTCGTTCTCATTACTCCGAGCGCAGGCTTCATCGACATGAGCACAGCAATGGGATTTGGCATCCTAGGTGCTGCATGCGGGTACCAGGCTCTCAAGATCAAGTTTACCAAACGAGCGAAGCTTCTGCGCTGGGTCGACAACGGGGACACATTCGCTACTCATTGCCTAGGTGGGTTCTTGGGCACGATAGTAACTGGCCTATTTGCGCAACGAGAAGTCGCAGCATACGACGGCGTCACGGACATCGTGGGCGGTTGTTTCTTCGATGGCAACTGGAGACAGCTGGGAATACAAATCGTCGAAGCGTTGATCGGGTTCGTGTGGAGCTTTGGGGGAAGCTACATTCTGTATGCCCTGATAGACTGTGTGCCTGGATTCGAGGTACTGGCGACGGATGAGTACGTCAACCACCCCCAGCTTAAGGATGGAACTAACTTAAATAGGGATGTGATCGCGGGAATGGACAAGTCCCAGATGGGCGAGTCCTTGCACGAGGAACAATGGGCCGGAGAAGAAGATTACCATCCCTTCGAGGGAATTCGCTTGTAACATTCAGGTCAGCGCTAGCGCCGTCCAGTCAGAGTAACAACATTATTCTCCCATCCTCTATATACCACCATACTACCAAAAAATATAACCTAGTTGAAGACAACAGTCTTGTGTCCGTTGAGCAGGACTCTCCGCTCAGCGAAGTACTTCACCGCCGTAGCCAAGACATTGCTCTCAACGTTGGATCCAGCATGAGTCAACTCCTTGGGGCTCATAGCGTGGTTGACACGCACAACATTCTGCTCAATAATCGGACCCTCATCCAAATCACTGGTGACAAAGTGCGCCGTAGCACCGACAATCTTGACACCGCGGTCAAAAGCCTGGTGGTAAGGTTTAGCACCCTTGAAACTGGGCAAGAAACTGTGATGAATGTTGATGATCTTTCCAGACATGGCCTCGCACAGCATAGGCGACAGCACTTGCATGTAGCGGGCCAGGACAACCAGATCAATGTTGTGTTCGCGGATCAGCTCCAAGATGCGTCCCTCCTGCTGGGGCTTGGTGTCGGCGGTCACGGGGAGATGCAAGAAGGGGATGTTGTAGGTAGCAGCCAGGGTAGCGAAGTCGGGGTGGTTGGAAACAATGAGGGGGATCTCGATGGGGAGCTGGCCAGTCGAGGCGCGGAAGAGGAGGTCGTTGAGGCAGTGGCCGATCTTAGAGACCATGATCAACACGCGGGGCTTGGAGGAGGCGGGGACGAGCTGGAAGGTCATGGTCAGGGACTCGGCGGTGGGCTGGAAAGCGGTGCGCAGGTCGTCGAGGGACTTGGCGGGAGAGGATTCATCCTTGAAGTGCACGCGCATGAAGAAGCGCTGGCTGGTCGGGTCGCCGTATTGGCTGCTGTCGATGATGTTGAGGTTCTGTTGCACCAGGTAGGCGGTCACGGCGTGGACGATGCCCGGGCGGTCGGGGCAGGAGAGGGTGAGGATGTAGCTCATTGTGGTGGTGGCTGCTGGCGGGGGGTACCGTAATGGGTAGTAGGTGATGTTGAATCAAGCAGTTGTTGCTCTTTGGGAATGACTTCAGTTCCTGACAACTAGCAGAATTGAATTTCGGCCGTTGGGCGCCCCGCCGCGTAGCAACGAGGATCTTTACCCGGTTTCGGCCATGATTTGATGACTCAGGCGGGGTGCGGTGATTGATAAGATTAGGGCTAGCAGGTAGGGCTACGCCGCGAGTCACATGGTCTGCATTGGATTTCCTCTTTGGGCTCGTGAGATGGCTGTCCCGCGCGGATTGCCGGATGCACAACGGCATTGTCTCCTGCTTATTGTGGCGGCGCCACCAGGCTGCCGGATTACCTCTTTGGTAAAGGGAATGGTCTTCCTTGAGTTCGCTTGTCACGATGACTTCAAGATTGGACGCCGACGAGCTCAGTCTACTATACGTGCCATGTCGGGATGCGGTCCGTTTAGCCGTAACATATCCGGGATCATGAAGTTGGTAGATAGGCAGCATACAATTGCAAAAGGTATAAAGAGCTCGTTCTTCTCCTCTGTCCATTATCACAGCATTCACATTCTTCACAGCAGAACTCAGAGGCTCAAGAGCTCAAGCAGTGAATCGCAATGTCTTCCTTCCAGATCTACCGAGCAGCTCTGCTGCTCTCTATCCTTGCTACTGCCAATGCTCAGCAGGTTGGCACCTACACCACTGAGACTCATCCGTCTCTGACCTGGCAAACCTGCACCAGCGATGGCAGCTGCACTACCAACGACGGCGAGGTGGTCATCGACGCCAATTGGCGTTGGGTGCACTCAACCTCCAGTGCCACCAACTGCTATACTGGCAACGAATGGGACACCTCAATCTGTACCGACGATGTGACCTGCGCCGCGAACTGCGCGCTTGACGGTGCCACTTACGAGGCGACCTATGGTGTGACCACGTCCGGCAGCGAGCTGCGCCTGAACTTCGTCACTCAAGGCTCCAGCAAGAACATCGGGTCTCGTTTGTACCTCATGAGCGACGACAGCAACTATGAGCTGTTCAAGCTCCTCGGCCAGGAGTTCACCTTTGATGTCGACGTGTCCAACCTTCCCTGCGGTCTCAACGGCGCGCTCTACTTCGTCGCCATGGACGCTGACGGTGGCACCTCGGAGTATTCCGGCAACAAGGCCGGTGCCAAATACGGAACCGGCTACTGCGACTCGCAGTGCCCTCGCGACCTGAAGTTCATCAACGGCGAAGCCAACTGCGACGGCTGGGAGCCCTCCAGCAACAACGCCAACACCGGAGTTGGCGACCACGGCTCCTGCTGCGCCGAGATGGACGTCTGGGAAGCGAACAGCATCTCCAACGCCTTCACCGCGCACCCCTGCGACTCCGTCAGCCAGACAATGTGCGACGGTGACTCCTGTGGTGGAACTTACAGCGCCAGCGGCGACCGCTACAGCGGCACCTGCGACCCCGACGGCTGCGACTACAACCCCTACCGTCTAGGCAACACGGACTTTTACGGCCCCGGCCTGACCGTCGACACGAACAGCCCCTTCACCGTCGTCACCCAGTTCATCACCGATGACGGCACCTCCTCCGGCACCTTGACCGAGATCAAGCGGTTGTACGTGCAGAACGGCGAAGTCATCGCCAACGGCGCCTCCACCTACTCCAGCGTCAACGGCAGCTCTATCACCTCCGCTTTCTGTGAATCAGAGAAGACGCTGTTCGGCGACGAGAACGTCTTCGACAAGCACGGCGGTCTCGAGGGCATGGGCGAGGCTATGGCCAAGGGCATGGTCTTGGTCTTGAGTCTTTGGGATGACTATGCCGCTGACATGCTCTGGCTCGACAGCGACTACCCCGTTAACTCGTCGGCCTCGACTCCTGGTGTGGCCCGCGGTACTTGTAGCACGGACTCGGGTGTCCCGGCTACTGTGGAGGCGGAGTCACCCAATGCCTATGTCACCTACTCGAACATCAAGTTCGGGCCTATTGGCTCGACTTACTCCAGTGGATCTTCTTCCGGGTCGGGGTCTAGCTCCAGCTCGAGTTCGACTACCACTAAGGCCACTTCGACGACCTTGAAGACTACCTCGACCACCAGCAGTGGTAGCAGTTCAACCTCGGCGGCGCAGGCGTATGGACAGTGTGGTGGACAGGGCTGGACTGGTCCGACCACTTGTGTGAGTGGGTACACTTGCACGTATGAGAATGCGTACTACTCGCAGTGTTTGTAGACACTACTTGAAGGGAGATGAAGATGGCAGTGTGGGGGAGAATAGTTAGTGATTAGTAGTTAGCACACGTACTACAGTTTAGTCAATTTTAGGAAGCAATATGACATGATCACTTGATGCAGAATCTACCAACCACCACCCTACCTCAAATTACACTCCACTATAATCCTACTATAAATTAACTTCCCGTACCCGACCAACCTAGGCACAAACCGAACCCAATCAACCATCACCCAATTAATCTCCCCCTCTCCTTACTTATCTGCAGAACATCCGTGCGGAAAGCCTAAAGTAGCGCTTACATGACCAGACAGTGTCACCCCAGACACACCACATGGCTGGACGGGATATTCTCCGCACCCAATGCATGCATCCTCTGCAGGAAGCTTGGCTCTCATTTCCTTTCCCCGGAGATGAAGATCCGGTCCTTTCCGGATCAGCAAAGGGGAAAGTTGACTAATTTACCTACAAACCGGTTCTGCAGTCATGCGCACCCGTGACGAATCTGGTTGCCCGTTCTTATTTAGGAAATGGGCCGATATTCTCTAATGAAGTGGTATGGATTGTCGGTCCGCGTGCCGGGTAGCTTAGTAGTATTCTGGCAGAATGCGCGATGATTGATGATGAGATGGATATAAATGACTCCTTTCATCTGTCTTGACAGAATGGCATCAAGCACAACCAGAGAAGAGTAACTGCCAGAGTGACAGATCAAGATGAAGACTCTCTCCCTTGCAGCTGTCTTGCTCGTCCAAGCCTGGACTGCGAACAGCAGCCCGAGGGCTAAGCGGTCGTCTGGTTTCCAATGTACCCTTTCCTTCTTCAATGCCCTTTTGAAAGACACATTTTGATAAGTGAACAGGGTTCGGTAGCAACGAATCCGGCGCCGAATTTGGCTCCGGGAATATCCCCGGCACTTTGGGCACGGATTACATCTGGCCTGATGCGACGGCTATCGAGACGCTGCATAGTGCCGGGATGAATATCTTCCGCGTGCCGTTCCTGATGGAGCGGTTGGTGCCGGATGAGTTGACTGGTGCCGCGGATGCGACGTATATGGCTGATCTGAAGGCTGTAAGTTCCCCTTATGATAATAAGATGCACTGTGTCTGATTACAATTGTGGTCATGATGTAGACGGTGCAAACCATCACAGACCTTGGTGCTTATGCGGTGGTGGATCCGCATAATTTTGGGAGATAGTATGTCCTTCCTTCCCTTCCTTCACCTTCCTGTGGTATGGAACTAATGTGATACTATCCAGCTACGGCAACATCATCACCTCAACCAGCGACTTTGCAGCCTTCTGGACAACAGTAGCCAGTGAGTTCACCGACAATGACCTCGTCATCTTCGATACCAGTACGTACCCTACCTCCCTCCGATCTTTTACATACTAACATGATGCAAATAGACAACGAATTCCACGATGAAGACCAAACCCTCGTGCTTGATCTCAATCAAGCCGCCATCACCGCCATCCGCGCCACCGGCGCCACAACGCAATATATCTTCGTCGAAGGCAACTCCTACACCGGCGCCTGGACCTGGACCACCACCAACACGAACCTCGTCAACCTGACCGACCCCAACGACCGTCTCATCTACGAAATGCACCAGTACCTGGACAGCGATGGCTCCGGGACGAGTTCGACGTGCGTCAGCTCGACAATTGGTGCTGAGCGCATTGCTGATGCCACAACCTGGTTGAAAGAGAATGGGAAGCAGGCGGTGCTGGGGGAGTTCGCGGGCGGCGCGAATAGTGTATGTGAGGAGGCGGTTACAGGCATGTTGGATGCGATGGTGGATGCTAGTGATGTTTGGCTGGGGGGCATGTGGTGGTCTGCTGGGCCTTGGTGGGGGGATTATATCTTCTCGTTGGAGCCCGATGATGGAACTGCTTATGAGTATTATTTGGGGGTGTTGGAGGGGTATACTCCTGGTTCATCTTCGGGGTCATCTGGAGGGAGTACGACAAGTGCCGTGGCGAGTGCTAGTAGTACGTCGTCTGCTGGGAGTACTACCAAGGTGACTACTACTACCACTGCTGCAACTGCTACATCGACGGCTGTAGCTGCGCACTATGCTCAGTGTGGAGGGGAGGGCTGGACTGGGGCGACGACTTGTGCGGATGGATATACCTGCACAGTAGAAAATGAGTGGTATTCGCAGTGTTTGTAGTTGGATAGCTATATTTCTCTATGAGTGAGTGAGAATGATATGCGTTCTACATACCAACTACTGATAGTTTGGTGGAGAGTCTCGGCTAAACGCGTTCCCGGCCGGCAGTGGAAATTGCCGCGGATCTGCTCCGAAGGGTTTATCCATGTCTGTGGGGATGATGTGATGCAGGGTTAAGGTTATTTGTGTTTACAGTCATGTCAATTCATCATTCCTTCTTTTATTGATATTTGTATATTTTCTTCTACTTTTTACTTAGGGTGGTGGCAATGCAGTGGGTGAGGTGGAGTGGGATATCTTAAGACTCTGGGGAGGGAGTATGATTCAATTGAGGTGAACTGTAGCGGGTTTGAGTGTTCATTGTCCAGTCAGTCTAGAGTTGATACCAACAAGAGTACGGAGAAATAGTAGAGAGACCATGTATTGAGTGTGCTGAAGATACTCCATAATGAGGGCTGACCTGATGGACTTGGAGGATTGACAGCGCACGTGCCATGCCTCTCAGCATCCACAATGGCAGAACCAGATATCTCCCTTATTGGACGAGGCCTGACAGAGTAATGGAGAGAACTTGGATATTCTCACAAATAAAGTGATAATCGAACCCTTGAGTATGTTGAGATTTCTTGTTTCATCGGCAACCCCGGATTGCCGGTCGCGGATGCCGGCTCCCCGCATTACCGGATCGGGCGAAACATCGGCTGCGCTGCTCGCCTTCATTCCCGATCGCATCTTTTGCTCTCCCACTTCACTTCTTCTGCCTCGAGGGGACTATGTTCCGTGCCATTGCTCGTTCCTCTCTCTTTTCTCAACGTCTCTCCCCCTCTCTCTCCCAGACAGCCTCCCTCTTCACTCCTACCGCCCCCGCCAACATGAAGCATCATCTTATGGTCGGTACCTGGACCCCTCCAGGCCGCATCTACACCGTCGCCTTTGACGATGAGGCCCTTACCCTCGACCTGGTCAAGAAGACCGACATCCCCGAGGCTGAGCCCATCTCCTGGATGACCTTTTCGGTAGGCATGACCTTCAATGCTTCCTTTACTGCTCCCCGCTCACTCCCCTCCAGCATGACAAGAAAGCCATCTATGGCGCCGCCATGAAGAAGTGGAACAGCTTCGCCGTCCACAGCCCAACTGAGATTGTCCACCAAGCCTCTCACCCCGTCGCTGGTCACGGTGTGTATTCTCCCTTCTACTTAACCTCCTGAATCCTGCTAATTCCTTAGAACTCGCCGCCAGCGCCGACACCAACACCCGCGCCATCTTCGTCCTCGCCGCCCACAAGCCCCCCTACAACGTCTACGGCAACCCCTTTTACAAGTACGCCGGCTACGGCAACGTCTTCTCCGCCGGCCCCGATGGCGCTCTCCTCGAGAACATCCAGAACTACGAGTACGAGCCCAACACCGGTATCCACGGCATGGTCTTCGACCCCACCGAAACCTACCTCTACTCCGCCGATCTCCAGGCCAACAAGATCTGGACACACTTGAAGGACCCCGAAACCGGCAAGCTGACCCTAGTCGACTGCATCGAGGCTCCCTCTCCCGATGACCACCCCCGCTGGGTCGAGATGCACCCCAGCGGCAAATACCTCTACGCCCTGATGGAAGCTGGCAACCGTCTGGCCGTGTACGTCATCGATGAGCGCACCCACAAGCCCGTCTTCACCCACATCACATACCCCCTGTTGCCCCAGGGTCTGCCCCCGCGCAACAAGTACCGCGGCGACGTCACCTTCACTACCCGCAGCGGCGAGTACCTCTTCGCTACGACCCGTAGTAACCACTTCGATGTCACGGGATACATTACGGCGTTCAAGCTGGGGCCCAATGGTAACATTGAGAAGCAGCTGTTCATTCACCCTACTTCGACGAGTGGTGGACACTCGAATGCGGTTAGCCCGTGCGATTTCAGTGATGAGTGGTTGGCGCTGTGCGATGACCAGCTTGGATTTGTCGAGATCTACCGCTTCAAGGATGAGACCCTAGCTCGGGTTGCTCGCGTGGATATCCCTGAGAAGGGATTCGGTATGAATGCTATTTGGTATGATTAATGGAAAAAGTATATATAGAATGTAAATAGATGATGATATGCTTTATGCCTCTTTAGCAGAGGATTTATACCAAGATGACACTACAAGCCCTCAAGGTAGTACAAGATATCGCCTGAACAGTCTATTCTCACCCCATTTCCGTGCTTTAAACTAACTACAGAGTTGAATTGCAACATAATCAAGAGTACGAGCACGAGCTCCACAACTTACACCTTGATATACGAATACGAGCCCATCTCCGCCTACCTACATACGCACTACTACATTTAGATACACTCTACTACTACTATTTCTAACCTACTAGCTCCACTGCCTAAGATTCGACTAACTATACTAACACCCTCTTTCCAAGGAAAACACCCATAGCTAGATAACACAGACCCGAACACAACTAACTAGCAGAAGCGACACTACAAAATGACATATCAGAAGCTTCCAAGGTAACTAACCGTCCTTAATTATTATTAATACTCCGTACTGACTAACTATAGAAAGCAAGAAATAGCCTCATCGAGGCAATATGCATGAGTACCTAATGCCCAACGACACCATGGGATAAGTTATCCGAGTTAAACCGAACTGGCCAAGCACAGGCGTCCTCATGTGGGAACGCATCCAAGTTTTCAAAGAAGATCATGAGTAGAATACCTGGTTCCCTAGGCAGTAGTGTTATAATACTCTATACTAATGGTGATATCTCCCAAGGATTCCTTGATTTCTTGTTTCTTGGCTAGGTTACTAAAGTACTGTGGCTACTGGATACTAGTGATATATCATATCATGTCATATCCTGTCAAATGTCATCCGTGATCACGTCGCCAACGGCGGCAGAACAGAACCCTTAAGTGACACGAACCGTAACTCAAAGCTTATCCTGTGTGATGTATGAAGTAAGTAGTAGCAAGCTGTTACTCTATAGAGAAAGTTTAACATCCGGCTGTTTTCTCCGCCAACCGGGATGCATCCCGACTCGTTATTCCCTGCATATGCAGACGTCGGCAATTGACCGACCGATCGATCGATCAACACCGAATATGATCTATCAATCGAATAGCTGAACCGATCAATCCCTGTCCTAGACAGTATCTATCTATCTATCTATCTATCTATCTATCTATCTATCTATCTATCTATCTACCCGTCCGGGGTTCGTCCGAGATGCCAGATCCCGATACCAAACGAAACTAAACTAAACAGGTATACCAAGCTTTTCGGATCTGACCAGTCCAGATCATTTACCAAATACCCAATCCAATCCCTGTTTCATCAAAGCAAAAGAAAAAAAACCTCAGTAAAATGACTAATTCATTATATTCATGCGCTCGCTCTATGCAATATGCTATAGATGCAATATATGCGATGTCATTAATCCCAAATAGAAGGAGAAAAAAAAGACAAAGGAAAAGATCCACTCCAGCCCAATGCACCGAATCACCGAATATACCCAAGGGGGGAATCAAAAAAAGGAAAAAGGGGGGTAATTATCAGACATGCTCCCTCACTCCTACAGTACGTGACGTCCCTCCCGAGGAAGTCTGCGTCACTTCAAACGTCCGATGGATACCCAGACCCATGCCTAATTCCAAATCAGTCCCCTCGGGGATAGTTCCATGCGTCCGCTCTGCGTTCCCCGAGGACCCCGTCAGCCGTTCCTCGCTGCTGTTCGATGACCCGCCGCGCCAGAGTCGCGTATCGGGGTCCACCTGGCTCTGGATCGTCGTCACGGTCACGGCCAGTTTGTCCGGCCGGAGACGGTTCTGCACGGCGGCTTCGTCGAGCGAGCCTAGCGGGTACGGTCGGTCGTGACTGCGTCCCATGCCACCGCTCTTGCCGAGCGGTCGGGAGCCGGAGGGACCGGGGAAGGGGGATGCGTCGTAGTTGTGGTCGGCGCTGGAGCCGAGCCATTTGCGGAGAAGGGGGCGGAGGGTGGCGAGACTGCCGGCGGTGATACCGAGGCCGCATTCGATGTTGGACCAAAGGGCGATTTCAACGGTTGCGTCTGGGTTGAGGTTAGTTAAAAGGGTTCGGTGGGGGGGGGGGGGTGTGTTTTGAGGGAGAGGCTGGGGCAGGCGTACAGAGGAAGTCCCAATCCGCGAAGGTATGTACCCAGGGGATACGGATGATGGTAGCAGAGGAGGCGCTGTTGGAGGTTCGTTAGTTTCATTTCATCGGCTATGCTTCAAAAGCAGCGAGGGGAACATACATGCATGCCATACTCAGAATTCCCACCACAGCCATTTTCGTTTTATGCTTCATATGCAACTTGCGCACAAGGAAGATAGGCAGAATGCCGACGGTAAAATCGCACAACGCCGCGAACCCACTGTACACGTAGGTCATGGCGATGACGATTTGAATGTCCATGCAGTGGCCGTGAATGTCCGGGTTAAAGGCCTTGCGAGTCCAGAAGTAAGCGAGTGGCTTGCACTGCAGCAACATGATGAACATGAAGACCATGCCAGCAACGACAGTCAGGACCATGACGGTCCAGAGGATCCAGATGTGGAGGCGTCGAACAGTAATGCGCATCAAGAAAATGCAGACGGAGATTTTACAGGCAACGGCTGCAAAACAATATGCGATCTCACAAAACCACCAGTACTATATTTGGCCCATGTTAGGTTGAAATGTAGTGGAGGTAAGAGGAATAGGAGTTACCGACCTCCATGGCGGTTACACGCTGATGCGCATCCAAGTCTTTGAAACGTCGTCCAGTACCGTAAAGACTGCCTCCAATCATGCACCCCGAGAACATGGCGTAGAAGCCCTAGACATACTGCTGATTAGAACACCATGCGTTAAAAGGATGTCAATACAGGGATGAGACGTACCATGGCCACCACCATGGCCCAGTCATCCCAGCCGAATGCTCGCACGATCCATCCACGCACATAACATCGTAGTATTACAGTCACACACGCAACCGACATAAAGGCGGCCGCAACCGCCTTGACCTCGAGGCTGCGGTCATCCTTAGCCATGCTACAGACGCAGTCGAGGCATGTTCGAGAAAGCTCAGCTCAGCTCCAGCGGGGTGGGGATGACCCAATATATGAGAAGGCCCGAAATGCCGGGGAGGTCCAGAACCAGTACCGGGACTAGCAAGTAGACACGAAGCTAATCGCGTTGGATCCCAAACGGTGCTGGCTTAGTCGGGTCGCAGATGTTCATCCGTCTTCCGCCCAGGAGACGGTGATGGGCTTGTGCGCACTCCTAAAAGAGAAGGCGATCTACGCAGGACAAAACTTGAACCAGGCGAGCTGAGGAGGCTCGCTTAGTTGGACAGTTAGACTGCAGGAAGTGTCAATTTGTTACTACTTTTGCAGATGTTGGACCGTGTCCACGGTCCAGTATAATTGCGGTGGATTCAGGGCTGGCAGGCCGTTGTTGGGTCTTTTTGTGGATGGGAGACGTGAGCGGACACCCTTCGAGTCAGGGCCCGTCTGGGAATGGATTCTGATTTCTTAAGCCTGTTCGCGATTAGTCTGGATTTGGAGGTGGAGGAGATGCTGCTCCAGCCTGTCGGTAGTTTCAGTGCATCACCGGGCGTCGATTGGGTGCGTCGTGCTGTCGATCCACTTCGGTCGGGCTTCAGGCCAGGAAAGGCAGCATCGCCGACGGGCGAGTCAGGGACGGTGCAGAAATTTTATACTCTATCGGGACAGGGGCCGTCCCTACGTCTAACTGTCATGGGCAGGGAGTCCCCGAATGCGAGGGGGTAGAACCATGGATGGTAAGGAGTTTTAGGTTGTTGGGTTGGCACTTGGGAGTGAATCCAGGGGCTGGGAAGAAGAGGAACCGCGTTGCTTTACCGACGCGTTCCAGCAAAATAAACAAGCATAAAAACAATACAAAAAAACAAAGGCAAATCCCATCCAACTGTCCAGGAGTACTGTCCAAATAATTCAGACATCTTGTGTAGCGAAATCCCCCGCCCCGTCAGAGATTGACAGCCTCACGACTCGAGCAGATCCTCTGCTATTTAGGAAAAACGATGGTCTTCACCGGGTCTCCTTCGCCGGCACGGAAGCCCATCCGGAGGGTGGGGAGTGCCCGCCTCGAGGCACGGATGGCAAACAACAAATGAATGACTGCAAATATGGTGTAATCGATGAATCTCCAGCCATCAAAAGGAATTGCGACTATTGACTGTCGCTCAGATACAATGCGGCATGCATCAATAGCCGGCTTCTCGAACCGTGTTGAATGCTCCGTGTGGATCCCTTCAGTGTGTTTTGAGTCTTTGACAGAAACTGAGCCATATCGACCGCTCATGCCAGAATCAGTAATCAATTCATTCTGGTCAACTGGATGCCTGCCTTTAGCCCGACGGAAGACGGCCCTGATTCCGATTGCAGGATGCAGGATCATCTCAGTGAGCAATCTTACTGCTCCTGCATTGGGCCACCCCCTCCCCTCTTCCTCCTTTTCGTGCAGGTCCCGGGCGGACGGTAGGCTCTTGACATTCTTTTCCCATTTGGAGGAAAGTCGCGGACGCTAAAAGGCCTGGCACAGGAACACTAGACGGATCTAACATGATGGATGGAGCGATTGATAGCGTGCCAGAGCAGCCGACTAGCAGCACACTGCAGACAGCAGGCCCGCATCCCGGAGTGTAATTTAAATTGGCGTTAATTTTAGAAAGAAGTCCCCGAGCTGGCTGATCCCCAGTCAAGGCCATTGTTCCTTCTGGCATGTGAACCCGACCCAAAAGGCATAATGGATTATAGGAAAATAATACCGGGACATATATGGGGACCACACTGCGTGGACCTTCTCACTTACTGGCGGACATTGGCCCCCGATGAAGGGCCTGTCACCAAGAATCCAGTTTGGCCGTTTCACCATCGACATGCCATGAGGTGTCCCAAACGTAATCCTCATCTTACTGACACATCGGAGTGCGTAGGAAAGGCCATCTTGCCACATGGAACCCATTCGTCCGAGCGCGTCCGCAGCACGTGGCGGATTTTCCAAAAAAGAAACCAAGACTTGCGATAGATCAGATGCTGGCTGCTATCCGAGTTCCACCGCACACAAAACAGCCGACCAGCAACAAGCAAACGAAATTAAGTCCCAAGTGCTTCATCGCTGCCCCTCGCATGTCCGCGGAAACTCGACAGCGTACTAAATCAGGGTGTCCCGCAATCTCCGTCGATCGGAAACCGTTTCCAGAAGGGCAAAAGTCCCTCGCAGCTCGCCACACACACACAAACAAGCAAAACCGTCAGTAATAGTGCAGCAGGAACTCCTTCCCCCCTGAAAACCGCCTGTAATATTTGCTTTTTTGATCTTCGTCCCAGTATGCGCCCCGTCTTTATCTCGGCACGTGCAACAGCTAGGGTTGGCGGGATGGCTGGCATTTCCTAGAACATTCCTGATCGGCTACTTAGTGCCTGTCTTGCTTTTTCTGCTTTGGAGACTAGTCTTCCTACTGGCCTGCTTCAAGGGATCCCCGGTAACTAGTCAGGCTAGAACTTTGTATCCCTGCAAGGAGAAGACGGCTAGGATGAACCCAGTCCGCTTGTATAGGACGGTCAGGAGAACTTCCTGCACCATTAGCATCCCCTGAGGACGGCTCACTTCGAGAAGCTAGCAATTGTGTGCCGTCGAAGTGCGAATGTCTGCGAGCCAGGTGCTCTGTCAGTCAACTCTCTTCTGAGCGAAGCCCATAGCTGTCTCCGAATAACTCACAAGACCCTTTCCGAATACCCCCCATTGCTTGATGCCCAACAGAGGATTGTTATAAGGTCATCCGGATATCCTCTCGACAGGAAAATCGGTGTGCTCAAGCCCAAGTGCCACCTAAACCTGGTTGGCACCAGTTAGTCTACGGACAGTCGGTCTGCCTATGGCCCAGGCTAGCCGGAGTGCACCTAGACCGACTAGGTGCAAATCACTGCCAAAGAGACGGCGAAGCTACGAAATAGTGTACTAGCTCTGTTGGTGCACCTCGAATCTTCCATTCATCCGATTTCAGAAACTGCAGTCTCTTGATATTTGGCGCAATCTGCCGAACAGATCATGTTGCCTAGAGCAGGTGACTGTTCTAGTGGCAGTCAGCGAAATCGACAGGTCATCAGATGTCAGAATAAGATCAAAATTACGATACTACCCTGCATGCACTCATCATACCCGATGGCTGCATACCCAGATTGCTTAACCTACCAATTGCTTCCATCGCATCCAATGGAGGCATGGGTTCATTGCAACTAGGACCTCAGTCAGAGTCATCGTACAGCCTCGTGTAAGCTTCGCATGGGCGCGGACAACCACCCTCAGTCGTCGCTGAGTTTCCGGAGTATATTCATACCGCGGCGTTGATACTTAAAAGGGGATATTATGCCATCAATCGTATGATTGTTCACCGCTGCTCTACGCACAGGCATAATAAGCCCCTATCAAGGAATAGCAAAGCTTCTCCTAGACAACGTGTTCCTTTCTCGTCGTAGGGAACACCCTCTTCATCGCTATGGGCGACTATCGAACATTACCCGAAGATCTTGGCTTATTGCGTAGCACTGGCGTCCGGTATACTGCTCTATGGATATGGTCTAGTCATCATGAGGAATGTCTCCGCTATGCTGGAGTTCCAGTAGGCATTGTCTGGGGCTGTGTCTTCGTAGCATCTCTGACTTCACGGGGCGCGATTTTGGCCGTCGATTGAACCGCGCGCTCATCATCCCATCCCTACTTACGGCTGAGCCTAAGAGACGTAGCTAGTCCCCTTGGCGGTCTCTTTGGAGCTATAGCCGCAGCGCTGTTACAAGATCGTGCTGGGCGTTGCTTTTGCTTAGCCTTTGCGGCTTTCTTGTTGGCAGCTGCAGTCGCAGTGGCATACGTATCGAATGTTCCGGATGGTATAGACGCCCGCAGAGCAGTCTTTCTGACGGCAAAGCTTGTGCAAGGTCTTGCTGTTCACATGATCACAGGCACGACGCAGACATACATGTTTGAGATCTTACCTCCCGTACTGCGAGGCCCCATGCTGGCCTTCTTTCCGATCTTCATCCTCCTGGGTCAGTTGATGGGCAGTGTAGTAGTTTACAAGGCTTTGGATATTGCCGGAAGCCGAGGATATAAGAATTGCTTCATCTCTCAGTGGCCATTCTCTGCATTGCCTCTGGTGGTGCAGCTGTCCTCCCCGAAAGCCCGACGTATCTCATTCGAAAAGATCGAATAAGCGCGGTTCGCAAATCACAGCGACGACTGGATTCCGGCCCTATGGAATCGCATTATCAATCCGAGCAACTACGCTCGTTCATTGAAAAAGAAGATCAAGATGCAGCCAGCAAGGCGACTGGGTACCGTGACTGCTTCACAGGCGTCGTCCGCCGGCGTACCATGATCGTTATGTTTGCAAGCCTCATCCCATCGCTTTTTGCTTTGCCCTTCCTATCCAAGACTAGTTACATTCTGCAAATAGTCGGCATGAGGCATCAAGAGAGCTTTCTGTTCTCACAAGCTGGCATCGGACTGGGGTTGGCAGCTAACCTAGTCAGCATGCAGACACTGTCTAATTATGGCCGTGTGCCTCTGGTTATTGTCAGATTAAGCGTCCCGACGCTCGCCTGGATGAGCATAAGGGCTGCCGGCTGTTTCCCGGGAACTATTAGCGCCTGGTAAGTTGTCTGGAACGGATATGCGAAAACCATGGCCAATGGTCGTTCAGGTACACGGGGATCACACTAGTGACGGTAATCATGACCTGCGGTATTGGTGCATGGCCAACATCCTACGCTGTCGGTGGAGAAGCATCGTCTCTGCGGCTTCGTGCCAAGTCCCAAGGTGTGGGCTGATTCGTTACCGGACTGTTCAGCGTCGTTTTCAACCTTATCTTGCCGTATATCTTCAACCCCGACGAGGGGGCCCTACACGGTAAGACCGGCTTTGTATGTGTGGGCTTCTCGGCCATTGCCCTCGTGGGAACATGGCTTTACCTGTCAGAGATGAAAGACCGGACGCCCAGCGAGATTGACGAAATGTTTGAAGCAGCTGTACCTGCACGGCAGTTCAGAAAATGGTCCCCACTGCTTGCTGATCCACTTTCTTCGGATCGTTCCCCACAAGTACGACTAGCCAACGCATGCGACCAATCCACCGGCGCGTCAGGCGGAAACGAAATTTGTTCATACCGAGCTGTTCCTGGGTGAGTATCTTTTGGGAGCAGATCGACAGAAAGCCCAGCCGATGGTTCTGTTTCTCGGCTCTAGCCAGAATGCACGGTCGAAGACAGCCATAGAAAGAAACTTGCCAAGCCATGACATCTTGTAGTACAGTAGTTCTAGAGGTCGTAGAACGGTTTGAAAGCCATTTGCGGAGACGTAATGAACAAAGGGAATATGAAACGGCCAAACCCAACCATAATTAACGGCTGTCAGAACAAATCCACTTAAGCAAGACTCGTAGGATTATGTGCAACAATAAAAACGTCATTTGACATGTGTCATTTCGTAATTTGAACTAGATACAGGAAGTCATAAATGAAATCTACTAGCCTTATCGTTTCTTATATAGTGATTCTGTGGGCCATCACAAGGGCGGCACGGAATCCTCCGGCACTGTGAAACAAGGGTTTTTGTAACGGAGTCCATGGACGGAGAACTTGGGCTCGTTGTTGATTCCCCGAGCAAAGTCCGTGAAATCAGTGGGGCGATACATCGCATCGTTTGAAGCAGCGTTGTTCGGCACGCTGCAGGTAGGCCGAGCTCCGATGATAAGGAATCTCGGCAGAATTGTAGGCTTTTAGTCGAGTCATAAGATGAGACTGGCTGGCAAATCGAGGGTCTGCTATAGAACCCATGTATAGGCACATGGTATCGTGTGGAGTGGGCTGATCATCCCTGAGCTTCAGTAGCAGCAGCAGCAGCCTGAATGGCCTTCTTCTTGCCCTTCTTGTAGACACGCTCATCGTTCGGATCGAAACCTCCGTTACCCCACAGCGCCCAGTCCTCGGTTTCCCTCATGTAATCCTCCGGCGTGAACGAGGTACCGTCGGCCTTCTCCTTCTCCAAGAGCTGGAAGAACCTGTCGTAATCGATCCGAGAATGCCATTTGCCATTGACGTGGAACCGCTCGGACGCGATCAGCGCGCAACAACTGTGAGCGTGTTCAGCGGCGATACCATACTTCAGACCACGGCGCTCCAGCTCTGCGTTGAGAGAGGTGACAAACTGCTGAACCTCCTCATAGAAAGGAACGTTCTGCATGGTCAGTCCAGCTCCGGCGCTGGTGCTAGTACCACAGTATGTCACGCCCTTGATTTCAACAAAGCAAGGCAGGGCCTTTTCAACCAGGTTGGCATATCCAATCACCTCATCGTCAATGTTGAAACCCTTGACCAGCGTAAGACGGAACACCGTCCGCTGGTAATGGCGCTTTTCCCGGAGGATATCCAAGCAGCGCTGGAAGCGCTCCCAGAAATCGCGGTGCAGAGGTCGATCGATCTTGCGTAGGCTCTCGCGGTTACTCGCATCGATGGAGACATAGAGTTGCGTCACCCGATGCAACGTTTCAAGCTGGTCAGGGTGTTGGGCATTGCAGACAAGGAAACTGGAGATGTGTTCGCTGTGCAACATGTCCAGGAAACGATTGATATGGGGATAGAAGATCGGCTCGCCGACCAAACTGAGAGCACAGTGACGGATCCGCATAGCTTCGGCGAATCGCTCCGCACGCACACCCGGAACACCACGCATCATCTTGATCTTCTTGTAATGACCCTCCTTAACTCCATTGAAGATGAGTTCCGGATCGTCCACCTTCCAGCGCCAAGTGGTGCCGACAGGGTTAGTACCATGACGCCAGCAGAAGATACATTTATTGCTGCAAGAAAGCGAAGGAGTTGCCTCCATGCACAGGTGAGAGCGAATACCGTAGAACGAAAACTTATAACAGGAGCCACGACCACGCAGGGCAGACTTGGTCCAACGACAGATCTTGACGCCAGAGTGCGAACCAACAATCGTATATCCTTGCTTCGTCAGAGAGGCATAGGTCGGCGAGGTCTTGGGCACCATCTCTTTTTCAGTAGCGGGCGCAGGAGACTTTCCGCCCGTAGTGAAGTCCACGGGGATAGGGGATCCGGATGCAGCGTCCGAGCTGAATTTGATATCTTCCAGGTCGACCACCGATTGATTCTTGTTCCGCTTCCGACCGTTTGCTTTGTCGGACTCCGAACCTTCGTCGTCCAAATCCTCCTCATCACTTTCGAGCGGATCACCGCTACCAGGGACACCTTCACCTAGGCCGCCGTTTTCGACGATATCACCGAGAATATCCTGTAGGCCACGGGACCACTCCTTCAAGGCCGATTCCGCATCGCTCTTTACATCACCAAACCCAAGAGGGTAGGCCCTCTTCCTGCCTGTGAGTTTCGCCATCCAGCGGTCCAGTTCCTTGGCCTGTGAGCAGAAGCCTTCCTCTTCAGTAGGCCACCCTTCCTTGTCGCCAAATCCGAAGACAGAATAGCCAGCGAGACCGGACAGGGGCGCAGTATCAATGCGGAAGTCATGATGGGTTTCATCAAGGTGACCAAGGAAGGTGTTCAAGATCGTATCAATGTTGTAAGTCGGGATCAGCATGCAATAGACATAGCGTGTTCCTGGCGAGGTCGATGGGGGCTTCGGGGCGCTAATGAAGTAGTCGTCAAAATCGACATACGACAGGTCGTGAATCTGGGGGGGAAGGAGGCCTCGTTCCCGATTGTCAGGATCGGCCCGATCGCGCGCAGCAGCACGCAATTCTTCCAGCAACACTTGGGCATATCTCTCGGTGTTTGCGGTCAACGAAGCGAAGAAGATAATGGGTTGGATGAAGGAGACAGCCGGTTCCTGGTCAGAACCTCTGCGTCGGCCAGCAACCTTTAGCGGCTTCTTTCCTGTGACCCGCTTCGGACCGGCCTGCTTTTGCGACGCGTCCTTCTCCACGACCGAGGGCTTTAAGTCGGTTCCGACATCCTTCTCCGTCGAGTTGCTGATGGTCTTTTCACGTTTCTCCGGGGAATGGCTGCGAGGCGACGACGGGATGGAGGAGGCAGTAGCAATCTTGGACTTGGGCTGAAGTTTACGATAGGCGCGAACGAGAACGAGAAGGGTAGCGAGAGCGAGAAGGAGAGGCAAGCGGTAGGAATGCCAGAAGGCCAAAAGACCTAAGCAGAATGAACCATTAGTACTTGCACGATCGCAGAGGGAAAGCATAATTACCTTCGTTTCCAGATCCCTCCATCTTAAGTAGATCGAAAAGAACAGACGAGATCCGTGTGACAGTGGTGGGATCTGAGAGCCCTTGTGGCCGCGGAAAGACTCAAAGAGGCGGGCCAGATAGAGTGGGCGGGGAGCACTGGGTGAACTAGAACTGAGAGGGGTTGACGAAGTCCTGGGGACACATCGCAGTAACCGACTGAATCGGTACTTGGGCGAATGCAAGTCGCAAGGACTAAACACAATGAGACGAATGCAGCCCAGACCCTTCTCGTCAAAGTAGAGTCAATGCTGATTCTGGGGTCGGTTGAGGTTCTTTCACTTTCAGTTCCTCGGGATTTTCGAGGAATTTTTTGGCTCCAGCGGCGAGGCCTTTGATTGGTTCCCGCACTGAACTGCCCGATGGGGAAGGCATCTCGGGGAGCCTCAGGAGCCTATCCAGTTCCAGCATTTGTAATGATCTCAAGGAGTCCCCCAACATACTCAAAATGCTCTTCGTTCTCACATCAGCAGAGGTGATCATAAGTAGGACTACAACTACCGCTAGTGGTAGCACATTTGCAAATAAAAATACTTGTATCTTGGTAGGCAGCCACATCCCAATGGCCGCTGCTAAGACGCCTGAGCCACAGTGGTGTGGCTGGTGACTATTTGCCCACCATACTTACGAAACGACATGTAAGGGGACGCCCCCGTTGCTTATAATGACTTGAAGCTATTTGAAGCTATCATTTGATTAGAGTAAGATATGTAACCAAGGCTGAGGGACATTTATGATCGTTGATGAGCATCTGTAATAGTACAAAGTATATAAAATAGGGTACTACAGACGGTAAAATTGATTTCCAAGTCGTGTGACATACTCAGATCCATATAATGGAAACTGTACATCATCCAATATAACAAGTATTGCTAACTCATTCATTCCGCATCCTGACATTCCGACCTTCAACTGAGAATGATTTGCTGTTACCTTTCAATCCGCTCAATCGGAAGTCTCTTTTTAGTACGGCATACTAACTATGGCGACGGCGAGTATTTGGCGGAGGTGGAAGAGGAGGCTAAAAGTGTCATCAATTCTCCGGATCTTAGCACCCATAACAGTGTTCCAAACATACAGGAGGAGAATGATTTGGAGAGTTTGATGTGGATGACGTGGCAGGTGATGGAGGTGGAGGCGGCTGATAGTTTCATCCATACTTTCGCTTTTAGCGCCCCATAACAATATTTCGAACATACAGATGGAGCATTTAAAGAATGTGAGGAGGACGTCGAAGCAGGTGACGGGGGTGGAGGTGGCTGACAGTGTTATCAACACTTCCGATTCTACTATTCCATTTTGATGTTTCGAACATACAGGTTAAGAAGGGGATCGAGAGCGTGAAGGGGAACGTGCAGGTAATGGCTTTTCATCGAATCAGCACCTGTCTTCCTTGTTTCCATTTCCCATTCGCGTCAACATACGGTCCTTGGGGACAGCGGAGGCGGCGGAGGAAGTTCCTAGTATGTTTCGTTAATTGTTCACTAGTATACTCGTCGAAAGCGATCCGATGTACAGTGGAGTCATTGTCGAAGAATCACTCCTAGAGTCTATATCAGCATCTTATCGAACACACACACACACAAAAAAAAAAAAGCCAGAATGGGGGTATGATAGCGATTAGTCAAATTACTGCTCGGAGGTGCTGTATATTGAGCCGAATAATAGCATGAAGCGAGAATCCTTCTCAAACTCTCTCGGCCTATCTGACTAGAACGCCTCCTTCTGGTTCATATTGGTCATGTAGATAGTTCAACGGTACTTTCTTCAAGGCTGACAACTGTAAAATGTAGTATATATATGTAGTAGAGACGATAAAAAGCGTAAGGTGGTAGTCAGACTCACTCTTTCATCGTGTCCAGAATATGAGACACTTGACCAATAGAGAAGAAGTCCCAAACAATCTCAGAATCAACCGGTCTTTTCAACTGAAATGACTGGACGCTATGAGATGAAACCATGAAAGTCAAGCTACAGACCCTTTATAACCCCCAGTGGGTAGGTCCTCCATATATACTAATTCAATAAACAAAGCCATGTCTATCCCGATAGGCACGAGTTACAGCAGTGATACTCTGTATATATGCAATTGATTATCATTCATCTTTTTTGTTTTCTTTCTTTTGGTGGCAGTAACATCGGAACAGCCAACCAATATGTGAATCTCATGAACGTATGGCATATTACCTGGGTAGCAAAAGGGAATTTGAGGACTGCTGGTTAGTCTATGTTGGTGGTTCCTCAGCTCTGGCCGGGTAACGCCGGTTATGATACTTTCCCTGCATGATATGTTTTGTTCGGTAGATGCCGACAATTTTGACAAGCACGTACTTTAGGGGATCTAGGTAATAGGCGTAACCGAAATATTCTCAGAAGTCTGTAGAAGCATCGGGAAGTGCTAACATCAGATTTCACTGCTGATGCTCCATAGTTTCTTTGGTATGATACAGCTTCCGGCTGGTGACGTGAATGGGCAGGCGCCAAGAGTATGATTCAATACTGACAATTAGGAGCAGGTCATACCCCATCACTCTGACAGTCTGACTGTCTTACTGTTTTCAGGAGCAAGCACTTCAACATTGCAAATCCCCAGAAATGGCACCAGGAGCGGAATCGTAAGTGAGCAGTCACTTATTCCTACTGAATCTACATAGTTGTTTTACTATCCGAAACTAACATAAGACCCAGCTCCAAATCACAAAAGGGCAACCCTAGTATCGAAGACAACAGTCGAACGACGAACAAAGAGAAATCAGTGCATAATGTTTACAAGGAAGAGCCTGTACGTAAGAGCCATGATTGAGTGACAGAGCTGTAACCGCTAACTAGTTAACCTTAACGCCGATCTAGCAGTCTTCCTCTACACCTGGCTCGGGTTCAGGCTCCCGCCAACAAACTCCTAATTCCCCTGTGGCTTCCACATCAAAGAACTTCGATTACTTGCAGGGTAGGCCCTCTCTATTGGAGAGGTCATAGTACATACTGAATACTGATATAGCCGATCCTGGAGCTTTTAAGTGCGCCTTGTGTCGACAGTGGCATACAAGGAGATGCCCGTGGTTGATAAATTATTAGAGTAGCTATAATCATACTCTGTTCGCTTACGTGACATTGGTCCTTTTCTGAGAGTGTTTAGCTTGATTTCAAGGCTAGTAATTGTAATGATTGTGGGGTTATTATTTGCCATGGCTAGTTTCCTGGTTATCTCTACGAAAAAGGAATGTTTGTGCAATGATACAAGTAGTCCGCGATCCCGTATTATGTGCACCACCAAGTCAGGACAACTCATCCTCCACCGGAAGCGCTCCCTCAGCCTGCATCTGAAGAGCAACCTGGTCCACATCTCTCCACACCCGCAGCAGGTTTCCGCCAGCAACCTTGCCTGCATCCTCGTCACTGACTCCACGTCTCTAAAGCTCAGCGATCAAGTCCGGATACTTGGACACATCCTCAAGACCGCGCGGAACAGTAGGGATACCGTCAAAATCGCTACCCAATCCAACATGATCGAATCCGATCAGGTTTCCAATGTACATGATGTGATCCACCACGTGCTCCAGAGTTGCATTCTCGGGATCGAGCTCTGGCAAGCCGTTCGGATCGTCCGAAGCAGTACATGAAATAAAATCTGGGGAGAAGTTGACCATCACAACCGAGTTACGCGCTTTGACCAACTCCAGAACATCGTCCGGGACATTGCGGGGATGGGGGCAGACTGCGTATGCGGAGCTGTGACTGAACATCACAGGGGCGCGGCTGCCAGTCCAATCGTCTTTTCCGGCTCCCAAGACGTCCCGCATAGTATCCACACTAACATGAGACAAGTCGACTATCATACCCAGCCTGTTCATCTCAAAGACAAGATCCTTACCGGCTTCGCTTACCCCGTGCCAGACCGGGTCTGCCTTCTTGATACCGCCGGGTATCTCGACAAGCGCTGCATCAGCATAGCGATTGTGGCAATTATGAGTGAGAGTTGCATATGCCACGCCGCGATCATAGAAGCTTCGCAAGTGAGCCAGGGAGTTTCCGATCGAATGAAGGCCCTCAATTCCAAGCGGGGAGATGATCTTTCCCTCCTTGAAGGCTTGAAGGGCCGTCGTGCCATTGGGAGGCTCAGAAAAGACATTAGGGTAGGCCTGTTGTAGGCGCAACATGACATCTACCTGTTCGATAGTCTGGCGGACACCTGGTCATATGCTATCAGTAAGGAACGCACAAACGGTGGATTTTATCTTACTTGTTGCATAGGTCGCGTCGGAGAAATCGCTCCAGTTTTTCGGACACTCCACGAAGACACTCCAGAAGGTGCCACCTACTTTGCCCTCAGCGAGCCGTGGCAAATCGACATGCCCCAACAAATTGCCCTCGGTGAAGGGGATTCTGAAATCGTCGCCATAGATGTGATTTCCGAAAAACTCGCGGATGAAGATGGGTAGATCATCATGGCCGTCTGTGGTCGTCAGATGAGTAGGCAATTGTAAGCATTAAATTGCAAGCTACTCACCTATCAACGGGGTCTCCGACAAGATTTTGTCCACTCTCGACTGTGCGGGATGCGGGTGAGTGCAACGGCGCGCATTGGTCAAAGTGACCAAAAAGCACGCAAGAACAAAGGTCAGAAGCACGCGTCCCATGTTGCGCGCCAGAGAAGAGGGAGGCTTTGGCTTTGCATCTGAGGAGGTTGCCAGATAGCCGCGCGACGACTCCAGATCGACTTTGGAATCCATTGTGCGAAGGAAGGAGGGGTTGTGTAATTCGCGCTTCCCGACGTAGCAAGTGTGATGTTGATATTGAAATAGCGGATGGGGATGGGGATGGATGGAGCTCGTTGTTGTTATCGCCGGGGAGATAACCGGACTACCGATGAGTCAACTTGCGTATAGCAGCTGCAGGATTCACGCTTAGCTCACCGAGTCTTGATAAGCAACCCGATCACATCATGTTCTGCTGGATGACCAGTAACATAGCTGGAACAATCTGTTGCTTGACAACTTATATTCACGGGTTTGCGAGCATCGCAGCTGTCCGTTTGTTGCCTCTATTTGTCGCCATAGGGATGTTCTGAATAAGCTCATTGGGGCTTCTGACTATAGCGGTCACGTGACATATAAGTATAATGGTAGATTTCTGCTCCAATTCTCATAAAGTGACCGAGGCATCTAGTCAGAGCCATCCAAAGGGCCTCTTCTATTACATAGTGAGCGTAAACTTATCAGGTGCAACGATGACAACTTTGGGAAGTGCCGTTGCCATCTACTTGGCACAAACGTTGGCTTGGAAGTTATAGGATGACGTGAGAGATTAGCATTTCAAAATAAAGCTAATAGAGTGCTATCCCACAGTTACTTGAAATTTGTCTAATCTTCGCATATCTTGTGCAGCAAACGCTCCAGCCAGCTCAATCACAGTCAGCGTTGAACAATACCTCTCGGACAATCTCCAGATCCAGAAGCAAGTCATCGGCAGAGTCATACTCTTTGTACCAGCATTTGCGAGTGATGTCGCTGCAAGCACGCGTATCATCTGAAAACTGTTGCGTTGAAAGTCTATACTCAATTTTTTCAAACCATCCGACTTCCCCGTCAGCAATATCAGGGAACAACGCATGTCTCATCATGATGAAATGGATAGTGCATCCCAGAGCAAAGAGATCTGTCTGCACATCTGCATCAAAGGGGTCACGATGAGGGCAATAGAACCTGCAAGGCTCACTACTCCACCCATCAAGAAGCACGGTGCCATTCTCCGACACATGCTTCCCTTGGAAGTCAGCCAACTTTGTGCGTAGCCCCTCATCCAGAAGAATATTCCTGGGCTGTATATCACAATGGATGACTCCTCTACTATGAACCCATGCAACTGCCTCGGCTATTTCTCGGCACCAGGCTATCCTTTGCTCGAGGGATGGCGGTGGATGTGGATATGCTGGTCTGAGATAATAGTCATCCAAGTTCCCGTTTGTCGCACGCTCTAGATAGAGCCAGCCGTTCTCTGTGCACCCTTTCACTTTTATGATATGCTCGTGGTGTCCGACAATCTCGAGGAGCTTTCTCTCCGTCTCTAGCCAACTCACATCTGTGTTGTCAGGCGCGAGAGGGTACTTCAAGACTGTAGTTTCATCAACTTCTCCTATCCATGCGCTTCCACCCGACGCAATCACATGTTTGACTCCGGGAGGACAGTACTCTCGGTACTCCTTTACTCCAGGCTTGTTCATACTTCTGAGGACGGTACTTTAAGATATGTCGGCGGGCTGTCAGGTAACAGAGCACGATGAACAAGAAGCAGTTGACTCAGATGATTCTATTGTACCTTTAGGAAAAGCAAAGAGTGGAGTGACTCCATGAACGATAACAACGCGTGCGATCCCCATTCTTATACACATGGGCGCACGTGATGATCTATATTTGCATCGATTCATTAAGCTCTGTTTCGGTATTTCTGTGTATAGATAACCATTAGCAACCATTAGTCGGAGTCAGTAATAGCTACATGATAAATTCTACTACGATAACTACAATATAACAACGTAGACAGAGAGCGTCTTTTTTTGCAAATACAATAGGTAAAAACTTTAGCTAACAAGAAACCCCACAGCAAAAGTAATTGGGAGCAAGGCTCTTGTAAAATAAATGGTTGTTGCTAGACAGTAGTGAATGGGCCTGATAAGTGTAGATGCCAAATGTAACCTGACTTAGAACCATTGGTGATGTTAGAACATTCACTTGCCACGAAGATGGCTTTACAAGATGGTCCCAGACTCTTTGACATCCGCAGTCACAGAGTATTATTTCTCTTCTGTTTCCCTCCGAGCAAACCAGTTTGGAAAGAACCTGATTCCTCTGTTTGTATCAGGCGAGACCTTCTCGTCACAGTCTAGATGTAGTCAGTTTTTCTTCAGATCTTCTGCACGAACAGTAACCATTCAAACACAGACCTGGAGGACCACAAAGTGGACAGGGAATCCCTCGATCTTTGACTTTCTCATGTGACGAAATCACCAAACCATCCTTTCCATCATGTTCATTGCAACCAGGTCCACCTGGATTGCTGCAGGAGACCTTGGATACTTCATGGCATTTATGTTTTGGGGAAGCAGTGCAGCTTTCGAATTCTTTGTAAACGTGGCGAGTTTCACAGCCACATCCCCAGAACTCTAGGCCGCCAACACAACCTTCACACACGTGGCCCATTGGAACGGATTGATTATCAACTGGTGAGAACTGATGCTGTTGATAGTTTTGTGTTGTGGAGAAGATGTGTTCAATCAAGTTAGATCCAAGGCAGCTCACGATCCCTTTATATACATCTACTTGCCCTGTCTAGGAAGTTTTTTTATTTTCTTACACTATCAGCTTTTCATTTGTGGACCGTCAACTTCCGCCGCTGTGAATTGAACTATTCATCGCTGGTCCGTACAGGAGGGAAAGAATTGCTCATCCATACTTGCGAGGAACTAGCGGAAGCTGCCGGTTTGTTGGTAGTAATAAGATTGATTAACACTCACTATGAACTGATACAGACACTGAAAATTCTCATGTCCGACTATACCGAGGTCTCTACTGGTAGCCTTTCATTCTGAATTTGGATCCATAGTCTCGAATGTCTTCAACTTAGAAAGTCAATGAAAACGAAACGCCCATTCTCACGTCCACCTTTGGTTATGTCATTTCAATGGATCCGTGGCATGTACACGAGACTTTTTTTTGAGCCTACGCAGATGTAGTTCAAGGCTAGGTAATAATGGCAGATGGCGGCGCCGCCAGAATGCACAGGATTATGGGGAAAATGTATCCAGCGAATCCAAGGCACATGACCGACAGCCAGGGAACCTCTCACTTCGTCATCTCAGATCGGCCTTTCCTTCAACAAGCATCTCGCTGATCAAGACCCATGATTCAACTATCCGTGGAAAAAGCTTATGCAACTTATCCAACCCCTACTCAGTCAGTCATCATGCGACTATATGGAGATAAACCAGTTTCCAACCTCAGGTACAGCTTACAAGTCCTTTTCTAACTTCAGGCTACACAGCGTGAGCTATCTATAACCTGTCCCCGCCACCGACATCACAATACCATTCCAGCCAACATCTAGGGGTGGACGCCTTATCACCGGGCTTGAGACAATCATTCGTCCAATTGGTCTTTCTGTCGATGCTTTTCCGGTTCAACGACTAGCGCAGATCGTCGCATTTTTCTCACCAGGCTGCAGTGATGACTTCATAGCCAACAAAGGCTGGGCAACGCTGCATAATAAGCACTCAATATGGGGCGTACCTTGATATAGTCCGAAGATCCTTCTGATCTCCCGACAAGATATAGTATCACTGATCACCGCAGCAGTACGTTTGTACTTCCTCGGTAAAAGTTGATCACCGTTTCATCCTCAGTCACCTGGTTTCTCCCGGACGATCAAATCCTAGAAAGAGCAAGTCACGCAAGGGATACCGTTACTCCAGATAGAATATTTGCAGCAGCATTCTTCGCATCCCATACCGCATCACCAACAAGGGCAAGATAGACCAGGAGAAATCCGGTCACTTTGGTACATTGCGCAAGCAACCCGTTTTGTTGTCTCCCTTGCCATTGGCGATGGATAGATCATGTATTTCTCCGGGTCGAGATTTGATCGGAGTTGGGGAAAGCTTTTGCCCAGCGTGGCACACTTCCCTGTTGGGGATCGGCTGCATTCCAGTGCCCCGCTGGTAGTGTTCCTTTTGCCTTGGGAGCATTGATAGCTAGAATGCCATGCGTGCATCGTGTTCCCCCATCTCTTTGGATGTGATATATAATTTTCCGGTCGGAACATGGAGAGTGCTCGTTTTTTCTTGTGTTCGATGAAAATACCCTATCTTATCACCAGGTCCGATGGAGTCGATTCAGTCAACCCAAGAAGCTAGAACCAAGTCATCCGAGGACTATAACTCTGCTGACAATGGTGACTATGAGAGCAATGAGTCGGTCACGAATCCCAAGTTAAGCATTGACACCGATGCCGCCCCAGATGGCGGATATGGATGGGTGATTGTTGCGTGTGTGTTCTGGCTACAAGTCCACACCTGGGGAATCAATGGGGTGAGTTCACTGCAGTAGAGCTACTAGCTCAGCAGCAATGGTTTTTTCTAATAGTACCAGAGTTATGGCGTCTTCTTATCCTACTACATGGACAACAACATCTACCCTGGCACGAGTTCACTCGCCTACGCCTTCATCGGTGGCGTCGCCATCGGCTGCGCCTACCTCATGGCTCCCGTCACCGTGTTTCTCATCCGCCGATACGGCACCCACACCACAATAATCTCGGGTATCATCATCCAAACAGCCGGACTGATCCTCGCCTCCTTCACCACCCGCGTATGGCAGCTCTTTATTACTGAAGGGGTCTGCTTCGGTGTCGGCATGGGTATCATCTACATGACCTATCTTGGCGTTCCGCCACAATGGTTCGACAAGAAAAGCAGCGTTGCAAATGCCATCCCCGCAGCTGGCGCCGGAACCGGTGGCCTCATTTACTCCCTTGGCATTGAAGCGATGATCGAGAACCTCGGCCTCCCCTGGACATTTCGAACATTAGCCATCGTCTCTCTGGTCGTGAACCTCGTGTGCGCCGCCTTCCTCCGCGACCGCAACAAAGCCACCGCCAGCCGCCATGTCGCATTCAACTTTCCTTTGCTAAAGAAAATCGAGGTCCTGCTTTTGATTGGTTGGGCCATCTTCAGTACCTTTGGCTTTGTGGCCATCAACTTCAGTCTACCCAACTTCGCAATCTCGATCGGATTGACCGCGCGCCAGAGCAGTGTGGTCGGCGCGCTGCACAATCTGGGACAGGGGATTGGACGGCCCCTCATTGGCTTATTCAGTGACAGACTGGGTCGATTGAACGTGGCGACGGCCCTGTCCCTGGTATGTGCGGTGTTCTGTTCCGCTATCTGGATTCCCGCTCGGAGTATGGCAGTGTGCTGTCTGTTCGCGGTAATGGGAGGCATGGTGTCGGGAACATTCTTTGCCACAGTGGCTCCCGTGTTTGTGGAGGTGATCGGGTTGCAGGATTTACCTGGGGCCCTCAGTATACTTTGGCTGGTGCTAGTAGGACCTGGTGCGGTGGGAGAGGCAATTGCGCAAGCACTGCGACGGCCGGCAGAGGGAATGGAGGCGTACCGGCAGGTGCAGATCTTCGCGGGGATGGTGTTCGTCGCGGCGGCGTTGTGTCTATGGGTGGTGCGCGGGTGGAAGGTGCAGCAGCGGCGGCGGGGAGCTGCCACTCATACAGCGGGGATGTGCAAAGAGATGGTAGAGGTGGAGGTAAGGGCAGAGAAGTCAGGGTGGAATGTGTTGGAGTTGGCCAGAGAAATGGTGCGGTACTCTCGTGTATAGAGTACTACTAGGTGTTGAATGGTAGACGTGCAAGCAGCGTCCCCACACTAGCTACCAGGTTCATACTAGTAGCAGCAAAATTGTATATTAGTTTTGTTTAATGTTATTGAAACAATCAATGGTATAAAATAACGAAGCTATAAAAGAATCAATCATGCCTAACCACTACATTCTCGAGGGACAGCTGTTGCTTCCGTCATAATCTCACCACCAGTTCCCGAACTCGATATCAATACATTAGCAGCAAGTCTCACCGGCTGAGGATGATTAAAGATGTCGCGGAAAGTAACTTCATAGCCGTCATCTTTCGCAAGTCGCGTGATCCGCATGGCTTTAATTGAGTCACCTCCGAGATGAAAGAAGTTGCTCTTCGGTATAACAAAATCAAGGCCAACGCCCAAACTCTCCGCATACCATTTGCAAACCAGATCTATCTGCCTCTTGGACGCTCCCGCCACAAGTGCGCAGTCCTCATCAACTTCCCCGTCATTCAACGGGACCGCATACGCCAGACGAGCCTGCTGCGATAGCCCAGCCGCAGCTTGTCGAAGCCGTGTGCGATCGATCTTGCCAGTACGCGTTTTCGGCATGCACAGGAGTGGAAACATGAAAGTCGGGATGAAGAGCCAAGAAAGCGATTGCTTAAGCTGCTGGACCAGCTTGCGCATGAGAGCCTGGAAATCCGCTGTGGGACGTCCAAAGAGCGCATCACCGTCACCAGACGATTTGGTGAGCAGGTCATCGTAGACAAAGCCCACGAGCTGCTTCGTTTGGTCAGGCAATACAATCACATCGGCTACGACCAGTCCTCCCGGTAGGTTCACAGCCTGCTTCAGACGAGCTTCCAGATCGTCCAGCTCCACCCGCTGGCCGCGGAGTTTGACTTGTCGGTCCTTGCGGCCTAGCAGATAGAGTGAGCCATCCGGGAGGTACCGGGCTAGGTCACCGGTTTTATAGCACCGCGAGGTTGTTGGAGCCCAGGCAGGAGCGTCAATGAAGACTGCGGCGGTTTTCTCTGGTTTCTGGAGATAGCCCTGAGATAGACGCCCGCCTTGTACGACTAGTTCGCCGACGGCACCGATGGGTAACAGCCGGTGGTGGTCTGCTGGGTCGACGATCCAGGTACGTGGGCCAAATGATCGACCGATGTTCCGAGGGTCAGATAGGGGCTTGAGGTCCGCGTGCAACGTGTCGAACATGATACCTTCGGTGGTGCCGTAGCTGACGTTTAGGTGGTCGAGTCGGGGTGCCCACAGGGCCACTTGCTCTGCGGTCAGAACGTCCCCGCCTACGGTGAGGGATTTCAGAGTGGGCATCTCATCAGGGTGTACCTGGGCTAGCACAGCGGCGGTGAGAAACGCCGTGTTGATGCGTAGCGCTGTGCCCGTCTCAGCGAGTCGATGCAGCCGGTCGTCGTTCCCCGGCATGCAGACACACCCGCCGCGGGATAAGGTGCACAAGGTCTCCACGCAGCTGAGGTCGAAGCTGAATGCGGCGAATTGGAGGAATCGAGTGCCGGAGTGTAGCTTCAACGCTTGAGCCATCTGTTGCACGCACGTCACTACGTCTTGGTGTGGCTGTATCACGCCCTTGGGGGCTCCGGTGCTGCCTGACGTGTACATGAGAAATGCCGGTTGCGACGGGGATATATGTGTGGATGACGCTGGTAGTCCCTTCATCGGCAACTGCTGGATCAGTTTTCCCGAGATCTCCAGCATCTGGGGCACTGAACCTGCCCAGTGTGGTGCGAGTTTGGAGGACAAGGAGGTGGTGAGGATGACGGATGTACTGGCCTCACAGAGCATGGTTGAGGCCTGGGCTGGAGGTAATGCCCCATCCAGGGGCATGCAGGCCGCCCCCGTCCGCAGCACGGCCAGCATGATGACCACGGACCAGATGGTCTTGTCGAGAATCAGTCCGACGTAGGTGTGGGGACGCACGCCCGCGGCGAGGAGATAGGCCGACAAGGTCGTGGAGAATTGGTAAAGCTCGCGGTAGGTGAACTGCTCGTTGATACTGCAGCAGGCAATGGCGTCGGGATACTGGCTACTGGCGCGGTCAATCAGGTCCGGGAGGCATTGCTGGCTCACTTCCAGCGACTGGGTGTTCCAGGATAGAATTTGCTCGCGACTGGCTCGGGAGAGGAGATACAGGTCTTTGACCTTGCCCTTCCAGCTGTGACAGACAGAAGACAGGATCTCCTGGATAGCATCGACGATATGACCGGCCATTGTTTCCGAGATGTATGCGGTGCGAAAGCGTAGGAAGATACGCAGTCCTGCGGGGTCCCGGCTCGCACCAAGGATAAGATCACACTAGAGTGGGAGGTAGTTATGAGCATGGTAGTTACTATTTTGGGTCTGGAGCTTGGCCTTACTCACTCTCTCGGCGTCTGTTGGCGAAGAACCATGCTTGGGCCCCAGATCATTCCTCCCACTCCTTCCGTCGAGCAGTAGTACTCCCGTGTTATAGACTCGGTGGCCAAGATGATCATTCTCCAAAAGATGCCCCAGTTCGACTAGTGCGTTCAGGTCATCTTCACGGTCAATTGTGGTACTGTAGACGAAAGAGCAATGCTGCAAGAGATATGTCGAGTTCCGAGAATCAGTACATTCTTCGTAGGCCATCACCACGCTGTCATCGTAGACAAATACAGAGAGAATAATGGCCCAGATAACGCGAAGCCTTGGTCCCAGATCAGAGCCCCATTGAGAGATACTGTTGTCTTCTTGGGGGATCTCAATGGTATGCACCGCATCCTCGTCCCGAATTCGCTGGGAAGAGGTATGGGGAGAGAGGCTTGGAAATCGACATGGCGTGGTCGCAACCTTACCCACCATTTCGATTGATTATTTCGGATGCCGATTCTGCTGACATATAATAATAAAGTAATAGTACGAAAAGTAATAGAGCAGCAAATGGAAAGAGGAACGGAGGGAATCCCTTGTGTTGTGGCGCCATCCACGGAGGGAATCAAGCATTGTCTGCTCTTATTCCCCCCTGCCTGATCTCCTTGCATGCAGTTAGGGGGAAGGCGGAACGCGCGGGGGTGCATGCTGAGCATATTGCAGCGTTACTTGATGGTATGTATATGCTGTTGGCTATGCCATGTATTTGAAACAATATGACAACTACAGATCTATATAGAGAGAGAGGAGAGGGGGAGAGGGGGGGTGGATGCGTAACGGATGCAATTGTGTAGAGTTGGATCTTTTGCAGTAATTGGAGCAATTCAATTCTCAAGTGCACTAAGAGCGGTTTCTGAAAGATGTGTACCTTTTCTATAGTAGTGTTTATTGGAAGTAGATTTCAGACACGATCTTCCATCATGCACTCAAGTTATAGCGATATCACCGGTCAGGATAACATCACGTGAAACAGCCAGTCCAGAAGTATAATCTGAGTCCGGTCTTACTGAATCAGCATAGAAGAGATGAGTTCCCGGGAGCAAGACATGAGTGGTAGAGTTAAACTTGATATTAGTAATATATAGAGTATCTTTGAGTGATACATTCTGAAGATCCACAGATCTTATATTGTATACCCAAATAATCTACTAGAGTACTCTAAAATGATGTTAACAATAATAGAAGACTTTGTGATACACATTAGTATCAAATTAACTGATAACAGAGACATATCATACGACGGCACCGATATACATTCACAGAAGACTTGAGTGTGGATCATTGGTATGAATTTAGCTGACAGTAAGAAGCTCAGATACAAGCTGCTAAAGAGGTCTCAACACAGTCAGGGAGACAAACAATACCCACAGCACTAACACATCATCAAAGATCACTTGGAACTACTAGTAGTATCCACAAACAACTTCTTCGTTGGTAGTCTAGTACGTACTTAGTGATGCTGTGCTCTCCACTTAGCGTGTGTACTTCTTGTCCATATTTGCCCCCACCCTCTTCTGCCCCACAACAACTTGAACAAACAACTTCTTCACTCCCTCAGATTCCACGCCTCATCGCCAACTACCCAATAACCACACCAACAACAACCATGAACAACAACAACACTGAAATAGAAATATCCCCTCACCTCTTATCCAAACACCCCTTCCTTCTTTCCCCCCTCTCCTCCCTCCCCACCACCCACTACCCCACCTACACGGACTTTGGCGTGGGCGCCTATATCTTCACCACCAAACCCCAACTCCAGCAAAACATTTCTAATCCAACATCAAAACCACTCCTTCTCCTCCTTCACCGCTCCCCAACAGACAGCTACCCCCTGCACTGGGAATCCACGGGAGGAGGAGCGGACCCCTCTCTCGACGACACCCTCCTCTCGGCACTATGTCGCGAGACAGCCGAGGAAACAGGGCTACGGGTAACCAAGGTTGTGGATTTGGTTGCTGTTGATGAGTGGAGGAAGGCACTTCCGGGGGGTCAGGGAGAGAAGAAGGTGATCAAGTGGGGGTTTTTGGTGGAGGTCGAGGAGACTAATTCAGTGAAGTTGAATCCGGAGGAGCATTGTGCGTTCCGCTGGGCGGATGAGGATGAAGTTAGGGCTGCTGTCACTGGAAGTGCCACTGATGGGGAAGGAAGAATGAAGTTTATCGGTGATCAGGGGAGGAATTTATTGAGGGCTTTTGAGGTGTATCGAGAATGGTATACTCCATCAGAAGATACATGTTGAATGTTTAGCTATACTACCCTCCACTATCTCCTAGATAGTAGACTATCAATCCCTCCGGAAGGGGGACTACACCCCCCTCCTCTTCATCGCCAACTTAAACCCCCTCACAAACTCCGGCACATGCACCGGATTCAACATGGTAGCATGAATCCCGGGACAATTGTAAAACCCGACTTCAGTGCGTGCAAACTCCCTCCACGCCCCTAGCTTATTCTCCTCCCAATCTTGTCTATCCAATGCCGCGTAACTCGGCGGATCCGCCACAAATACATCTAATGTCTTCACTGTTCCTTGTGGCTCATACGTCTCGCCATGGACCCGGAAGTTCTCTCCGATGTCCGTGATCC